TTTTATTTAAAAATCACGAAAAATCTAAAAAACTATAACTGAGCTAATAACTATATATAGAATATATATTCAAAATTTCATTTAATTAGATTCAATATTGATAGAATTGTGAATATTCGAAAATCACTGTTTTTGGTGTGAAAGGGTGGCCCGAAAGTAGGGTAGTTGACTTATGGAACATCATACAAGCCTTCCTTATGTAATTTGTTGTAAATATAAGAAATAGAAGATTGAAAAAGAATCGGATATTATGATTTCTGATATAGGGAATGGTATATTATACTAATCCAAATTGGGCAAGATTATTGTATACTTTTCTAACGGCATGAGTATACCGTATACACACATTTTGACTTAATATAGTATAATTGCTAATCAAATGAAGGATTTCTGTCAATAGGAATACAGAAGTCAGAATAACCTTAAGTTTTTTAATCACTGCTTAGCTTATCCAAATTCTTCGAAAGTATACGGGTATATTATCATGGCACGTGCATGTCGGGTTTATGCACATCATATCCCCTTCACTCAGTTTACTGAAGCTTATCTTCCTTATATCCTGGTCTTACGATGCAACGTAACCATAAAGTACCGTAGTCCTTCCACGAGAAATCAATTCATTCTTTTCAGTCTTTTCAGAAGTTTGAAGGGCCAAATACATATTCGAATTCCTCACTTGCAATCAGAATTTCCGCCATTCGATAAGGTTATCTCTTTCAGTGAAAACAAAGATGACTACCGGTACTTCTTTGTGCATCTTAGGTTGCGGTATGAGAGTCTGTTGTCCATTTTATGAATTCAAAATAACTGATCACTGCCAATAGGTAATCTTGGCACGGCTATTCTAGAATGCCTCCTCAAGCCATTTGACGGAAATACCACTTCCGCCGCCCCAATGAAGCAAATAACCGCCTGTGTCCGAAGTGAACAATCCCGACTCCGTCTTTTAGATCGATTCAGCACTTATAAAACCCAGTTAAATGTATCAAGCAGCACCGACAATGTCGAAGTTGTCAAGAACTCAGACTGCATCATACTAGCGGTAAATCCTTCTGACCTCGTCGACACGCTGCGCCAACCGGGTCTAGCAGATGCTCTCACGGACAAGCTAGTCATAAGTGTGATTGCAGGATGGACGCGCCAGAAGATCGAAGCAACACTTCTCGATAACTACGGTTATATTAATGGAATGCCTAAGTTTTGGGTCGTTCGTACCTTACCGAATATTGCAGCTACGGTTGCGCAATCTATCACTGCGGTAGAAACTCCGTGTGAAAATTTGCCCGGCGAGTACTTGGATCTTACGAATGCGATATTTAATCGTATAGGGAAGGTAATCCAGCTCGATCCTAAACGCATCGATGCTTTTACTGCAGTGGGGGGATCGACTCCAGCTTTTTTTGCGGTTATTGCTGATGCGTTGGTTGATGCGGCGGTGGCGGTGGGGATACCGAGATGCGAGGCGAATGTTATTATTGCGCAGTCAATGCTGGGCTCGGCTACACTGCTGCAGAATGGACTGAGCCCGGGTGATCTGAGGGATCAGGGGACTTCGCCCGCAGGGTGTACGATTGCGGGGTTGATGGTGCTGGAGGAGACGGGGGTGAGGGGGGGGTTGAGTCGAGCTTTGAGGGAGGCGGTGAGAGCTGCGAGTTTGTTGGGTGTGAATCAATAGTGAGCATAATACCGTGTTGGGAAAGAGATAACTGGATTAGAATGTGAACCTATCCTATATGGTTTATGAGGGTGAGTTGGGAACTAATATCAATCTCATGAAATATAACCACCTTCTCACTATAAGTTGCGATTTTTCCTGAATAATCAAAGTAGAGTATTAAAGCTGCAAATTTGTTGTGCACTGCGGTATCAGAGAGATCACTGATGACTATCACTCAATCTAGTACATATTTTGGAAACCGGCTACTTGGAAGATACTCAACGATAATAACTTACCCTCGACATCGGTGACGTTGTATGAGAAAGGTCGGGCATGTGCATCCGGTTGCACTGCTTTCCATCATACATAACTTCGACATTCGATCACATACCGAGACGTACCCTGATCTACGTTTGTTGATACACCCGATGTATTGTATTGCATTAAATTTCATCCATCATCCATCTAACCAAACACTTCATAATTTAAGAGCCAAGCTATCCTCAATCTTCCCAGCCTCTTCCGTACCCTCCCGTATCGCTTTCTCTGCCGCCTCATCAGGTGCAGCATACGAATGTCTAGGCTGCAATTTACTCACCGGATGCTCAATCCCCGCCGCAGTCGCAACAAAGAATCATACTGAAAACCTCTGACAGGTAGCTTCGGTGCAAACGATTTCAGGTACAGGCGCCAACTATTTAGCAGCTCTCTTTCTCAGTCGCTCAAAAGATTTCGCTGGCCAAAAGGTCTACATTGGTATCCCGGCCTGGGGTATTTATGATCCTACAGCAAAACCTCTCTATAAGGATACTGGATATAAGGATAACCTCTCTATAAGGATAATATTTTGGATCCCTTTTTTATTTTGATAATAAAAGAGGTGATATCTTTAAAATCTTCAATATAATGATATCTGTTAGAAAGTGATGCCCTATAACGTAGTGGAAGTAGCAGTATTATTGACTATCTCTCGAAAGGTTGAACTAGTAGAGTTAAGCTCTCTTCCCACCCAAGGTTATCACCTTAGTGGGGAAACCACTTAGCGCCTCTACCAGTCACATGCTCATATACACGTGACTCCCTTTAACCTCAACTTCCAACAATATCCTTATTATTTTGGTTTCCGAAATTCTTGTATATCCTTATTCTAAACCAAAAAGAGTAGGAATCTGATTGAAAAACTTCAGATATAATCGGATCTTGATTTGAAAAGATAGTATTATATAATCAAAACTTTGATATAAATTCAAAAGAGTAATAATATATAACTATATATGATTATTATAGTAAATTCCGGAATCTCGATATAAGGATACCTTCAAATATCCTTATTTTTGGCGCTAAAAAAATAATCCTTATGGAGAGGTTTTGCTGTATTTTCGGTCTCGTTGGGCTAAATGTAGAACATTACAATTATTACAACATCCAAAATGGCGTAAACTTCGAGGAAATTGTCAATACTTTAAATACAGCCCCAATTTGGAGCATATTTGTTTTTCAAAGCTGCTGTCACAATCCAACCGGTGCAGATTTCACTTCGCAACAGTGGCAGCAATTAGCTACTTTATGTCAGCAGCGAGACGTTACTCCCATTTTTCGACATTGCTTATCAAGGCCTCGGTGGTGGACTCGAAGATGATGCCTATAGAATCCGACACTTTGCGATATTAGGTCTCGACATGGTTGTGGCTCAATCCTTCTCCAAAAACTTTGGTCTGTACGGGGAACGTGTAGGTGTGCTCCCATATTTTGACAAAAACTCATGAGACGGCGGCTAATGTTGGCGATCAATTGCGTTCTCTTATTCGATGGGAGTTCTCCTCATCACCAGCATATGGATCACAGCTAGTGAATATAATACTTGATGACTTGAAACTTACAGAACTATGGTGAGTAGAGCCAGCCATGCCTTCCTCATTACTTGATCAAAACCGGCTGATGGTGGTAATGCTCTTCGGGAAAAAATAACTTGATACAATGAGAGAAAGGCTACAGTACAATCGCCTGGCTCTATACAACTTTCTAATGAATGATCTAAAAGGTACGTCTCCTCACTGAGAGGTATTTGTACACGAGCACTGACGTGTCCCTCCCAGACACCAGGCGATTGGTCTGTTATCATATCTACACAAGGATTGTTTTCGTAAGTACTTTAGATACCTACCCTTAAGATGTCGGCCAGTAACATCTGGACAGCTATCTACCACTCAGCCCACAACAGTGCATAAAACTGAGAGAGACGCATCACATCCATATGCCTGAGAATGGGCGAATTAATGTTGCAGGATTGACAAAATCGAATCTGAACTATACAGCCAAGGCCATTCACGATGTCGTAATCAACAATGAAGATTGATTGATTGATGGGGACGACAATGGTGTTATTAGACGAGTAGGTGTTTACAAAAATAAGAATGTTCCACCATCACAATACATCATCAATTTCCCCTTTCTGCAACTTTGAAAGATGCATCCTAATCCGAAGATTTATGACGACCGAAATTCTCTACTCTTGATTGAATGGGGAGGTACATGGTAATGTAGATTCGGTTACTGTGAACTGTAACACTAGCAGTCCAGCAGTCTAGCAGTATATGTGTGTAAATACTGTAAGTCTGCGCCCGTGCCATGTAACATTGAGTGTCATCAATGTGTTTATTATCTTATTTTGGGCTTGGTCAGAGATAAACCCGACGTCTGTTTGGAAATTCATTATCGATTCAACATTACCAGAGTTCCTCGAGATTCATCGGCTCAGATCCCGTAACCCGTTACTACACGCTAGTATGAACTTGCCGTTCAGGATATGGAGATCTTGAAAGGCGATCACTGATATGCTAATCAGCAATGATAGTGTTTACTTTGGCCTACCGATTCTATCTGTTATGAAAAAATATCACTAGAAATTGTTCCGTAGTAGTTAGTAGTCGGGACTCTACCTCTAGACCTTAGCGAACGCTCGGAAATCTTTCCGATATCTGCACCACTCAAGACCCGATTGCTCTGGTAAATTTGCCCACGAACTCTATTGTTCATTGCCTGAATCTTATATAGACGTTATTCATTGAATTCGCTTTGCGATAGTATAATCCCGAATAGATCCGAACCCGGAATTGAAAAATAAAAAGAGAACGAGCATTAAGACTACAGTACAAGAAGAATGGATCGGCGAAACATTATATTGCAAGTATGAAAGAGTACGACTTTTTTCCGATCTATATCCCTAAATCTTTTCAGCATTCCTTCTTTCACAAATCATACATATTTCACAGATACAATAGTACCAACTCTTTTCGATCCTTCAAGTTAACGTAATGACTCAAACTCTCAAGTAGGATGGATCGGGCTAGGATCTATGGGCATTGGGATATCCAAGAGGCTACAACAGTTCTTATCGTCCTCGGGTGCCCCTTCTTTAACCTACACCAATCGAACGCTTTCTCGGGGTGACGCTTTGATAGAGTTAGGAGCTATTCCAGTCACAACTTGTTACCGAAGTGGTGTCTAGATCAAACATCATAATCACATGTATGAGTCATCATATCATTCACCTGATCAAAATAGTTAATGCTTACAAAAGGTCTATAGATCAGCAATGACGCGGTACTGAGAACCATAACTGCAGAAATCATTGCCTCCGGAAAAATCGCCGACAAAATATATGTAGATTGCTCGACAGTTCATCCTGATACTCCAGAAGCTGTCTCCAAGCAATTCACTGATGCAGGAGCCGAGTTCATCGCAGGTGTTATTTTACAGTTCCAAAATAACTAACATAACATATAAATCAAAGATGAACCTTGAAAACAAACAACTATCACATACTCGTATACACAGCTCCCAAACTCGAGATGCAAATTACTACTCGAGTACAGCGAAGTAAGTCATCATCATTCTTAAATTTGATTTGAATATATCTTTTAGATATTTATTTGTTCATTTCATCACACCATAATTCTCATCACACCATTAACCGTTAATATACAAAATGCCCGCCTGCAAGGCAAGAAAAGACCAGACAAGACAAATCAAGACAAGTCAACGCACCAACACACCAATCCTACTCCCAATTTCGCGCCCATTGATACCCAATATATACATACTAGTTCCCGCCAAACCACCCTGAAAACCACATCGCTTTTTGCTTTGCTTTTCCAAAAACCTTTTCCATTCGTTTGTAGTCCAAAAAGAAAAAGAAAAGAGTACAGAAATTTACCTTTGATTATCCGCGCAAGACCATGCTCCAGTGCTTCCCGACGTGTCGAGCTTCATTTGATAACCACTAGCATATAAACCCACAAAGCACATAATACAAGCCAAAATAATCAAGGTGAAATTCAACAGGCTCAGGCCGATTTTCTTGGCGCTGCGGGTGCAGGAGCCCCAGTTGAGATAGAACCAACAGATACCCGGGAGACCGTATGAGAACCAAGAGGCGAAGAGAGCTGAGATGAATCCGAGGAGGTCGGAGAATACGGGGATCGATTCGGCAATGATCCAGGCGACGGTCCATGTTCCGACTGCGAGACCGATCCAGGTTCCCGTGGCGATCCAGCCTCTGCTGTTCAGGTACTTGGTTCCGGAGAAGAGGCGGAGGTAGATGTATTTGATGGTGACGTGAGCAAAGATGACTCCGGCGATGATGATGGTCGGCAATGCGATTCCCCATGCGATTTTGCGGATCAGAGGGGTGTTGCTGTTGAGGGCTGGACTGGCAACATCCACACCGGCATATCGGTAGATGACGAGAGCGGCGACGAAGTATAGAGTGATATCGACGGCTTGGAGGAGGATAAGAGACTTGGGGAATTCCTTGGGGTCGCGGAGTTCGGCAATGAAGCTGACCCAGGCAACGTGACCACCGTATGCGAAAACGACGTTGGAAACACTGTTGAAGGCTGATGGGAAGGATGCTGGGTAAGTGGCTCTCATGGCGTCGGATGCCGCTTGTGGCGATACTCCTAATGCGACCATGGTGAGCATTACGGCGGAGAGGATACTGGTGAAGGCTATGATATTTGTTAGTGAAATTTAAAATACTAGGGAGTGGGCGTAACATACAGATGATGGACAAAAATGAGACATTTTTGAGCGTTCTATTCAAGGAAAGGAAGCTGAAGATAACCAATCCAATGATACCCCAGACGATGGTACAAGTTGCATGGTTGGTGAGAACGTTCATAGCAATTGTGAAAGTCAAAATATGCGATGCCATACAGAAAACACAGTAGATGACATAAGCAACACCAAAGATCTCTCTTCCGATGGGTCCCATCAATACTCCACCAATGTCTGCATAATTTGTAATCTAAAAAAAAAAGTTAGAAACCCAGGTGTTCTTCTCTCATCATCATCTAAGATCTAAGGATAACATACCTGAGGATATCTCATCTTGAATTGCCACAAGACGTAACCAGAATATGTGGTGAAAAGACCCAAGGCGAGAATAGTAATGAGACCACCGACGAGACCAATTTTGGCCAGCACAGCTGGGAGAGAAAGAATACCAAGTGAGATATTCTCAGCAATCATCACGAATGATCCTTGCCACCATGTCATGGTTTTGTCTGGAAAATCAATATGTCAGCGCATACCCTCGAGATCGAGGAGTCGAAGAAAAAAAAAGCCTACATTGAACTTCGGCACCTTCCTCATTACCAAAGGCATCGAGAACTTCTGCCACCTTCATGTCCGAGGACTCATCGTCCTGTCGGATGTGACCGCGACCATTGTTGCCGGCTGTGATATCGTCTGGATGCATGGGCTTATTCGTTGAGGCCTTTTCCGCGTCCATACTTGCAGATTTTTGATAGGTTGGCAGATTAAGATTTTATACCTTGTGTTGTGCTTGCTCGACAGTCGATGGGTGGGTGTCGATTGCTGTTGAAGGGCGTTATGTTTTGTTTTTTGACAAGAAGAGAGCGTTGAGGCTACTAATTGAGGAAGGAGCAATGCAGTTATTGAAGGAGAGTTGAGAAGATGGGAAAAAACATGATTAGAATGTGGACACGAGACGAAAATATGTAGGGTTTCTGGACGGGGCTAGACACCCCTCGACACCGAGATAAGGCAAAGATTAACAAATTGATTTCTATTGAATTCAAGTAAAGTTGAAGATGAGGGGGAATGTCGGTGCAGAATGGCAAAACCATGTTTAAAAAGGTGGTTCTCAAGACGTAAGTGAAATACATTTTTTATGGAGTTTTATGAGAGATAGACCTAGATAGTTAGAGATAGTGGAACTAAAGATCCGTAAACTTGTATTCATTAGGTTTTGGCGAGAAGACGCGAGCAACGTTCCCCCATGAAATTCAACATCATTTGGTAATTTCCAGTGCGATCTTGGTTATTGAATGATTTGAATCTGGGGTAGTGCGTGATCTTGCATGCCAAATCCTTGATCAAAATGAATTCCTGCCAACAATACGAGTTGGATTGGTCTTCATCATAGATGTAGCTTACCCCAAAAACGATGTCAAGACTTCAAATCGTCTTGGACCTGCTTCAAAAGTTGGAGAAGTGGAAAAAAATAAGAGCATCTGATCTGAGTAGAAAGTTTAAATCAATGATATTGAAGCTTGTGCCTGACTTTTCCGCCTTACAGTATGTGTTAGATCAATGCGAGTCAGTAGCTTTTGCTGGTCTTCCTTCCCGCAGCCTCTTCGGGCCGCCTTGAGCCGCCTTAGACGAAAGTACAGTACTCCGTAGATCCGTTCAACTTTTTGGGCTTCATTATTCACCTGTCTCCACCCCTTCATTATGAGGCGAAGGTTATACTGTAAATATTAAAAATTGTACCCCGTACTTGTACTACGGTATAGATAACGAGACGAGGCGGATCCCCGGAAACGGATACGGGTATGTTCATCTTCTATGTATAGAGTGAAATGGTCTCACAATTCCCAACCTCCCACGCGATAACCGCTATTTTGCTATCTCCCCTCATCTTGGGAGATGTTCGGGCTCGGAGGCGACGCGTGAATCCGTGATGAAGGGGGGGAAGGGGGAAAGGAAAGATTGAAGGTGGGTGAGATAAGGGAACCGAGGGTGTTTCGTTTAAGATCACAGACTTTTGCATTAATTATACTTTTCCTTAGTGTAATCTCACGTAGTACAACTAGCTTATTTAGCATAAGATGTTCATTTTAGACAATTAGATTAGTAAACGATATGACAACGCTAGAAGAGCCGACGAAGCCTTTATGTCCAATGATAATGCTTTAGAACAATCTGACACAACCGCCAGTGCTTGGCTGACAATCAATTCATCTGGGGTTCCTTTTTTTTCTATCTGCCGTTAAGAATAATCTCGACATAGATAGAATCAAAACTCGGACATAAATGGATATAAATCTCGGGCATCAATACTCCGAAAATGTCATGAGAATGACAGAAATTATAATGTCAAATGGTGATTGTCGTGTCGATGAGCTAGTTAGCTGATCTGATTGCATTTTGAATCGTTTAATTGACTTTGTGAATGTAATGATTCTTGAACCTATCTATCTAGTAGATGATGTCACAATTAGTTCCTCTTCAGTTGGGGTTCAATCTAGTTATACTCGAGTAATCTTTTCGTTATCGAAATGCCTAATAATTCTTGCTCACCACAGCAAAATCCAATCTTTCCTCTCCAATTACATTGCTTGATCATGTCTATTTCTAACAAAAGCCTATAGCTTTAGCAACCTCACGGACATTAATCGGTCGCAGATACCTCGCAGATAAGTCCCCAAAGGTTAATCTTATTCTGCACATCAAACGGATCCGATTGTTATTGTAGGCGGCCAAAACACTGTGCCAGACTACCGGTACCGGTTATCTACACCCTCGAGTATACATATTCAAAGGAGAGACATTAATATGGAAACGAATCCCACAACCAATTTCCATGATAAGAGAACGGGAATAGAGTTTCATTGTTCAATACCTACTCGAGTATATCATGAGTATCAATTACACATGCCCAAATAACACCCGGACGATTCCCATAGCCAATTTCCATGATAAGAGAATTACATACAAATAGCACCCGGACGATTCCTATAATTGGGTACAGTACATATATGGATATGATCCATCGTGAATACTGACTGCACTTCCAATGTTGTAGATACCGGTACTGTACACTGTACAGGCACATTGTCGACCATACTCAATCAAGTATAATTATCGATATCAAAATCCACGATAGATAAAAGCATTTCCACGAAAGCCAACAGCTGATCGAGTAGATAACTAACGCTTATTTCGAATACTTTGGACTCCACGAGTTCGATCACTAGTAAAGGTGCCAATTCTACTCCTCATTTATATCGTACCAAAGAAGAAGCTCAACTTTCTCGAAAATAAACTATCCAACGACTTCTCTACTTCCTCTTCCTCTTCCTTTTCCTCTTTTTCTTCCTCTCCCTCTCCCTCTCCCAAGTATCTAATACTCGAGTACTGTATCCACCATGATATGATGATTCGATTCGATTCGATTCGGGATATATATGATACTATACCGATATGTACTCGAGTAGATATCGATAGATAGTAGATACCGATTATAATGAAAGGCGAAACCTGATCAGATCAGAGCTGTTATAATACAATACAACACAATACAATATACAAAGTACTCGTACAAATTTTAGTATGCTATATCGTAATACTCGAGTGTATGCGATTAGATATCCTCCTATACTACAAAACTTCATCTGTTCCGAGTCTACTCGTACAATAGAACTTGTTTATACCGGAACTGGGGTATATACATATCGGAATCCTGGCTATACCGAAATAGTTTGTCGATTTCTCTGATTTTTGTATAGTAATACTAATACTGTACTGGATTTTTAGCTTATATCGGAATGCTATATCACTTCTTCGAAAATCTGGTATATTATTACTCGAGTAGTTGAATTAGTTTAAAAGGTTTTTGATTAGGATTAATTATATTACATTCTTCAATAACCTATTATGTAATCAATTTGAATATCATATGATTATTCTTGATACATTTGTATAAAATTAGTATAAACCTAAATATACCAGAATCCTCCAAGTATTAACGACAGCAAATGCGGGGTCGTGTTAAGCAAGTGCTATCTATCTTCTATCTCAAGGGAACTTTACATTGTCCTGTTTCTATAGCAAGACTGTGTAAGTTATATGAAAAAGTTTCGATCATCCAAGTTACAAAGACAAGTATGTTCAACATGCCAGTGAGGACTGAACAGTCAAAAAGAGTGTCAAAACGATCATCTAACGCGTACGTCATATCGATACGCATCACAGAGAGTGTATTGAACTGGCTACTCGTATCGTTGCAGGTGTACACGATGTCGAAGGCAGAAGAAAAAATGTTCTGATTCCAGACCATGCGAGGGATGTAAAAAACGCAACACAACGTGCGATTTCGATGATAAAGATGATAAAGTGGTTGTTCCGCGGGCGTAAGTGTGGATACCTTGAAGCTGCTCTCTGCCAAACTCGCACGCTGATAGTAATTTCCAGGTTTATTTTGGATTCACAGCGGATATAGAACGCTCGAACCAAATGTTTTCGGGTCACGATAATATCCGGCAATCGATTCTTCCAATCAGTTCGGCAGAGGATCGCATATCGGCACAGCCTGCCTTCGAAAATGACTAAAGCACTCCGGAACAAGGTAAATTGTCGCTTCCCCTATAAAACAGTATTCTCCATATGACTGACATGCCTCATCAAGTCAACACACCAGACTGTGAAAATAGGGATATCACTGTAACCAATGAAGGCACATCAAGTCAATCCACTTTGATTCACCCACTCGCTGAACTACCCTCTACATTCATGGCAACTTCAGACGGAAAGCCATGTTCGTGCTCCAGAAGATAGTTTCCTAAATGAGAAGCTAACTGACCTTCCCGTGACAGATTATCTTGGTACTTCATCAAACTGATCGGTTTCAACAAAGGTTCTTCAACTTACACATCAAAATATTCGCCAAAAGCCTCTACCATTAGGTTATGGAGTTTCGAGAATATCAGCTTCTATGCACTTGTTATATCATCAAGTAAGAACAATGTCTCCGTTCCTTTTTCATTACAAGAAGATGGCACTAATTTTGATAACCTAGTGTATTGTACTGACAACCCGTCCATCAATGTTTTGCTTCTTAAAGATGAGGCTTGAAGCATTGTCTTCGATCGACCCGACACAGGATCGTTTCGAAAACGTTAAGACAGTATGCATCGAATCTTCTCAACAAATTATCAACATCTTAGAGAGTTTGGAATCTCAAGGGCTTCTTGATGAGTGATTTGGACCCTGAATAAAACTAGCAATACATAATAACATATTATTCAGAGAGTTTTCTTTCGTTGGACCTAGATTCTCTATATCATCGCTCCAATTATAGACCAAGGTCATATGAAAGATCATGCTCTTTGGTTTAAGAAATCTGTGATGTTATTTGATAGATTAATTATGACTGGAAACTTGATTGCTGGCTGGCGCAAATCAGAGATGCAATTTGAACGAGTTGGTCCACCAGATAATAGATCGTCACCCCAAAATATGGAGCCTTCATCATCGACCGGCTGCACGACTATATCACCACAGCCCATTCATCCAATTGATTCTACTATGCCATCAGGAATGGATATATTGGAACCCCTCCATTCAGACTTTCTCGGGGATAATAATGATATACTAGCGGGGCAGGTTCTAGCGATTGCCAATTCTATAGCTGACGAAGATATTCAGTGGATGCATGATTTAATCGCTGCGAACACTATTTGGTGAAATTGAAACTTCAAGAATGAGTAGATGTTAGAGCACATGGGTTTGGAGTTAAGAACAAGGTCGGCAAATAGCTCAGCGATTTCATTATTAGGGGTTTTATGCAGAAGTTAAGCTCACCGATGTCACTACATCGGATACTGATGTAAATCGGATTTCAATTCACTCTGCTCTGTACTAGAACCACATTGTGTAAAATGATTGGTCCAAACCTTCCAACCTCATCACTGTATGGATTGTTTTTCACGAACAATTACAACTTTGAACTGTCATTTTTATGCACAGTGGGAACACTACCTTCTAAAGCCAATACAAAGTAACACTACACTACAAGAGACCATCCCGTTTCCTACATAAATCTGTATAGAAGTCCAATCCAGCTGCTTGTCTAATCGTTCTCATACATAGAACTGCTATCCAAGGGCGTTTCATTTTGAATGCAGCTTCGAGATTTTCGAGGGCTACTTCACTTACTTGAAGTTTAGCGCCTACATTCTTGGCGCAATTGAGCGCATACTTCGCATCCTTGATAGCTAATGCCATATCAAATCTAACCTTATTGGTAGCGGCAGGAGCATACGCTCCCGTCGTCAGTCTCTTGGAGTAACTCTCAACAACTGGTCCGAAATTATTGGCCAGCATGCTGCATGTGTTCGAAAACATCCGGTGAAATACCGGTCTCCTCGGCAAAGACATGAGCTTCAGCAATTACTTCCATGAACGAGATAACGCAATTGTTTCCCGCGATCTTCAGTAGACTTGATTTTGAAACATCTTCGCCCATATCAGTGACCTGGCGTCCCAATAACACCCTCCAAGTATGGGGCGATCGTTGTCTTGGCTGATTCTGGGCCAGCAGTAACAAAGATTAATCTGCCCGCCTCAGCTACAGGTGATGCACCAAAAACAGGAGCTAGATATATATATATATATATGAACACCGCACTAGGAATATATGACTTACGTACTAATAATTACCTGATGATTTATCGTGAAAGATATCGAATTACGTCGATTTGCCAGGAAACTTCTACTGTTGGATTATTTCTATTACAAGTCGGGTATTTAAGGGGTCTTTTTTTTCCACAACACCCGGGTGGGTATCGGAGACTCAAATATGAAAAGGCGCATCTAGAATTTACTTTTACATACCTATTCTACACAAAACTGAATATCAATCCTAACCATCCCCTCAATCCAAGATTCAGCATACATCCTTTTCTTCCCTTCCCTTCCCCTCTACTCCACCAACCCCACCGGTACATCAACCCACTTATCCCTCAAATAATCCGCAAAGCCTTTCCCCAAACAATCCAACCGACGACTACTACTAACCCCCTTCCCAAAAACCCATAGATCACAAAATGCACCGCCAAGACTCGAGGAAACTCAACTCTTTCAATTACATATCTTTCTTCCCATTCTGCTCTTAACATTTCCTTTATTTGTTCACGGCTGAGATAGTTTTGAAGCCAAGGATAGAGTTTCGGATTCGAGGATGTGGGGATGAAGAATCCACAGTTGAAATTTGCTCTTTTGTCGCCGGAGCGGGCGAGTGCGATATCGGCTAGCCGGATGCGTTTTGTAGGATCAAAGGTGGAGAGTGGTTGGGGGGAAGGAGTATCGTATGTGGAGTGGAGCGTTGGATTGATGGTTGGTATTGTGGTGGATGGGCCGCATGGGAATGAATGGATTTGAGTATCTCGACCGATGATATGCATCTGTTTGTCGAGTTTGTGTTGGGGGAAGAGCGCGGGATAGTATGCGAGGAAGTGTTTGGGGGCTGCGGTACGCATGTCGAGGGAAGCGTGGAAACCCGAGAAATGTTGGAGGGAGATTTCGCAGAGGGCTTTGACGAGGCATTGGAGGGTGGTGGTTTCATGGGCTTCGGCGAATACACGACAGTATGTTGTGCTGCTGCGTTGTGTTGAAGGATTGGATGCAGGTACACCGATACTATATAGTTTAGTAAAGTCGATTCAAAGTACTGTTGTAGATATAACTCTTACGTTTGGAATTCCAAAAGTTCAAAATATTTTTCGATCCCAGTAAGTTGTAGTTTCCTTTTCATCTGTCTTTCGAACAATGACCATTTTTCTTTGGTGCCATAGCCAGTTGCGTTCACTAGAAATTGGCATTGATATCCCGCATGATAGAACATGGCAGTTTTAGTTGATGAAGGTGGTGGAAGACCAATAATTCCAGTTATTTTGACACTATCATCGTTACGTTAGAAAGAAACCTCAACATAATGAAAAACCTACACCAAACTCACCGATTATTTGTCACTTGAGAGACAGAAATACTATCGAGGACTGCAGTCACATCACTATTCAAGTAATGATTCCCTTGAATCCCATAGAGAAATTGAAGTGACGACAGTATCTGTAGTAATCATACCGCCAGTTCCTTCATGCTTAGTGATTGTGCAAGAACCATCTACTTCGATTTCCGCAATAGGGAAACCAGGATCGACAAAAACATCCTGATCGTATTCAGTGAAGCGAGAGAAGTTGGCTCCAGTTACATATGCTGAACATTCTATTCGATGGCCAGGGATCAAAGATCCAGCGAGAGAGTCATCATCAGTTGCTGACCACGAGTGCCAATACTAGAACATATGGAAGTCAGTAATTATCTATAATGAAAACCTTTCAAGAAAAGAAACACAGCAAAGTTCGCTACGCAGGAAAGTATATAGCACGCAATGAATAAAGCGGGAGCAACAAGTGGGACCTTACCCATGCAGCGGCGATCACTGGAGAAGCATCAGACACCCGGCCACAAATAATGATATCTGCACGTTCATGCAACCTTTAACGATAGCATGAGCTCCGAGATAAGCACTTCCTAGAACAATCGGAATGGAACCATCATCCAGGAATGAGAAAGTATTGGCTGGAAGCTTCAGGGCCCGGTTCCATGAATCAAAGTGCTTCGGTAAGTTTCTGTTTAAGGATGCCATGTCCGTCCGATCTGGGACATCAGATCGTCTCCAGAGACCCAACCAACATTAAGAGAAATGCCACGCTCTTTGGCAAGTTCATCCACTTTCCTTGCTAAACCTTCGGGATTCAAAGCACCTCCGTTGATAATAACTTTCGTCTTCTTCTCGGCTAGCAATTCGAGGGATTGAGACAGCCCCTCTAAAGCAGTCGATATGTATCCTGGATGTTTTCCAGATCTGTATGCCTCTGTATTTTCGGCCATATTCATCTCTTTGGTTGGTTTATTAGCTTCATATATGGTTGTCGAACGTTTATGACATACCTGCGAGGTAGTCACCTGTAATGAAATCGACATCACCTAATGAAAGTTGTTCGTACATCCGATAAGCGGGATCACCTTGGAAGAGAGTCAATTCTTGGTCTGAATGTATGAGAGAGATCACAAACATAAGTAGCCTGAGCAACTAGCAACTCTGACAGGTCTTCTGGGCTGAGAACTTCCATGGGTTGGCATGCATTTGAGGCTACAATGGTCTTCTGTTCGAGCTTTATTATTCAAAGACAGTATATGAAGTAGCAACGAAGAAGAGCTTCCGAAAAGGATTTAAAAAAAAAGGCAAAATTAGTTACAGAGTGTTCACAACAGTGAAAAGTACCTCAGTTCAGATATACCGGTAGTCTTTCGCCTACCTCGGTGGCTCCTCATTAACCTCAGGTGTCGAACCCAAGAGGAATGCTACATTGGGTAATTCTGGTACGAGCGGACGAGCGAGGTCTGCCTTTGAACATTTGCAGCTATGGTCATAATTGAGCTTCATGTGGCGTTTGGTATAGCACACTTGCATCTAAACGCACAATGACTTGCGTTCATCATGAAACAAGTAATGATAAGTTATTGCGGCAATGCCGGAAACGTCGAATATGCTGTCACTATGATCCATATCGTCGGTGTGGGGTAACAGAGCGCGGTACATCTGCGGCTCATATATAAAGTCTACTCCCCTCCAGTTCCCAAAGAGGAAATTTCTCGTGAAACCACGATCAAGGAGAAAAGCTAAGACGGCAACGCTACAATCTGCATTCTCTTTTATTCGATTCACTCACTGACCAAGTGGTTTTGTAGTGGAAATATGGATATTGAATGTCATGGTCCGCAGAGGCCCGACGGTGAGTTGCAGGGCCAGGCTTGCAATCTGGTAGAAAACTTCATACGACGGCTGCCATTTCGTCAGTATGGGTATTGCTATAAAGAGTTGACATGTCGACCATACCTTTTCAGGCCTCACTTGCTACTGATTTATACCAGCAGACGACCATGTATTCTGTACCTGAAGAGAGCAAGAAGGTCTTTCAACAAGGAATACTAGAAAACCCGACCATCATTCCCAACCTGCCAAAAGACTTTCAAGATCATGCGAAAAAGATCAAATTCGAGGGAGAGAATGCTCCAACCATGCCAATAAACTGGCGCTTCGCCGAGAGCATCTCTTCGATCAAAGCCTTAGAAGCCACGGTGCTTCTGTCGTTATTGAAGAGGAAATATGATGTGGAGCCTCAAGAAATCATCATCAACACGTGAGTGGTCATAACATTGTCGCTAAGTCACTATAGCGACACCTCTTCCCCTCTAAACCAACACCCTCACCCCCTTCATCTCTTGCATCCACAACTCTCGTCCTCAACTTCCACAACTAACAGATTACCAAAAATAATAGCGATCATGCACAACTTTTCATCATGTCCACTTTATTGTGGGAGATTGACCTTGAAGGAGCCAAAGTGACATTACTCAACGGCAGCGACCCGAATTCTGAAAATGGAAAGCTGTTGGAAGACTGGTTCCCTTCGACCGATAAACATAGACTACAAAGGACGCACCATCGTGCCTCTTGTACGAATATCTACAAGACAAAGGATGGCAAATATTTCCATCTACATGGTAAGGAGGACTTGAGTAAACTTCCGATTTGTTCTGTTTGCTTACTTTTTCTCTTAGGAAGCATGAATCCTGATCCTAGCTTGGATAGTATTGGACTGCCCCATGATTTAGAACAGCCAAACCTCGAAGCGGCCTGGAGTCCATTCATGGAAAAGATAGGGCAGATAGAGTCGGAGGATATGCAAAAAATAGCATCAGATGAGTACAAGCAAGCAGGGACTATTTGCTGGACGAAGGAAGAATATAAAAATAGCGAACATGGCAAAGCCAATGCCAACGCCGGACTCTTTGAAATAAGACATCACCTAAATCCCACCCAAATTCCAAGTTGGTGGCCAGAGACGGAACAAACTGGCCCGAAGCGTCCTTTAGCTGGCCTGAAGATCGTTGACATTACTCGAGTTATCGCAGCTCCAGTAATCGCCCGAGGCTTAGCAGAGTTGGGTGCGAGTGTCATGAGAATTACAGCTCCACATCTTCAAGACTACTCTTCATTACATTGCGACCTGAATTGGGGAAAATGGAACACTCATTTGGACTTTCGAAATAAGGATGATCTCCAGAAAGCCAAGGAGCTTATTCGCGATGCGGACATAGTTGTTACTGGTTACCGCCCTGGAGTTCTTGATAAATACGGGCTTGGAAACGATGGCATTCGGGAGCTAGTCAAAGACAGAAGTCGGGGGATCATTATCGCCAGAGAGAATTGTTACGGTTGGCACGGTCCATGGTCATACCGAAGTGGATGGCAACAAATCAGCGATGCAAACTGTGGCGTCTCCATAGAATTCGGCCGAGCAATGGGTAACGATGAGCCCGTTACACCTATCCTTCCAAACTCAGATTACTGCGCCGGAGTAACAGGTATCATAGGAATCCTCCAAGCACTAATACAACGCTCTGAAACAGGGGGGTCATATGACGTAGATGTGGCTCTGAATTACTACTCTCAATGGCTTGTTAACTCATGTGGCATGTACCCCCAAGAAGTCTGGGATGATGTGTGGTCAAGGAACGGCAAACCAGTCTTTCGACATTACCACAATATGAACTATACGCTACCTAGATTCTTCCAAGCCATGATACAATCTGGTACTGGCGAGACGATTTTACGAGATGAATACTTTGAGAATAGAGAAACCAAGGCAGTTGGGGTAAAAATCAAAACCGTCAAGCCGATTTTACAATTTCCAGGCAAAGAGGTGGAATTGAGGTACAATGTTGGTACCAGGCCCAATGGTATTGATGCAGCCCATTGGCCGACCGACCTAATGACAGAGATAGTTGTACAAGTATAAAAAATATATATCTCAAGTACCTACTTGTCGTTATGATTGCAACGTGAAATGTAGTATCAACAATTTTTACGTGATGTTATAGGCATGGAACATATCATCTGAGTGCAATAGCCTCTGTTATACAACACTCCATGACCTATCGCGAGTGCGATCAAGAATCTTTGAACAATACAAGGGAAAACAATGTGGAAATAGTTCATCTATCTATCCAACGTCTAACATCTAAAAGTCCAACGTTATCTAGATCAAGCTTCTAGCTCTCTATATTTTCCAACATCCAAAAGTTCACCCAATGTCTCCTCTAAACCAATCTCAACTCCAAGATCAAGTATAAATCGTATCAGTCAAAGCATTAAAACTCAACCCCTCCTTCGCAAAATCCACCCCATCCATAAACAACAACGACATCTCAACCAACATACCCTTCACCCTCGACAATTCCTCCTTGACCTCCTCCACCCCACCCGGAAACTCTTCTTTGACTACATGACCATAAAGATACTTTGCCGGCTCCTTATCTTCCTCCTCCGTATCTTTTGGACTGGGGGATACAAAATACTGCTCATAGAATTCATGATAATCATCCCAATTCCTGACGTTATCGGCCGGGATCGCATGGAAGACTTTCGAATACACTTCGGTATTGGTGGCTGCGCGTCCATTCCAGAGATTGGTGAACTCGGAGGAAAAGACATCTTGGACCGCGATATCAAATTCGGAGCCCCAGTCGTATGCGTTGGGGTCTTTGTTGATGGGCATGTAGTTTGCATCTGGCTTGGTCCAATCTTGGGGCGCAACCATTCCGAGATGTTTTCGGAAGAGCTGTCTGCGGAGAGAGGTGGCGTATTTGGCGGCTTGGAATTCTCGGCCGTTCATGACGGAATCGACGGTGTTGGAGTCTTCGATAACGAGGGCGATTTCGGAGTCGTGGGTACCGAGTTGAGAGCGGTCGTTGAGGTTGGCGGATCCGCAGATTACGACGCGATCATCGGCGATGAGCAGTTTGGTGTGGATGTAGAGCTCTTCGCTGACGAAAGCATCGAGTTCGGCTTCGGGAGTGCCGTTCCATGGGATGGAGGTGATAGATGGTCCGTTTTCCATGTAGCATGTTGAAACAGTATCGTGTTCTTGGCTTCGGGGAGCAGCCTTCTGGTATTGATCATATTCGTAATTTTCTTGGCCTTCACGAGCACCGGTCTCTTCACCGTAGCCACCATACCCAGCACCAACGATATCATCGTGCTCTTTCCTAGCACTTTCGTAGCTGACGCCACTTTCTCGCTCTGCTTGAGCCATCGTGCTGTTGTCATTGAGTCTGTCGTAATTCCTCAAGTTGTAGAATCGGATGTATTCCTTTGGATCAGGTACTCCAGCTTTGGCAACTGTTTCCATGATAGAATTACCACCACGACAAATAGAACTATATTGATACTCCATGATCGCACGAGTTCCCAAAGCATCGTCTCCATGGAGATCACCAGCAAAAGCAGGTACTGCCGGCATGCAGACAATAACTTTGTATCGCTCGCCATTTTGATAAGCACGAATAATTCTTTCTGCAATCGCAGCTCCGATCTTATTTTCAACTGGGTGTTGTTCATCGGAACAGGCAGTGATGAAAAATTGGTTCTCGATGTAGATGAAGTGTTGACTGCGACGAATAACCTCAATGTAAGCATTGGCGATCGAGTGCTATCTTAATTAGCATACTATAGGAGACTCTATAGACGATTGGATTACCTCTGTAGCCACTCCGTTGCTCCATTCCGTACAACTTCTTACAAGTTGGATGGCAACGCCGTTTTGATCACTTCCGGATCCCAAACTACCTCCCATACCACCAAAGAAGGTACCTGCGCGACGGATTGTGTCCGAGATTGCACCTTCAGTAGTTGAACCAATATTTGTACCGTCTTCGTTGTAGTATCCATCCGGAATATCATTTGGAATCAAGGACAATGCTGTATATCTGGAATCTTTGTAATCGTATTTCTCTCTGAAGATAAAATTCCATCTTTGGACGAAATGAGCCCGGAGGTCCTCGACTTTGAAGTGTTAGTCAATATAATCTCTGGAGGAGCATAATAATAATAATATCTCTGCAAATATTACTATTCCGAATCATTTAGCTTACCAACTGGTCCTGTCAATGACATTGACAAATCCTGCAACGAAAGTCAGATCTCATAGTAATACATGTGGAAAATTCGAAAATACATACCGACCATCCCATTCTAGAGTTCTTTGTGCGATCAAGCTTATTTTCTTGCCAGTTTGTTACATCCTGGAAATCGTACACTCTTGCATTGTTAAAATCTTGGCCAGGGAAGACGATGTTATCCAAGTCACTTGGATGAGCATCGGAAATTGGGTGTTGATTCACGTCCCATCTACCAAAGCACAAATCAAGACCACCCATAAAAGCGACCTTGCTGTCAATAAGGCAAAGCTTTTCGTGATGTGCCCAGTATAGAATAACATCATTTCGAGCTCCATATAATGCTTTGATACCTTCTTCCGGAAGTTTTGCAAGATCGAAATCTCTCAAGTTGAAGTTCTTTAAGTCGGTAATGATTTCCGATTCGACGTGAATACCACTTGGAGCATGGTCAGGATGACGAAACACGGAAATGTTGGGATGGACCTCTAGAGCTTTCTTGGTGTGCTCCGAGCATACTGAGATTATGGTTAGTCCACGTGATATATGGTCAAAATTGAAGACAAAACATACATGTCAAAACTTTAGTAACCTCCTTGTAAACAATGATGTTGACTTTCACGCCTCTCTCAGCAGCAGCCAAAAGCATGCGGTCAAGTCTATACTCTTCGTTTGCCGATGGAGGTCTTCTCAAGTAGAGCTCAGGGGTAAGCCACCAATCCAGAATCCAGATACTCTCTTGGGCCTCTTCCAAGGCAACAGACACAGCCCACATGTACGCACACCCATCGATATGCCATTTAATATCATGGCCACTTCTTGGGGGAGCAAAACTGCCAAACCTGTTCTCATTCCCATTCACATGGAGTGCATGGCATGCCTCTCCAATGTGAGTGTGGCTGTGTTTCTCGCTGTCCGCAAAACCTGTGATCTTCGAGAACTCCGTCTCTACTTCATTTACGAAACCGCCAATGGCAGATTTGGCTTCATGAAAAAAGTGAGACATATTGAGTAATGTTTAGGATTGAATGGTGATTTGAAGGAGACTTTGAGGATGAGCTTTGTTTATGTACCGGTGGTAGATACGAGGAAATGAGTATACTCGGTAGCTATGGTGGGGTTTTGGAGGCTGGGTGGAGTGATTTTGGTGGGGTTATCTCAGTACATTTGACCTATGGGAATGGTGAATGCACTCCTCCGGAGGTACGACGTACACCGTCAATATCGGCGACAATGCTATCAGTGAGTTTGATTGTAATATATATCTGTGGAGTTTTGTTACTTATGTGCATGTCGAGAACAAGGGATTTGTGTTTTGGACGGTACCTGTTGTGTTTCATGTGCAACCTCTGGCTGATGTGAGACGTTCCGGTGTAGACCCTGCAGATGGGACATGGATGCATCGTTACCGTGCCATTCGTTGGCATAGCATGATATCCACGAGTATAGGGCTCAATAAGCTTTCAGCCTATCCGTATGGTTGGTTTGAGTGGAACGTTGTCCAAAAAGTATATCTTTGGCTGATGCATGACAAGCTCAGCTGAAGAATCGTCGAATAATAGAGGTTTCGTCCGTTGATCAAATGGCTTGATTCTGATAGAGATGGCGACTCGGAGTCCGGGCAGATTCAGAGAACATGCGCGTGAAGCAACGGTAATACTGGGTTTGCATCGGGATTCAACCTATGCCGCAATATTCTACAGTTGTATTCAAAAATCTCAAGTTGGCACATCAGCAATTCTCGTTTTTGGATCCAATGTGTAGCAAAATCCAAAATCCTGAACACAAAACTCTCGTTACCGGAATTCGGGTTTCCCAAACACCAAAGTAATACATTTCATATCATATCCAATGATTTGTTGGTCTTCATCCGGCTGTTTTTGTAATCAAATGAATATATCAAACGATGTATGCTTAAAGCAAGTCTGGGAAAGACATTGCTCGAAAAGAATGTCTCTCCAGATTTAGCCCACCGAAAATCAAGAGTACAGACTTGAGCAGAACGAAGGAATAAGAAACGGCGTGATGATAATGATATACTGTACTCCTCCGTAGTAGCGGGGACAGGGGACTCCACGATATAACAGCCATGGAAATCTTACCCGGAAGTATAGACTTTTCTTTCCGTACAACAGCTGTGGAAGCTTGAAAGTGCAAGAAGGGGAATACGTTCCTCAGAGGTCCAATACTATAACTTTTGTCCTCGTCGCCAGATCGACTCTGTTCAGGGTACCACGACTTGTTGCGATTTGACTTCTAAGTGACCGAGTGTGTGCTCGTGAATGCGCTTGCATCAATAAGACACTTTTGAATCTGTCCGACCTTAAACTTTATTTATCAAGTGATGTAACATGGCAACGAGAACTCCCGTGGTATATTATCTTCAAGTTCCCGTATTCATGTAAAGGCAATTCAAATGATGGAGTTGTGATGGAAAGAGCTCCGGTTCGCTTATAGGCCTGTACCTGCCTATATCGGAGAACATGCTAGCCTGTTTTTAGCAAGTACAGTACGCCCTCAAGATACAGATGACATTCATCATCAATATTTCACCACAACATAAACACATTCTCGAGACATCTCACAAAAACAATTACATGAGAACATAGAGTTTTCACAAGAGCTACTCGAGTAAATGGATCAATCATCTGGATTATACCATTCAGATCTGTTCATTCAAAAGCACCCAGAGAAATGATTTCAAGTATTCCAATGTGCAAGGCGACAATAACCATGCGGTGGCAATTTATGCCGTGGTATTTTGCTTTCTCGAGTGACAAGCAGCTGGGCGAAATAACAATAAGGGGATAAATATATTCATTCTCTTGCATTCAATCCCATGGCATCCAGGACCGAATAACTACCAAAGCAAGCCTATCGTTATGACATCCATTCTCTCCAGCCTTAGTGTCTATATGTCTTCTTGATCACATCAGACGCTCGCTCGGCCATCGCATATACCGTTGCTTGCAAATGGGCAGCTGGTAACATTGGAAACGTACCGGCATCAACTACCCTCAGGTTATTGACACCATAAACCTTATAGTTGGAGTCCACGACTCCTCCGTATTGTCTCTTCATCATAGATGTAGATCCAGTTGGATGATGTGTCGTAAAAACCGTCGAACGAACCCAAGCCTCAAAATCCGCCTCGGTTTGCACACTTGGACCTGGTATTGTCTCGACTGGTGATAATGGTGCAAATGTTGGAGTGTTGATTATCGTACGAGCATATTTACCCGCTGCACTCAAAAGAAGAAGGTCTGTCTGATGAGAGAGAAATCCTGGGTTCGCAGACGGCGGAGTGAAAGGGTCTGTTGAAGTGATCGCCACTGAACCACGGGAAAATGGATGCTGAAGGATTGCCAATACTGACCCATCTAAATAGATGAATTCCATAATTGGCACACTGTTGGATGCAAGATCTCGAGTGAGAATCTTGTACTGGGCTTCATATCCTACCAAGACAGACGGGTCGACATTGGATGGTAAATACGATGCTGGAGTGATGGATGAAGCTAAGGAGACAATTTGCAAAGTTGCATTGGTGAAAGAAGGAGTTCCGATAAAAGCATATGCGTTCGCCCCTGCCGTAGAATACGGCCCTGTTCCACCGGATTAGAAGCGTTTTGGGGTATTCAGATACCTTACGGACCTGTTCTATTAAATTTATACAATGCGAGCATTTCAGCATTGAAAGTCGCATTGCGGGTCAAATTGTTCACTGAAAGAGCAATGTCCACTATGTTGGGAATCAGTCGACATCTTCTCTAGATTTGGGTATATGAACACACAAGTGGTTGTGTATCTGAGCAATGGGTGATCTTGAAAGTTGGCCCCAACCCCCGGCAAGTTCACCACTGTGTTTATGCCGAATTGTCCCAGCAAGGAAGGGTTTCCGATTCCAGAGAGTTGAAGCAGCTGAGGTGAATGAATGACACCAGCTGCGAGAACTACTTCCTTCGCCGCAAGCGCAATTGACCTTGAACCGTTGGAGCTAGTTGAATACTATTTTTGAAGTCAGAACATTCTATCAAACACACGATTGACAAACACTTGCCTCGACACCAGCAACTGACACCCCTCCGCTATTTGATTTAGTGATCAACCTCGTCACATGGTGACCAGTCAAGAGGTGTAAATTGGTTCGATTGCTTGCACTATTCCAGTAAGCGGTTCTTGAATTCGATCGAGTCTTGGTATCGGGGTCTAGTGAATGTGGATTCCACAAAGCACCATTCACATCTCCATTCAGAGAATCAAATACCTTGCGGATTCCGAGAAATTTCATGGCAGTAAAGAAGTACTCTAGTAAGTGTCAACAGATATAAAGTCAGTTGTGACAAATTACTCAACTATTCGACGGCCAATAGAATGTTGGATAGCTTGAATGAACCTATAGGCAAAATTAGTCGGCACCTTGATCCTATGTACCCATTTGCTTACATAGCCTTTGTATCCATGTGCTGTAGGATCGGTCTGTATATCCCATTCTTTTGCAATTTCGGGTGCAGGTGGTGTGTAATTGGTTAACTAATTGGGAAACAATTTAGTTAATGTACTTTTTCAATAAGTTGAAGACAATGAATAAGCGTACTTTTTTGAAATACGGGAAAAGATCATTCCAGCCAACCCCACCGACTTCTACCCAGCGATCATAATCTACTTTTCCAGCAAGATCGAACGCCATCAGATTCAAACAAGAGCCACCACCTACAACCTTGCCCTGTGCTATAGCGATCGATCGATCATTCGCGGCTGGCTGGGGGGAGTAGGTTAGATTCCAATCATACTTGGTCCCTGTGGCACCCTTGCCGATTCCCGCTAGAAGCGGGATATATATGAAGTCTTCCCCTTGATCACTAGACATCTATTAGATAATTGCTCTATACAGTTCTTGCATATCTGACACTCACAGTTCGCCAGCTTCAATAATGAGTACTGTGGTTGCTACTTGGTGTAAGTTGTCTATCGTCAATCATCAGATTGACTAGATCCTGACCTGGATTTTCAGACAACCTGTTTCCAACGACGAGCCCGCTTGTGCCGCCGCCCACGATAATAAAGTCGTAGTTTGTGAGGAGTGCGGTATCACGAACGACTATCTTTCCACCGAGAGGAGCTCCGTGAGAAATTACCGTTAGTAGGGATAATGTTGAAAAAAGAGAGAATAGAGACATCTTGAAGCAGTATGTACACGATAACGGTACAAGATTTCACTACTTACGTCCAGGAGATGACGAGTGGTTACCTTGTTTAAGTACAATAGGGCAAGAAGAGATCTTCATCCAGGGTTACATTGCCAAGTCAAGCCTAGATGCAATTCGTCCCTTGCTTATGTTTACCCAGACTGCAGTAAGCCCAAACCACAATTTCATTGGCATACAAAGTTTCTCAATAGGATATTCGAGCTGCGGACATATTATACAGCAAATGGCGGACTCTTCTTGGCACACGGAGCTGACTTATTTTACCAGGTCAAATAAGTCGAATAAGTCATCATTATCGGAAAAGCCTCTATCTAAAGGCTAATATGCCATGATATGATTGGCAGACTGAAAAGTCATATCCGCTTCGCTGCATTACAGATCCTGCAGCTTCACTAGGATTTTCTTTCCTCCAATACCACTTTTCGTCAAAAGATCAACTCCAAAACCAACCCCTCCAAATCCAGTCGCCACTATCTCTCCATAATTTGGCTCTAACCAACCTTTCCAGAGCAAACTTTCCAGTCTCGGAATCAACTTTTCTACAGCGCGGTTTGTGGCGTCGCCGGCGGGCTCTCCATATTTGCCGATTTGTTCGAGGTGAACGTGGTAAGTGCTGGTGTCTTCTTGTTCCTCGATTGTATCCCTATTTAGCTAGTCAGTAACTGCAAAGAATTAATGGGATATCGAGAAGAATATTTATACCAATCATTTGTAGTTGAAAATGTTTTCTTTTGTGTTTTAACCGCCGATTTGGTTTTTAAAGCTGCTATACCTACGGCGGTACTTGCAGCTGAAGCATCGAATATACCGGCGAAGTCTCCTGATGTGATTGATTCGATTTCAGATAGCTGGGTTTCGATGGATTGTTTGTAGTCGAACGTTGCATCTGCGCCGGCGGATCTGACGACCTGAGGAGATATAATATATCAGATATGTTTTAAAGCTTGTCCAAAGTCAGTCCCATAGTGTGACACTCACCTCAATACTAGACTGCGAGCACGAAGCGAGGACTTGGTATCCACATAATTTTGCGAGCTAGATATTCGTCAATGCCAATGCACGCGTGCTCCATGATCATAGACGGACCTTGATACCATATTGACCAACCGTCGATGTACCTCCTAGAACAATGAACCACTCTGGTTGATTTTGGCGCTCGGCGGGATACATGATATTGTTTCCTTCATCCAGACATATTGCAGCCGTCTATCAATATTGTCGTTAGCATTTCTCGTTCCCATCCCCATCTCCATCTCCATCTCCATCTCCATCTCCATTCCCACAACCACACTCATCATCGACGGATGAAGTAAAAGTCCCCTCTCACTCACCAAAAGTCCCACCCCAATCGTCGCAGCTTCTTCCACCGAAACTCTTTCTGGCCTCTTGAACGCCAATTTCTCATCCATCAAATGCTATTTTATCACCCATTACTCGTTAGCCTGTCATTTCTCATTTCTCATCTTCTCATTCCTCATTCCACCCCAATAAAACAACCTACAAATTCCTGAAACGTGCCATACCCCACACTCCCCATCCTTGTACACCCAAACACGCCCTCTCCCACGCGAAATTTCGTAACTCCATCGCCGGTCTCAACGACGATTCCTGAGGCGTCGCAGCCGAGGACGATGGGGTATTGCGGGATGAGGAGGCCCGTGGTGCGCATAAGGTTGTCTCTGGATTATCCATCTTCTGGTTAGTTATTTCTGAGTTGGTTTGAAGAGGGCGGTATGGGGAATATGGGATAGGAGGAGTTTGGAAGATAGGATAGAATAGGATAGGGTCAGGAAAGAGGGCATACAAAGGATTAATACCCGTAACGAGCGATTTGACCAGTATTTGTCCTTTGCCCGGAACAGGCCGCTCGATGTCGTCGACGGCTTGCCAGGGGGCATTGGGGGCTGTGATTATAACGCCTTTCATTTTGTTGGGTAGGTACAGTAGGTAGGTAGGTAGGTAGGTATTGGAAGTTAAAGTATTGGATTGAATTGAATTATGTGTGAATCGACTGACTGCCTGCTTGTGTGATCTAATTGAGGAGGGAAGGGAGGATTATAGATTATATGAGAAAGTATTTGAGGTTGTTGAAGAGAGATGGAAAGAGAGGGAAAGATCTCTGGGTTATTCAATTGTTATTCATCCAGTGTGTATTATGGTTCGATATTATATGTACTCGAGTTATGTGGTGGTGCTTTAATTGGTTTACCCCTCCTTTGTTATATACTGTACCGGTAGAGTACCATTCATTTATCTTTACCCCTCATTTATGCAAAGGTGAGGAGGGCATGACTTCTTTGTGCACCAATAGGAGGTGTGGGTTTCAGCCTTTGGAGAATGGGGAATGGAATTCATGTATTACAAGTTACAATCTACTACTTTGCAAGTAAATTAATTGATTGAGAAAATAGTTGGGAAAATAGTTGAGAAAATAGTTGAGAAAATACTATATGGTAGTGGTTGTTTGTTGTGCTACGAATACACTGTATCTATGATTTTTTTGGGATAGTGTGTAGGATTGAGTTATAGTTGATGTGATTTGATTTGATTTGATTTGATTAAAGGTACCGGTAGGTAATGTAATGTTCTATAGTAATATTCATAGAGAATAGATGAGCTTTTCTGTATAATATCGTATATCGTAAATCCAGTGTCTAGTGTCCAGTGTGCAGTGGGTTTATACTCGAGGATTTTTATAATCGACATATACATCGTTTGTCAATTAGACGGTATTAATAGTAGTGAACTTAGCCTAGCTAGCCTAGGGAGGAAAGCAAAATTGTGCAGGCTATAGCCTATAATATGTCATTTCGACACACAATACAATATTCTTGCACCTTGTATCTCTCAATTTAAATCATCGCCTTTCCTACTATTTTTCTATCTTGTCTGTTCTATTCTATTCTATTAATGTGTACCGGTAACTCCTTCTAAATTGTGAGGAATCAAGGACCGTGACTGAGATTTGTCTGACATCTCATCAACGAGGAAATTATTAGTAGCGGCTAAGAATCTAAGATGATATTATATATCAAGCTGCGAACTGATAAGATATAGCGCCTGGCATCTGTGAGCATCTAGCATCTAGCATCCATCGCTCAATTCTAGACTAATAGGTGCTAGAGTCTACAGTAGATCTTTCTGCAATCTTTAATATAAGAATATAAATGGTTTTGCGATTAAGATTTAGGGAAAGTGCATAGAAAATTGGAGATAGATAACCTTGATGGAGATCTAAAAAGAGAGGACAAAAGTCATGTAAGTTTCATTTGGAGAGGATGATCTGATTCATTAAAGCTACGGAGGGGTCGAACGCTATTCAAGTCAAACTCGAGAAGCTCACTAAAGTAGAGCTATTCCCATAACCTATATGCCGGAGGTATTAGAGAGTAATTAGAGCAATAACTATCGAAAACGTGAGGGCTGATGTGAATGCGGGACATGACGAGAGAACAGAAACCTATGATGTTTGTACGAATAGGTGTTAGATATTTTGTAAATGTATAATATAAAGTATATATCCAATTACTCAAGTAGACGAAGCAAGATCAGATGAATAAGCTCCATTTTTGCAAATATGGAGTAAATAGGTAAATAGTAGCTATTCGGTCAACAAATAGGTGTTAAGGAGAAATTAGATGAGATGAGATGAGATGAGATGAATAAAAGGTAGAATATGAGATCTTTTGCGAATACACTAACCATATTAGCATCAATAATAAGTAAGATCTTACATGAATGATGTGACAACATCCAAATCTCAATCTCCAAGATCAATATTCTCGACTGCTCATCCGAAGTTTAGGGATTACTATTGTAGATATACAATATAGATTATCTCCGCAAAAAATCGAGTCACGACAAAAAGAACAGCAATACCGGCATTAGATTCTTCAGAGCTTTCATATCAAACTCTCAGAAAATTCTTGTAGATATGCAACAAAACAAATTTGATAGGTAGCTAGCTGGTGAGTATAATAAAATAAAATAATATGGGATGGATATAGTATTATGAGGCATACTCATCTGAAGTTTGTAGACTATACTGTAATTGTAACAGCCAATAACATGAAGCGGAACTCTAGCGAAGATGACATAGAATGATAGAGGGGAATGAGCCTACTGTAAAATTAACTACACTAAATAGGCGACGTCTAGCTAGCTCTTGCAGATGCGCAATCAATCTTTTTGCCAAGCCTCATAGTGAATGACAGAATGCCGAGACGATTAAAGGCCATTTGCAGGGTCTCTCTCACAGCGTCACTTGATAAGAATCAGCATACCATTACAAACACTACCTCCGTCCACAGTCAAGCTCTGTACAAAATTTCGTCCCGAGAAACGTCTAATTGTAAAGCACGAGGTGAATACCGCCGGGAAAGTTTACATGATTTGGTTCTTTTGAATATATGAAAGTTATTATAATGACTAGACGTAATTTAGATGTCCGAACTTCTAGCTAAAACGCTTGTAAACCCACTCTGGACACCTCACCACATAGACATTATTGTGGCATGGCAACTTCAAGATGAGACTCTCGTATATTCAAGAGATTAGGAAACCAGGGTCGATTTATATGGGAGACACTATCTTTTAAAAGGAGGTCTTAACTGAATTTCTATATACAATCAACAATATTCTAACGTGTTTTTGAAAATCCTACAACTTCATTATGTATTTTGATGAAAACCATCAGTCATGTTCAACGCTAATTTCATGTCTTCGTCTCAACGGGAAACTTCGCTCATCAATCGTGAGTTGCCTATGATTCTTTGGTAAAAGCTTCCCCTGCTCTTGACTTCAGCTTCCTATTTCATGACAATCGCACATCTTTCTCTCCAGTTGGTGCTCTGTAGGCATCTTTCTTCTTATCTCCATCCCCGTCTCCATACATCCAGAATTGTACACCCAAAAACAGATCGCAGCACATCTGGAACATGCCACATAACTTAAAAGCCCACGGTATAGCGCTCGTCGCAGTGAAAAACCAGAACATCTTCATTATATCACCGGCGATCCAGCTGGCCATGACTGAAAACCGGAAACCTTTGCAGGATCGAGATTTGAAATTGGCAATAATTTGCGGAATTGGGAGTATTGCTTCTACACCAAGGCCAATGTAGCCGATGGAGTCGGAGTAGACAGAATAGAACCATGGGGTAGGGGAGAGAATGAGTTCGCATGCGATGAGGGCTATAAACAGGTAAAGAAGGAACTGCCAGTATCTGCGAATTTGATCGTTAACATTTGGAAATCCCCTCTGCAAGAGGTAAGAACAATGATTACTTACGGCTTCGGGGAACGCCATTGCCAGAAATTATATGGTCTTGACCCGCCATGATCTCCGTCCCTATGCCCAGCAAATGGAATGGCTGCATCTCCCCCTTTCGATGATGGTGACGGTCGCTGATCGAGTGCAACTTTCAACAGCATAGTTTGCATGACAATCATGATAAACGACTGTATCAGTAAGGACTTATCAAAATGGGCCCCCGGATAGTAGAAAACTCTACAATGAAGAAGATTAGCACCATCTTCCCAACGCTCATTATTCCGCAACATACCTTAGAAGCGACGCAACAAGCATAATCAAAGGAATGTCTAAAGAAAAGCCCGCGCTAGACTTGCTCCGGTGTATCGAGTATGTCTGATCCGCATATGAAGTTATGGGAGATATAATGATAAACATAGGGGCTATGTAGCCAGAAATGAATGAGATGAGGCCCATTTTGAAGGGAATGATTTGGGCGATTCGGAGCCAGGAGTGGCAGATGTGAGTACGTTCTATAATACAAAGTCCATAAAAACTGATAATATGTTTAAAACCGATAATTGGAAAAAACTGAATTAAAGGCAATATATGAGATATTCAGACCAACATATATTCAATTATTTTAAAATAACAGATTCGATGATTGATGACATAATACTTATTCTGATGTCGGTGCTTGTTATATCCGATATCCGAAGTTCACCCAGTGTAGGAGTCTCGATAAGATAACAAATAACATAACAACTGGATGAAGTCATCCAGTGGTTGGGATGGTGACAATGTCAACAAACCTGATGAGGGGAAATATTCCATGCAACCACTGCATATGATACTGCCTTTTGCAAGTTACTTTTCTACATATATCCGCAGTCCTTTACACTATATAATGCATCGTTTATTTAATACACCTCAAAAGCGCAAGGGCGCATCGCCTTCTAAAGTTCCACTCAACGGACTCTTTTCTGATGGAAACTGGCAGTGTAAATACCTCGGCACAATATGTATACCCATCTATCTAGGCTAACATACTGGTAGGCAATTGCAACCCAAGACTATCAGCAGTACGTTTTCAGGTCAAGAAAGAAGGACCGAATACCGGCCGATGGTTCTACACATGTCAAGAGCCCAAAGAGACTGGATGTGGATTCTTTCTATGGGATGATAAAGCCAAGGGAAGAGAGATGGGCGCAGTGTTGAACAATACAAGAACAGAACCTCATACTCCCGACTCGCGCATACCGGTAACTCCATCAAAGAATAAAAGAACTTTAGAAGGGCATGCGATGGCTAGTAATAAATGGCTTCAGGATCTCGGAAAGAAGGGAGAAGATGAATTTGGCGAATGGCCTTTGACGAGGGAAGATGAGGAGAAAGTGGTTAAGACGGTTGAGAGGACGGACCCTGGAAGTTTTCCAGAGACTCCAAGGAAGGGGATGGATAGTAGGGCAACGACACCCGGAAGCAAAAGGAAACGAGGCGAAGAGGAAAGTAATGGAGCCAGTATGTATCCTACGCCTGCGACAAAAGGGACTCGAGACGAAGATATTTTCGGCACCCCATCTACAAGCCGTCGAAGGTTAAATGGTGGAATTTGGGATGGAAATGAACGATCCGCTCTATTTGGTCCATTCGAGTCCGAGACTCCTTCCCCGTTCAAATTTAAAGATGCTACAATAGGAGCACCTCCAAAATTCATGGTCTCTCCCTCCCCGAGCATCACAGGAGATTTGCAGCCAAGTCACGACGTAACCGAAGACATCATGAACATCCTCCAGGATCAACACATCGACGAGGAAGCCGACGCCAAATTACGTCAAGTTTTAAATCGACACGCACTCAAAATATCTGGTATTGTGAAGGGTAGAGATATCACACGAGCGGCGCTGAAAAGCAAAGATACAAAGATCGCCGGGCTGCAACAAAAGATTATGGTTCTGGAACATAAACGCGATATGGATGAAGCCATCATCAAGCGACTCAGAGTCCAGAATACTGGCTAGGGTTCTGCTTCGCTTCGGATGTGAGAGATATTCTCCAGAGTATTTACCGTTAAATTAATATTTCTCGTCCCCTAATAAGCATCCTCTATCCTCCATCCTCAATCCTCAAACCAACAATGCAGTACCTACTTCAGACAACTATTTGAACCATACAAATACTATTCAAGTACCTTTTGGTTTGGTCCATCAACTTTCACTACTGATTAATAACTTCACAAGTAAGCGAGACACTTGAAATCTACCCTTTCACAACTATTATGAGAAACTGATTTATCTATACTCGTAGGTATAATTATATACCCACTAGATATCTAAGTGCTCCCTCCCGATGGCTCTAGATATTAATAGTGTGAATCGCAATCCCGCAGCCATTCCTTCCTCGATGCTTATAAAATAGTAAATAGTCGATTATTGACGGTTTGACTCTTAGTCCCTCTGGAGAGCGGTGGGTGGGAAGATGGCAGCGGGAGACTTTGTTTTGGGGGGGACGGATGGGGCTAAATGAGTCTTATTGCAAGCAAGATGCACGCTTTGCGATAGATGGATCAAATATACAAGAATTGGGAATTTCATTCTGAAGGAAAGAAACAATTTTTCATTTTCGCGTGATAACCATCTATCTTGTATTTACCCCTAAACTCCCATCAAAAGCAATGCATGCAATGATATCCATCCCAATTCTGACCAAAATTTCATCCATAGAACCCATTCATATCGCTGCAATCAACCAACCCATCTTCTAGCACTCTTGAACATTCTCACCCAGGGTCCAAACTCTCCCCATTCCTCTACACTCTCCTTTGGCACATAACTACCCACATCTGCCATGATTGTTCTCTCAGGATGTGGCATCATAGCCAATACTCTTCCATCCAAACTTCTAACTGCTGCTATACCTTCAGGACTACCGTTTGGATTGTATGGGTATCTCATGGTTGGTTTACCAAAGTTGTCGGTATATCTGATTGGGATGAGGTTATCTGCGTTCATGGCTGCCAAGTCGGTATCGTTCTTGAAAGAAGCTTGACCTTCACCGTGAGAAACGGCGATGGGTAGGGAACTTCCATTCATGCCGTGAAGGAACACAGATGGCTTTTTGGCGTTGTCTTGAATCTTTACCATGCTGACTCTACCTTCGAATTGCTGAGATTGGTTATCAACGAACACAGGCCAATGAGAAGTACCCGGTATCAATTCGGATATACGACTAAGCATCTGGCAACCATTGCATACACCCAATGCAAAAGTATCTGGACGTTTGAAGAAATTCTCAAACTCTGGTCGGGCTTTTTGCTCGTGCATAAGAATGGAATTTGCCCAACCGCGACCGGCACCGAGGACATCACCATAAGAGAAACCACCACAGGCAGCAATACCAACAAAATTGGCGAGAGAATAGTGGCCGGAGATAATGTCAGTCATGTGCACATCAATAGGATCAAATCCTGCAGCCTTGAACGCGAATGCCATTTCGGCGTGACCATTAACTCCTTGTTCACGGAGGATAGCTACACGAGGTGCTTTTGCAAAAGTGGATGTGATTGATGCTGTTAGTGGCAGAATCTTCTCCTTAGGTTCATAGGTAAGGGTATAGTGGAGACCAGGATCGCGATCATCTTTGATGTTCTCAAACTCCACATCAGCACAGTCAACATTGTCTCTAAGACGTTGCATCTGGTAAGATGTTCTGGTCCATTGTTGTTGGAGATCAGATCTAGACATGTGTAAGATCGACTTCTGTCCGTGACGAATGGCGAGTTGCTGTTTCGATGCAGCTGGGACTCGTCCAATCTTTCTAATGAGTCCTGGAGGAGGCCCGCAAGTAGCAAAACATCTCCTGAAATTAACCTCATCCGATTTTCGGACTTGAAAAACAGCTCCAAGTTCTTCATTGAATAAAGCTTCGATAACATGAGATGAGGATGAGCTTTTGGATACTCCATCGAGCATGATCTCAGCACCACACCGTCCAGCAAACATCATTTCGGCGATCGTAGTCAATAAACCACCATCGGAGATATCATGATAGGCCAATACAACATCAGACTCATGTAATTGTTGCAATGCGTCGAAGTAGTCAATAATGAGATCAGAGTCCCTAACATCTGGTGCCTCATCTCCAATTTGACCGAGAGATTGCGCAAGTGCCGATCCACCCATAGCTTTGTGACCTTGGGCAAGGTCAACATACATTAGTATAGTTTCTCCGACATCTTCAAGTCTTCGAAGTGCAGGTGTCCATGTGTTACGAATATTCGCTACTGGTGCAAAGGCAGAGATGACTACGGTCATAGGAGCCGTAACTGTCTTCGAATCTCCAGTCTTTTGATCCTTCCATGAAGCTTTCATTGATGTCGAATCTTTACCGACTGGGATACTGATTCCCAACTTAGGACAAAGATCCATTCCAATTGCTTGGACTGACTCATACAAAGATGCACCTTCACCAGGTTGGTTTACTGCAGCCATCCAATTTGCGGACAAACGGATACGGGGTAGGTTACCCAGAAGATGTGCTGCTCCAATGTTCATCAAACTTTCGGCAACAGCCATTCTAGCGGAAGCTGGACCCGAAATCAAAGCCAGCGTAGGCTTTTCACCCATAGCCATAGCTTCACCGGTCTTAAGCTTGCCACCAATGTTAAGAGCAGTAGCCGTGACAGCTACATCTGCAACAGGAGTTTGCCATGGCCCAACCATTTGGTCTCGAACTGTTAAACCTCCCACAGTTCGATCGCCGATAGTAATGAGGAAGGATTTGGATCCAACGGAGGGCAGAGAAAGGACACGCTCGATCGCCATTCTTAGGAGATCATGATCAGGAATTTGGGGATAAGCTTCCCTGAGAGACTTCTCTGCGTTGAATGGAAGAAGCTGTGGCTTCCTGGACTTCACGATCCTGTCCAATTTCCTGTCTTTAGGGAACAAGGTAGACATAGGAAGATCGATTGGTGTAGGGTGCTCTGTCGAGTCGCGGTCAGTCACCACAAGTTTGGCAACTCCATCTTGGTCTTTAGGGACAACAGTTCCGACATTGGAGAAGCCACATCGTTCACGCTCTGTAAGTGATTAGTACAAAATTCAACGCTTTTTGTGGCAAGACTTACTAGCAATGCTGGTAAACCTAGCAAGATCTTCCTTATTGACAATCAAGACGTAGCGTTCTTGGGCTTCACAGCACCAGATTTGTAGGGGGCTCATGCTACCATCTGCGCTTTCAACATTTCTCAATTCGAATTTACCACCGTAGCCGGCATCATTTACAAGTTCGGGTAAAGCATTGGACAGTCCACCAGCTCCTACGTCATGGATGAACGCGATAGGGTTTTCGTCCTTCATGGCTCTGCAATGATCAATCACCATCTGAGCTCGTCTTTCCATTTCTGGGTTTCCTCGCTGCACACTGTCGAAGTCAAGCTCCACTGAGCTTTCTCCAGCAGATGTGTTACTTGAGGCTGCGCCTCCACCAAGACCAATCAACATTGCTGGGCCACCAAGAACAATTACATGAGCTTCTGGTTTCACATCATTGCCATTCTTGAGAGCGTGTACTGGTCTGACAGTACCGAGTCCACCGGCGATCATGATGGGCTTATGATACCCACGACACTCATCCGTTGAGGCATCTGCATCTGTGAGAAGAGTACGGAACGTGCCAGCAAGACAAGGTCTACCAAATTCGTTATTGAATCTGGCACTACCAATTGGTGCCTCCAACATGATATCCAAACTATTGGCATAATGTGCCGGCTTACCAACATCCATTTCCCACGGTTGCTTGTGTCCAGGAATCAACAGGTCTGAAACCCAGAATCCACAAAGACCAGCTTTCGGGCTGGATCCTCTACCAACGGCACCTTCATCTCGGATCTCTCCGCCAGAACCAGTTGCTGCTCCCGGGAAAGGTGAAATTGCCGTAGGATGGTTATGAGTCTCGACCTTTGCTACAATGTGCACGACCTCAGGGGTCTGCTTCCAGCTACCAGTAGAGTATTCGGGGGCCCAGTGACTTGCCATCTCTCCTTGCAACACGGCGGCATTGTCGCTGTACGCTGATATGGTATAATCCGGATTTTTCTTGTGAGTGTTTCGAATCATTTCGAATAAACTCCTATCCCTGCCCATGCCATCAATTGTCCAGTTCGCATTAAACTGCTTATGTCTACAATGCTCAGAATTGACCTGCGCAAACATAAACAATTCAACGTCGGTAGGGGATCTTCCGTGTTGAGTGTATTTCTCCACAAGGTACTCCATTTCCGGTGCGTCTAAAGCTAGACCACGCTTCACGTTATATGCTTTCAAAATTTCGATTGGTGATGAACCGTCTACCCAAAGGTCAACAACTTCCAGGGGAATTGGCTCCCCTTCTTCGAATATCTTGTGCACATCTGGTTCTTCGGCACTAATGTTCTCAGTCATGCGGTCGTAAAGCACATCTTTGAATGGCAAATCCTCTCCCTGAAGAATTAGGAAGTTAGCAATTGCTTATCAAGGAATGGCTAAGGCGAAAGTGCAAGTGAATAGACGATGGTGAAGATGCCGAGAATAACATCCAAATAGATCCAAGCATCCAAACATCCAAGTGAAATTCAAGATCGGCGAATGTGAACGAAAGGAAACCAATCATGCTCACCTCTGCCTCGGATGGATCCGCGAATTGTATCAATATAGCCCGACCTCTTTCGATTCGTTGAACTTGGGATTGAAGACCGCATACATGTGCGATATTTGTGGCCTTGGAACTCCAAGGAGAAAGATTCCGCGGAGTAATATCTGAAAAAGATTGGGAAGTTAGTAATGCAATCGATTGATTATAAGGGGAGGGAGGGGTTGCGGTCTATCCAAGAGGGAAGAGAAAGCAGAACTGTATAATGAAATGGCAATCATGCTTACAATATATCTTGCTTCCCGGCTTATCCGCCAGTATTGCCTTTGAATCTGAAGTCAAAACACCCGGAAGAAGTTGTTTGATTTTGGCCTCAGTATCGGGATCAGAATGGCGCAGATGAGTATAATGAACCCAAACACCCTTAAGTTCGACCTTTACTGAATGAAGATCATTGATTCTAGCAGCGAGCTTCACTGCCTCAGCTGGTGTGAAGCAAGAGTCTCCAGACAATTTGAAGTATGCCATTCTTTCTGCCTGTTGTGCGAGAAAGCACAACTTGAGAAATCAATTCGAAATATTGGAGGGGATGGCGGGGTTATAGAACAAGAGAAACAAAAAAATTACTCTCCCCGCCATGAAGATTGCGACTCATACATCGGGTTAAAGTCGGAGGATCTACAATGCCCCAGCCTTATAGAGCCTTTGTACTCGCTAATGCCACGATAAGCTAAGCCTGTTTTGTTATTAAGTGAGTACCGGTACAGATCATGAGAGTCCTTGAATGGTCTAAATGATATAAACAATCAGAAGATAGATATTATTAATATACTGCTAGGTAAATATCATTATCTTGAAATACTAAAGCAATATAACTCGTATAATACTATTTACTATCTTAATATAAAAAGGCTCAAGCGGGTTCCCGCGCCACCATAGAAATACCCGCTCAGCTCCCGCCTTTCTCCACATTTTCCATTCATAACCCAAAAAGTTCCTCCACCAAAAAAAAAGAAATCAGGAAACGAAAATGCAAAAATAAAGTCTCTCAGGCGCGAGTCGAACGCGCGACATCCAGATCACAATGAACAATTACAGTCTGACGTCATAAACCAACTAGACGACCGAGAGTGATGTTCGAGTTAAACTCGGACCGGTCAGGTTACCACTGAGCCATGAAATGGCTAGTAGTGATTATGTGGAACAGGGCTTCTTTAAAATCTATAGCCATAATCCGACTTACTAAGTGCATTTTGACCACCCACCAATTCCACGAGTATTTCTCTAAAGTTTCCCAACTACAACTCACTCACTGCCTAGGTATTTCTCAACAACTCGGGATTTAATCTCAATATTCAGAAATCATATACCAGAACATGAAAGATCTCTTACATCTTGTGGTTACGGATAACTTCATACAATACGTTACCGGTAGTATATCAGAATTCTTCACCCAGCCCCAACAATCTGCAAGTGCAATCCACGATCGCCTGATCACAGACATCCATCCGTTCATCTATCCTTCTCGCACTAGGTATCCATGAGACAACTCATCCCGTTTCTATCCTACATCATTTCAAAAGCGCAGTCGAGGTTCAAAGCCCATCAAGCCTCTCCTCGGCCTTCTATCACGTTAGGTAATGTTTATTCCAATTATAACAACATGCTCAAAAGAGCTCGTAATGGCTCGCCTTCCATATCCGGTTCGTTCTTACAATCCATCTGAGCGAGAACCCATATACTAGTCGAGCGGGTATCAGTGTATCACTCCCTAGTATCAATATCGTTCGTTCTCTATGAAGTTTACTCCCACAATACAAATATAAAACCTTACTCCCTATCTCGCAAATATGACTCCTATAATAAACCCAATACAAAAAATTCCTCATCATTCCACACAACAATCAACACAACCATGACCGACACCACCGAACTAGCAAAAGGCTATACATTCGTCAGCACCACCCAGTATCAAGCCGGCCTACATCTCCTCCAAAAACTCGCCATCACGCCCACCACGCGCATTCTCGACATCGGATGCGGGCCCGGTAATCTCACATCCCACATCGCATCACTTGTGGGTCCAAAAGGAAATGTCATCGGTATAGATCCGAGTAAAGAGCGCATTGCACTCGCACTCGAGAGTTTTAGACACACGACCAATCTATCGTTTCATGAAGGAATAGCTGAAGATCTTTCGAGATTCGAAAATGCGAGTTTCGATATCGTGTTTATGAACTCTACATTCCACTGGGTGACGGATCAAGCTGCCGCACTTACCGAATGTTTCCGTGTTTTGAAACCTGGAGGGAAATTGGGGATTTCCGGGGGGTCGGGGGATTATATCGCTATACATGAGAAGATCAAAGCGGCCGTTTTATCTCGAGATCCATACTGCAAATACCCGGAAGAAAACCCGCCGAGATTTCTTAAGCAGGGGGAGATTGAAGTCTTGCTTGATAATGCTGGGTTTTCCAGACGGGAAATTGGCGTGAATAGAATCGTAAAGGAGGCGAGAGATGCAGAGGGGATGATGGAGTGGTTGGATACGAGTTCGTCGGGGAAAACTTATGGGGGGATACCGGTGGGGTTGAGAGGGGCAGCGAAAGAGGAGATGATGAGGGAGTGGGAGAAGGTGAGTACGGAGGAGGGAATAAGAATGGAGATGGAGTTGTTGGTTACGGTTGCTTTCAAGGGGTAAACGGGCTACTTGTTTGGTTGGGCAATATGGCGGCTTCGAGATCGAGAAAATGATGAAACGATTATGGGTTTTCATGGGTTGGCTGAAGTATCCATGTCCAATTTCCGTTGAAGGAAGACTTAGTTCAATTCCTGCAGACTATGTTTTTTCTTACTTCAGAGAAGTCCTGACTACCATGTGAAGGACGTAAGGTAATGTTGGACACTAGTGTATCCCCAATCTTTACCGGTAGCAAAATATTTCTTCGTGAGCAGGCCATCCATAGTCCGGACTGCAATCCAGATTCTACAGTCTTCAATTCTCGGAGATCTGTGTCTATTACAAGTGTATTCAATGTATTAAGTAAATTCGATGCATCAAACGACTAAAGAGATATCAAGTTTACAGATCCTCATCGTCAGATCGCAGTCCAGACTATTAAGAACCATGTTCGTGAGTTTCCTCCCCAACCCTTTGCATCAAATTTTCCAATCATCGATCCAAGTTCGACCAGAAACTATGCTCCATCTAGCTTACACACAATTCTATCACTCAAAATCCACACCAACCATCACACCCCCCTCCCCACCCCAAACCTCCTCACCAGCTCCCCCCTCTCCACCCCCACCAACCCCAACCTCTCCAACCCCCTCCCCTCCACCCCATAATCCCTCCCCATCGCCATCCCCGCCATCTCCACCACCGCCCGCACCTTCACCTTCTCAACCCCCAATATCCCCGCCAACACCAACCACGGCACCAACAAATCCGGTACATCCTCTGTAATATACCTATTATCAAACGTGCGGGGCGCCTCTATCGTATTATGCGGTTTAGAATTCCGCGCCAGATCAACGAGATTGGTAAACTGCGCATCGTAGCATGTATTCGAAACATCGAGGACGCTATCGAGGTGAAAACCTAGCGCAGCGCCGATTTCAAGACGCGTTTTGTCGAGCGCGAGAATGGCGTTGGAGATGGAGGGGGTGAGGCCAGTGTGGTAGAGGAGGAATGGGTCTGGGCTTTCGATGCTGGTTGCGGGTTGGGTTAGTTACTTATTTCATGAATCATGTGATGGTTTTCTCTCTTTGAAGTTTCATACACCAATCACTTCATCAACAGGATAAAACAAGAGCACTCACTTACCGACCAGCATTCATCAACATCATAAGCGGATGAAACACGCCATTAATATTCAACAAACAAACCTCAACCACATTCCTACACCAATGAAGGCGCATGGGAAAAATCGCATCAATCTCCTCCTTCAACCCAGCATCGATGATCCCCCCCAAAGGTGCAATTGAAAATCGATTTTTCTTCCCCAATACCGATACCTCTCCCCGAACCATCCTACACGAATAAGGACTCAAATTCGTCTCCAACACACACCTTACATTCAACCTCTTCTCCTTCCCATCCCCCTCCCCATCCTCCCCCAAAACCCCACCACAAAAAACCAACCCAAACAAATTCCCCGGCACAACCACCAACGTATGCTCCCTCAAATCCCTCCCCCTCCTATCCCTCCCCCTCAATTCCCCCACAATATCCTCCTGCCCCGTCGACGGCACCGTAACAATAATAATTTTCGAAAAGCTCACCACATCATCCATATCATTCGTCATTTGCGGATGCGTCGCCCCCTCGATTACACCGCGCGAAAGCAGGTGGCCGGCAGAGAGCACATGCGAAGCGTGTTGGGTGTGTAGGGGATGCGTGTAGATGAGGATGTTATGGCCGTGGGTGGCGAGATCGGCGGCGAGGGCGAAACCGGCGGGTCCGCCGCCGATGATCGATATGGAGATGGAGATTGGGTGAGTCATGGTGTGATAGTGTGTGTATGGGTATTCAGATGTATATATAGTCCCAACAATCGTGAATCAGAACTGATATCTACACCGATACTGTCTATAGCACTCTATTATATAAGAAAAAGATAAACGAAACCACCAACAGAGCCGTACAATCATTCATTTCCTCATCTCCTCATCTCCCGAGTTCATAGAAGATCCAACCTATAAACAAAAATTTCCTCGATAGTTCCTCCACTTGAGCTAGTGTGAGCACATTTGATCTATTTAATCATGTTTCAGTTAGCGGTGATCACCTGCAACTAGTTCATTCAGTTCATTCAGCTCAGCCGACTCAGCTAGAAATTAACGGGTAGGTATTGCTCAGACTGTCACTGCTATGGTATGGTATCTTACCGGATTCGGATTCGGATTCGGACGTTAATTTGCTCCAATTGCCTCTATTCCTTGTAATGCCGCATATTGTATGTTATTAAGTTGTTGTGTCATTATGTTATAGTTGAGTACGGGGACTTGGGAGGAAGGGGGTTGGTCATAGGGCACATAAGCGAGATTCGTGGAGATTCGTGGAGGTTGTGAATGCTATGTTTAGCGCTATGTTTTGCAGATACTATACTTGTGAAGATAGAGTGATAGATTTCGCTGATGAGAAACTCAAGCTCAAGGTACTACAGTATAATATCCGATAGATCCTCTATGTTAGATATCAATATCGATAACGAATTCTGTAAATCGGGACTCTTTATCTTTATATCTAGAGTCCTTGTCAATCCGTCAATCCGTCAATCCAGGAAAGAAAAGGAAAAAACAGGAACTTTGAATAACACACCACGCAAAGAACATTGACAACATTAACTATCTATCAAAAAGAAAAAGAAAAAAAAAGAAGCTACCAAGCAAAAGACTCCTCAACTAAATCCACTCTAAACCCATTCTTCACACACATTACCACTTCCCTCGTAGCTTCATCTGCCATACGGCCCGGCCCACAAACCAAGATTGCTGTTTGCTGCCCCTTTTCCACTGAAGATTTGATCACGGCTGCTATATCCATTCTTCCCATCATTATCATCGTCTCTGACACTTTCGACCTTGGAAGTTCTTTTGAAGTGTCATTGATATTAATACTGTCTCCCTCTTGAGCAGCAGCATCAGCAGCAGTAGATGAAGAGCCCGTGCACCAGAATGACTGTTCTATAGTATCTATAGTGTCTAACCCCCCATCAATATCCTGCGCCAGAAACTTGCTCCTCACAAATTCGATGAGGGCCATTTCCTTAGCAGACCAAGCAAGTATAAAGCGCGTTGCTTTCTTCATAATTCTGCTCCTCGATGTCCTTTCTGAACTTTCGTGTCCTTCTCTTTCTCCATCAAGTTTTCTATCATGAGTGTATTCTTGAATGAAACCAAGAGCATTGGTAATACCAATACCACCTACGAGACAAACAATGGTGTCGGCGATTAAAAGCGGTTGGAGAGTGGCTCGATGACCTGCATAAGGTCCTTCGATGTAAATGGACGTTTCCATGCTAGAACTCGATGGCGAGGATAGGAGACGGCGGCGGAGTGCTGAGGTCATTCCTGAATGTGGACGGATGAGAAAATGGACGGATGCGCGAGTTTGGGTTTGAGATTGGTGCTGAACCATTGTTTGTTGTTTTCCTGCTGTCAAATTGGTTTGTGAACCTGATTCTCTTGCCATTGATACAGTTTCATTAACCCCTTCTCCTTCAGCCACAACATCGTGAGTAGAAACACTAGTAGATTGCGGATGCTCCTGTCTCCTCCATCCAGCAATACTGAACGGATGACTTTCCCAAAACCTGCCCAGTTCAGGAACATAAAGAAAAGTATGCTGGCCCGGTCCAAAGTCCCAAGGAACTCGTGGGAACACGGAGACTTGCATGATATCACAATTTGGAATTGCTTCTACAATCGCTCGTGAATTGCCTAAATGATTATAGTAAGCAACGCGAACTAATCTAGCCAATCGATCGGCAGACCAAAAAGCAAACGCGATGTAGAGCCACACTTGGTAGCCGAAGACAGATCCAAAGTGAGGCACGAGATGATACCAGCATCCAACCAGGGCGAGAATAATAAGGATGATGTGAGTTATGACAAAAACCTCGTAGAATTTGATGCGAAGTGGAAGCGAGGCGAAGGCGATTACTAGCGAAAGCGCTACGGTTGCAATGATTCCCCACCACTCCAGAAGATGTCAGTAAATTAAAGCCACTATATAATCGAGTACAATCGAGTACACTCGAGTAGTGTATACAATCTTCGTATCGGGACCACCCCAAAACTTGCAAGAAATTTTCAAAATGAGACCGAGGATTTCACTGGGAAGCAATGGAATGATAAACATACATAGAAAGGTTCCGCGATTTTGGCAACATAAGCTGCCGCTCCACCACTGCCCGGTTCAAAATACGCGACGGTATAACATATCGAATGCACCACGGCCTGTAGAACCGCCACCCTCGCAGTCCAACGATGCAAGGTGATAAAAGTTGATTGACCCCATCCGGTCAGGTTAATCAAGATATTATTCCTCCCCGCAAACAAGGTGGAAATGCTCATGTTGACCAGACTGAGAGTGCCCGTCCGATTTCCGACATACTCGCAGAGTTCAAATTGGGGGGCTGCGAAAAAGGTATTAGGGAAAAAAGTTCGAAAAGATACGGAAGAGAGAACCACGTTTAGAGCGATGTAGATGCCAATGAAGATGCTGAGTATTCTGCCTGGTAAATAACCGACATTGCCAGGTAAAGGTTCGAGATGCCGAGAGCCGAGTAGAGAAGGGAGGAAGATGTGTTGTTGGAGCTTAGCCCAGAGAGTTGAATAGTTCATTTGTTTTTGAAATCTAGGAAATATACTTCTGGCCTGTGCCAGAATTCCAGTTCCAACGCAGATGCCAATAACTATGAGATAGAGCATCACCCTAAAGTATTTTATGAGTCTAGAGCAAAGGAACGAGTTTGAATCAATGAAAGCAAAATGTGGGAGAACATACGAGTATCTCGTGTGAATATATTCCGATCTTGCAAATTCTTTTTCGGTGCCATGAGTGGCATAATACGTATTGCTGTTTACCAAGCTGGTGACGTTGAGCCATAATGCATCTTCCGAGAGCTCGTCTGTCGGAGCCGTAGCAGGTAAACTATCCTGGAAAGTCGGCTTTGGAGCACCTGCGACTGCTTGAGTACTGAAGCATTTGGCCTGCTTTTCGGCGCTGTATCCATCGGCATCACAATTTTGTTGGATGCAGTATGCCATTGTCTGTAACCACGGGATATTTGTTGCGTAGCACTCGTCGCTAGTCATTATTTCCATAGCCATATCAGAGGACATTGACATATCCATGGACGTGTCATCGCTATTCTCAAAGGTGGTACAAGTGAGGTAGAGTGAGGATAAGGAGTCATGGCATGCTTGGCAGCAGAGGTCTTGGTACAGAGAAAGACCGAAACCAATGATGCCATAATCGGTTGCACTTACATGATAGATATCGAAGAAAATGAACAGAATGAAGAATGTAACTCTAATGGTCATTATATGGCGAGTCGCTCGCCGATTGACTAACGAACGAACGTTTGAATTCAGATTAGATATCAGAACGACGAAGTTGCAAGGAAGAGGTGTAAATGTAGTTCAACGTGCTTGATGAAGTACAATCTGAATGCCACACGCTGCTGCTAATAATATAGACGTAACAGTGGAAGATGAATAAGAAAGAGCGCCGCAACGAGTTGTTTTGAGCGACTCTAAAATTGGTCTGGTTGGTTGCTGCAAAGGTAGGTCCAGTGCAGGCTCATGTACAGGACATGATCATTATATTCATCTTGTATGAAACGTTACTAATGTAATGAATGGGAGTGGTTGGTTCACCAAAAATATGTGTTTTGGCAAAACATGTTTGAGAGGGAGATTGAGCAAGTTTCCAAAAGAACCAACTAGCCAACTAGCCCTAGCGAGGTCTGGCCCGCCCTCCAAGCAAATATTCCCTCCTCCTACTTTCAATGTATGGATTATGTCAGTGTCACCTCCCCAGTCTGGAACCTTGCGCTATGTATGCATAGACCATCCATATATTTGAGTGAGAATGAGGCACTTATCCCTTTCCTGAAACCTCACCTCACCCTGATTGGTTGATCGCTTGTAAATGCATATAGGATGGTTATCACCAAGCCAATTGGTAATGTACTGTGCGCAAACTTGAGATGGGCAGCAGATCATCTAGCAATCGCAAAACCGATATGACAACAATGAGTAGAATAAGTAAAACCCAACTTGATAACAAATAGAATAGAAGGAGTGCTAGTAATATAAGCGAGAAGTTGGACTACGATCAAAATTCCCTTACAGACTATGAAAGGAATGGAGAGAAGATAAGAGACTTATCATCAAGATTAATATTTATTATCTCGCATATCAACCATTCATGATGTCATCTAGCGAACTAAAATTCTCATCTCTCCCATTTCCCATCTCAAAGCCTGCTCCCCCCGTCCATCCATCCATTTACCAATCTCACAGAATAATCAGTCGCTCTTTTTCGGATATTCGCAGAACACAAACCACTCCATATGGATCAAAATGACGCAAAGCTCAAAATGTCATATACTGACTGGTAATCTAATACTCAGCATCACCCTCCTCAGGCTCCAAACTATCAGCAGCAACCTCTTCATAATCTTTCTCCAATGCTGCCAAATCCTCTCTTGCTTCGCTGAATTCTCCCTCCTCCATACCCTCACCAACATACCAATGCACGAAAGCACGCTTGCTGTACATAAGATCGAATTTGTGATCCAATCTTGACCAAGCCTCGGCGATAGCAGTAGTATTGGACAACATACTGACAGAACGATCGACTGATGCGAGAGCACCATCGTTGGGTGCAGAAGATGGGACGGACATAGGCTTTTGGTAGTTGATGCCGAGCTTGAAACCAGTTGGACACCATTCGACGAGGTTGAAGGATGTCTTGGCCTTGAGGGAGGCAACAGCGGCGTTACAATCACGGGGAACGACATCACCACGGTAAAGGAGGGCTACAGCCATGTATTTTCCGTTGCGGGGATCGCAGACAACCATTTGATTGTTTGGCTCAAAGCATCTATATATATAGTCAGTATGTAACACTAATTCTAAATGGGAAAACGTACTGGAGGGTCAATTCTTGAGTCTTGAAGCTCTCGTGAGAACTTCTTGCAGCAGAAATGACTGGAGCATAACTGATCAATGGGTAATGAATTCTTGGGTAAGGAACCAAGTTTGTTTGAAACTCATTGAGATCAACGTTCAAAGCACCATCGAAACGAAGCGACGAGGTAATGGAGCTGACAACTTGAGCAATCAACCTGTTGAGATGCTCGAAAGAAGGACGAGGGATGTCCAAATTGCGGCGGCAGATATCGTAGACAGCCTCGTTGTCAACCAAAAAGGTGCAGTCGGAGTTTTCGATAGTGCTGTGGGTGCTGAGAACAGCGTTATATGGCTCGACAACAGCGGTGGAAACTCTTGGAGCTGGGTAAACTGCGAATTCGAGCTTGGATTTCTTGCCGTAGTCGGTGGAGAGACGCTCAAGCAAGAGAGATCCGAAACCAGAACCGGTTCCGCCACCGAAAGAGTGGAAGATCAAGAAACCTTGAAGAGAAGAGCAGTTATCCTAGTGGCAGAAAATTAGTAATGCCAATTATAGACACATGAAATTTCCCCTTACCAGAACACGACGAATCTTGTCCAAAGTACCATCCAAGATCTCCTTTCCAATTGTATAGTGGCCACGGGCGTAGTTGTTGGCAGCATCCTCCTTTCCACTGATCAGAAGCTCGGGATGGAAAAGGGATCTGTAATCACCAGTTCGAATCTCGTCGATTGGAGATGGGTCGAGATCGACGAAGATGGATCGAGGTACGTATTTACCGTTACCGGTTTCCGTGAAGACGGTATCGAGTTCACCAGATTCGTGGATGGCCTTTGCCTCTGGGTTAGGACGACCATCTTGTAAGAGACCATGCTCAAGAAGATATCTAAACTATCAGTATGCAGTCGAGTCGAGTATACTCAATAGGATCAGATCAACTTACAGCTCCCAAGCACTGTTACCAAGCTGAGTACCAGCTTGACCGATATGGAGGTGAAGAATCTATAATGAATGAATCGTCAATTAACAATCAATGCGACGAGAACATAATGTATGGACGAATGGGGAGGATATCGATATCTCCTTGAGAAGAGGTGGTGTTGAAATAGAGAATTGTTTTATTGATTTACCTCTCCGCGAGTCATCTTGAATTAGCCTTTTCGAAGTATATGGGGGGGAGAATGAATTGAAGTCGACGATGAGATATGGCAAAAGATGTTCCCCTTCGCGATCTCAGTGATGCTGGGTTTATGTTTATTTGGTGAAAGAGTGGATTGCTGGCAACTTGTTCAAAGTTGATGATTTCCTATTCCTCTCACTTGTTGATTTTGAATGTGGGGCCAATGGCAGATAACGCGGCGGTGTACGAGAGTAGATTTTCAGGGGTTATTCGAGTGACGCTAGACCGGATTTGCTCATTTACTTATCTTCCGTACCTACATTTAATGTCACGTGTGTTGATCGAGAATTCATGAGTTATCTAGGTATACTCGAGTACTTCCGTCAAGAGGTACAAGATAATAAGAGGTTAAAAAGTTATCATTATTGAGGTTATTCCTAAGTGTAGATAAGTATAAGTCTAAGTGTAAGTGTAAACGTAATATGAGCTGGTGCATTCATCAATATATTTCACTATCTTTGACAACTTCGTGGTTCTCTCTCTTCCTCTATTTCGAACTAGGAGAAAAACGTCGACACGATTTTAATTAAAAAAAAAGTCATCATTGAGTGAGGGGAGAGGCTACATTATTGTGAATTTATCTCATGAATTTTGAATAATACAAGCGTATGAAAAGCTCCTATCCGTGATTTAGTATACATCGAAGAAGAAAGCAAACAAAAATAATGCTCTGCAAAAGAAATGAGAGCTTCGGAAGATTCAAAGCAAACATCTTCTGCACGAATTGTGCTCTAACGCCGAAAGGAGAGTTTGGAAAACAAAAGCACACTGCTTCTTCCCACTACCAATTTTGCCCATTATCCTCACACAAATTTCCTCTGTACCCCTCTATACCTTGGACTGGAACTTAGTAATTAAGTTCTCCGGATCCAGATCCAGCAACAGCATCGAGATCTTCATAAGATTTTATACTTCTGCCGGCTGTTGCTTCACGGGGTCCGACAGTGGTACCGCCCGGAGCTACTCCGTCGCCCCATCGGCTGCCGCCACTAGCTGCCGCACCGCCACGGCGTGGGCCACCACTACCGGGAGGGCTTAGTCGACCTGCATTCGGGTCCCAACGATTCTGATTGGTTCGACGATCATATGGACCAGTTCGATTGTTTGTTTGGAATCGACCACCTCTTCTAATGGGACCAGGGCCACGATTGTCAGGGCCACCGTTCCAGCCCATGGGAGATTGAACAGCATGACCCGCAAGGAAAGGTGGGAAGCCGGTAGGTGGGGGAAAGCCTTGTATGGGATGGAGGCCGTTCAATCCAAAGTTCTGAAGATTGAAACCACGTGGAGTACCTGCTGGCATATGACCAATAGCTGGAGGGAAATGTCCATTGCTATTGGCATCCGATCTTGATGGAGCAATGTGCGCAGGATCGAGAACATATGTATTGACAAGATTAAACTATACATGTTAGTTTGGACAATAGCAAAAGGTTCAAATAACTTACGTCTGTCTTCATGCTTTCGAGCCATTCAGGATGTCTTTTTTCAACGTGCTTCTTCCAGAAGTGTTCCTCTTTGAATAATTTGGTGCAGTCTGGAACCCTGCATCTATATTTGTGATCATCTTCTTGCTTCACAAATTTGATCAACTCATCTTTCAGAGAATCATCAGTTGGCTTTCCACCAAGTTTTCGCACATCAACATTGTCCGGATCGAGGATTTGCAGGATCTTCTCCTCAAACGTTCTGACCCAATTGAAAGCGCGTTGAAGTTGTTGTTCTGCCTTGGAAATATTGTTGCGACTGAATTTGCGCTCACCCTCCGGAGAGGAGGGATCCAGCTCCATTTCATCCTTGATAGGTTTCTTTCCAGGAAACACGTCACCAGATGCACTTGCGCGAGCAGCTACTTTGGCCGATGTGGTAAGAGTGTTACGTGGTCGTCTGAGATGACCTCCAGGGCATTTTCGTGTGAGCTCGTGAATCGAATCACTCTCGAAAACACAGAAGAAGCAAAAGTTGAAGACACGTCGTAGATATTCAACCATAAGATCAAGCTGCTTCTTCTTGACAAGAAGTTCTTCATCATCAATCTCATCGAAATCGAAAGCACCTTCCTCTTCTTCCTCCCCTTCCTCCATCTCCTCGAAATCTTCACCTTCGTCCATTGCTTCGTCAAGACCAAGTGCATTCTTACTTTTCTTGGCTTTTTTGGCAGTGGGAGCTGTGACTGGTGGTTGAAGACGGCCTTGATTCTTCAATTCATCCACTTTCTCCTCAATCTTTAGGACAGCATTGAAGTCGGAACCAAAGTCTTCTTCGAACTTGTTGACAAGGCGGGTGGCCAAGTCAAGATCCTTCTCAATGCGTTCAGGGGCTGAAAACAGATCCCAAAGTGCCTTCTTGCGCGGAAGATTTGGTGGTACATGAACACCGACGTGGCAAGTAAAGTCACCTCTAACTTCATCCTTGACGGTCTTTCCATTGATTGCCTCGAGTGCCTTCTGGGCAGTAGTGAGTGGAGCTGCTGGTTCTGCAAAGGTATCATCTGCTTCATCATCCTTTATTTCAGGTCGATCAAGAATGGCAGCCGAATCGGGCGCGGGATGAAGCATAACCCAGCCAATTCTATGGTAGCGTTTGCTTGGGTTTGGATCGCTCAAGCTAAGCCACTTGAAGCCACCCTCGTCCTCACCCAAGTGCTCCTTGCAGAAAGATTCGAGATTCGTGCGGCTAACATGAGGCGCAATCGTCTTGATAAGCAGTGTAGGTTGGAAAGCGTTCTCGTCTCGGATATCCCCACCTCTCGAAGGAACTAAATCACCAACACCTAAAACCTCATTGGCAGCGGTTGTCTCTCCCTCTTCCTTTTCGATAATACCACCAGTGCCGTTGCTTTCGCTTTTCGGGATGCCTTCCAAAGAGTATTCATCGAAAGTTCCGGATTCGAGATCTTGCTCCCACTGGCTATAATTGCCGCGGCGGAACTCGTTGACTTGTAGACGTAAGGCATCTCGCATCTCGGGTACGTATCTCTCCATAAACCACTGTTCTCCTTTGTGCTCCTGCACAAACGTACGTGCCATCCTAGCTTGAAGTTCTTCTTTGTATGCATCATACGCAACTTGGATGCGAGCCTTCTCGGTGTCACGATCTTCTTCACGAGGTCTGAAGATTTCACCACGCTTTCCAGATCTAGCGCGCTCCTTTTCTTCCTTGATCTTCTCATTCGTGCGCCACCATTCTCCATAGTATGAAAACCCAACTTGGAAGGGCAAGATGACTGGATCCGCAAGTGGATTGGAAGTGACTGGAGGAGGAGCACTGGAATCTTGACCGGGCACATATCGATCAATATTGGCTGGAGCAGGTGAAGCAATTCGTCTTCGATCCTCGCGGTCCCTCGATGATCTGTAGTCATCTCTATCTCTTGTTCTACCACCGGTTTCATAACGCTCTACTGGAGATCTGGAGCGGTCGCGTGTGTTTCGTCGTTGCCTATCACCGCCAACTAAAGAAATAATCATGTAAGCATAAGAGTAGATATAATATGCATACCGACCCATGAAAGTATCTGAAGCGGTTGTATCGTAATAATCAAGCTGACGAGAAGAGTATTTCAACATCCAGGCTCCATGCCTCGCATTCCCGTGCAGCTTTCCGAAAATCAAAGGATCATTGAGCTAACAGAATTCGACATACCAGGAGATCTACCGCGGTAAAATGATTCGCGGTCGCGTTCAATCTTCACGCCTCTAAAACCATCGTCGCGTTCATTTTTAACACCATTTCTGAAGCCATCATCACGTCCAGCCCAATTCGTTCTTTCGGTTGGCGACCGAGCGAGCGGTGGCTCTCTGTTGTAACCATTGTAGCCGTCCATATTGTAACCGTCCAAGAATACTCCGCCTTTGCCTTTCTTTCGATATTCAGGCTCTGGACCGATCAGACGTTTTGGTAGGACAATTTCGTTATAATCAAGACCTTTTAAACGGAATTGGTTTGTGGAATCGGTTTGTGTCGATTGCGATTGTCAAGTGACACCTGTTGATTGTCGGGAGGTGATGACAACAAAGCTACTGCTGTTTGATAACATGATTGCCCGTTAGAGGATTACTCAAAAATGTAATATAATCAACAAGGTTATGTTTGAAGTGGGGATATAAATGCGATATAAACTGGGAAACAAGAGGCAAGAATGGAGTAGAAAAAGAGGAGTAAAAGAGGTCAGCGCCTATAGATGGCAGATAAAAAGAAAACGACGACAACTTGTTGTTGTTGATGTGTATGCGATCTGATGTGATATTGATGTGTGATTGAATTCAAGACTGAAATTGAATAATCGATCAAGAAGAAGGAAATCAATTGTTATGTTATGTGCTATTTATCGCAATGATGTACAGAAAAAGGATGTAGTATGTGTGTATGGGTTTTTGAGGACAAGATTTTTATAAGAAGAATAGAAGAATAGGACTGACGAACAAGATTCAGGTATGAGTAGCTGCTGTTTAGAATAAAACTTTTCTGCCAAATCAATATTGGATGGATGTTGTTGATTAAAGGTCGTCGGAGGAGGAGGAGACGGAGAAGGAGGAGGATTGGGATAGGATTATCAAAGGGAGCTCTCTTGCGCTTTCGCGCCGTGCTTATTAATCAAGGTAGCACAGTCCAGGTCAATAATCAATAATAGACTAGTGTGATAGATAGCAGTCATAGCACTCGCGAAAAGCGGAGTATGGTTATTATAGCAAATATAGTTTAGTGTACTTCGTTTAAGAGCATGAAATGATGATGATTGGCTATAATCCAAGATAAAGAGGTGGATACAGACTTTTATAATCGAGGGACCAATTAAATGACTTCAATCCCCAGAATTAAGGATATCTCCAAATGCAGCTCTCCAAATAAAGCCATGAAATGATAATGATATGCATGAAGAAACTCATAATGGGTTCAGGTTCATCCCTTTGGCTGGTTCGTAAGGAACAAAGCCAAACTGATGGGACGATATCTACTAGGTACCTAGGTATATATATCTACTCGAGTACTCATATATACTTTTCTATTGACCAATGTGTAAACTCCTCCTTGCATTACGTAACAATAAGTACTGAGTACCTAGTAATAAGTATTCCAGCAAACCGAGGTTCTCAAGCATCTCAAGCTTCTCACTCCACCCACCAGCTACTTCGCATAAGACAAACCGTACGTCATCGAGGGGATGAGCTGATGATTCCACGTGTCCACATTCAAAAGCACATAAAGTGATTACTTTCGACCTCTACTAAACATTTCTTCTTCAAGCAATTACTAAAAGCTCAACCCGTCAGTCAACCAGCATCTCCATCCACCATGACGACCTTCATTCCCAGCTTAACGCTACCGGCAGCCATATTTGCCAATCCAACTGCATCGATCCTCCTCCCCGTTGCTCTTGGAACTGCTGTTGGTTTCTCTGTTCGACGTATGTACTCGTATTCCCTTCATATCCTATACCTTTCACTCCACTCGCTCATGTATATCATAACCCATCATGCACAACGAGTCGCAGCAAGCCAACCTCTCAAAACCAACAACACTAACACCCAATTCAGCCAAAGAAACCCAAAAGACCTACATGGCACTCAAGCAACCTCCATTTCGTCCACCCCCATATGTCTTCGGGCCCGCGTGGACCCTCCTCTACGGTCTCATGGGATACTCTGCCTACCGCGCATATTCTACCGGAATGTCCCCTCTCGCATCTACCGAAAAACATCTCCTTACCAAACAAGGCGCTACTCTATACACCATCCAGTAAGTAATCTCTACGCAAAGAATCCCCCAAATCCGCCCCTGCACACCCCATTATCCCCTCACAACCCACGCACTGACCCCCCTCCCTCCCCTCCAGACTCGGCCTCAACCTAATCTGGATGCCCCTCTTCTTCACTCTCAAAAAGCCCATCCTCGCCACCCTCGACATCATCGCCCTCACCAGCGTCGTCTCCTACCTAACATACACCTGGGGAAAAGTCGACTCCGTTTCTGCCTGGACACTCGCACCTTATCTCGGCTGGCTGGGATTCGCCACCTATTTAAGCGCCGGCGTCGGTTACCTCAACGACTGGGACTTTAGCGATAAGGAAGTTAAGAAGAGTCCCAAGGACAAGGGCAAGGGAACTAAGTATGTGGATGAGAAGGAGGAGTAGAATTATCTGTCATTTGTCAACCTGATGACGCGAGGGGGCGACCAGGATGGGTGGGTAGTCTGTCTGATGTTATGAGATGAACGACAAGGAGTTGGAGCACTAAATAATAATACAGGAGAGGAGGAGCAAGGATTTCGACACCTGCTGGAACGGAAAATGATGAGTTTTGCTTTTTTGGGGGGGGGAATGCGGGATTGCACTGGATTGATTGATTGATTTTCCAGATATTATACCACCACATCTAATAATCATACTACAGTTTTTTGATTTATTTTACAATACAATACAATACAACCAAATCTATCACGTGAATGTGTTTGTTTACTCTCCTGGCGCCGTGGGTTGTTTTCTAATGCCTGGCTAGGTAGGTTCTTGTGTTGATGAGGTATGCCAGTATACGAGTGAGTAGAAGTGAAGACATGTATAATAAAGCGATCTCACAATCATATACTCGAGTAGATATCACCCTTTGAAGTGATATATATTGCATATAAAATATAAAATAATATAATTCTCTAGTCCCAGTCTCGCTATAAAGTAAGTAGATCTATCTAGCCTGAACAAACCCATCCCATCCCATTTTATCCCCTCTATATATGAAGATCGTAACGCTAAGCTAAACCCAAGCCCTCGAGCTGTTCTAACTCGACACTGCCGTTATAAATTTTTGATTGAACCGCGAATCCTACCCTATGAGAGGATCGTCTAGGTTCGTCTTATCTCACCATCCATCACCTCTCCTTTGAGAATCAACCGAGCGAGTTGACCTGTCTATGATATCCATGTACGCCCCTCCAACGCCTATCCCCAATGATTTTCATTTTCCTAGCCGAAAGGAAGACCCGAGATAATTTTTCTACTATAGCCAGCCACCCCATAAGATGATAAAGTTCCAATTCTATGTACATGTGTACCAGCATGTGATCACCTGAGATTAAGAGAGATGGAAACGACTCTTTAACCCGTCGTAAATCATGAATATGAATGCCGAGCTAGGTGCTGACCGCATGACTGTAATGCCACAACCTCGATACATGCCTCTCATGCCATGTTGTTTCCAGAGAAGAGCGCCTTCTTGCATGAATGTTGTGCGCGGTGCTGTGGACGAGGTAGAGGCTGTTTGCATGCGGGATTTAATTGTGTCCGCGGGAAAGAAGAGAAAATTATAAGACATGCCTGCAGAAGCGCCGGCGAGAGCTTGTTGCCAAACGGGTAGAGGCGCTAGCTCGGTAGATAAAATAGGAGATTGAGTTTGAATAGAACTTTTGGCGTTCATTGTTCGGAAGAGTGAAGTAACAGTCTCCTTACTACCGAACCAAGCTGCGCATCCACCGGTTTCACGGATCAGGGTGCCTAGTTGCCCATTCCAAAAACCGCGAATACCTTGATGATGCCAAACCTCGCGAATAACTGCTGAGACTGTTTTCGCAGCAACAGGAACTGAACTGTTTGCTGCGGCTGGAACTTGTATTTTGCATTTGACCAACTCGATGGGCGTAAGAACCAACGAAGTGAGTGCGCCCGATAGTGCACCAGTCATCCACAAAGCCTGCAGAGGAAGTGGTTGATCACTTTTATATACCCCGGCCTTGATGAGCGCTTCTCTACTGACTTGCTCCCAGAAAAAGAGACTGCTGGTCTCCAGAGCAGCTCCAACTAGTGGAGCACTGATTCCCCTATATAGCCCCAGAATCCCATCGCTGCGAATTGATTGTTTGAAACAATCAAGAGGTCCTGTATACTGTAGAGGAAGATGGTAGGGCTGAGATTGCAGTCGAACCTTCACCGTGTCGAAAGGATATTCGATATATTTTCCAGCGACTCCAGCAATCTATTCATTTGTTAGCATTTATCTTAATTGTTCCTGTCGTTGGTCCCTACAGAGCCGTAAAGACAATCCTCCACAGAATTCATTAGAGCCTCTCGTCCTTTGGAGACTACTTTCCGAGGAACGTCGGGATTGAAGTTTGCTGTAATAGTTGCTGCCATTCTAAATGAATCGTAGCTGCTTGTGTGAAACAGGGTGATATGCTTCCAGGAAGGATGATGTACTGTTATTTGACTGCCCCGTTGCAGTTGATGGTTCTCGATTGTCTGCCAATGAATGCTAATAAAAAAAATACAAAATGGCTCGAGAAGGATGGGGGCCTTTGCACGGCTCTTTATAAACTGAGGAGACCTGGATATTTGCGAGTCCTTGTGCCGTGTGAATGAATAAGGTTACCGGCTGAGTTGTGTAATTGTTTGCAATATATTTGCGGTCTGATGTCTGATGTAGTCAAGTTTTCTTTACCAACAATGGGTTACACCCAGATCTATCTTACTCTCTCGTAATTTATTATAGATAACTCGTAATAATATGAATCAAAGGGCGCCCCACAAACGACGAGGGTAAATTGTTCTCCAACAAGCCAACCATATTGTTAGAAAGACATGATAAAGGAGATGTGCCAAGGCAATAGATATATATGTAGTGGAGTTGTTGTAAGGACTTGAATGTTGTTGTAGGACAGTAGGACAGTAGGAGAGTGAAGTCCGATAATCGTGGAATAATTTAGGAGGGCCGTCACAAAGTGAAGTGGGGGGGGGAAGGATGGAGCTCTTTTTTATCAGATTGAAAATCTGCGAAGTCTCCACCAAGTTTGTTTGTCGGTCCCGTCTTCTTTTCCAAAAAGCTGGGGATTTTAATACCGCAGTGTGAAAATAATAATATGATACTGTAATATACTGTATATATATATTGTATATGTATGTTATATATGAGTTATATATGTATCTAACAATGAAGTGACTCGAGTTCAATTATCAAGTGCATTGTATAAATATTAATTAAAAGATCAGATAATAATCGAAAAAAATGACTCAAAGAATAATAATTTTGAATAGAGAAGAGTCCAGATTGGCTTAGCGTTCCCACTAGCATACACAGATAAGCATCGATTGCGCTTATCGAAAGCAAAAAAAAAAGTTCATGATTTGATTTGAGTTTAGATATTCTAACGACAAATAAGTTTGGCGTGCGACGATCACAACACCCAACATAAATCCCTCAACGTCCGTACACATACTTAATTATAAAACATTGGTGTCACTGCTGGTTTCTCATTTGGTATATCAAAAATGTCTACAGAAATGGCCCCTGTCACTGTTGCAACTGAGTCGACTGTCCCAACCTTGGTCGTCCTTCCACAAGGAATGCGCAAAAATGGTACGTATACGTTCGCATTGATGCTCTTCGTTTTCTTCCCAGCATCATTTCGCTGATATCATAATCCCTAGGCAAACAATGGCATCCTGTGAAGAAAGCCTTCCGACCAAGGGCTGGAAATACTTCCTACGAAAAGAGAAAGGCAAATGATGATGCAGTCGCAGCAACTAAGGCTAAAGAAAAGGATATGAAGGAAGAGAAAGAGGCAGCAAGACAGGTCAGCATCAATCGAACTCCCACTCGAGTCATTCTAATTGTTGGAATAGGCCCATATAACAAAGATTAAGGAAAAGCGCGCCAACAAGGAGGAAAGAGAACGATACGAGAAAATGGCCGAAAATATGCACCAGAAGCGTGTCGACAGATTAAGGAGAAGAGAGAAGAGAAACAAGATGTTGAAGTCGTGATAGATGACCTTCTGGGACGGAGCATGGCGTATGGAATGAATTGGAACATATTGAGTGCAATGTGCTGATATGGTTGATTTGCGCAAGTCACATATAATGCGTCGAGGGATGTTCAGCCATCAATGGAATGATAGATGACTACTAGAAGCCGGGTATAAATGCGCAGTCGAGGACTGTCCCTCTTGTTGGCGAGGATGAAGTCCGCTGGGACACAAGTGAAGCCATCTTGAAAGAAGTTAATAATGTCGCCGAAATGGGAGATGATATCTTCCATGACGATTAAAAAAAAAATCTATTGGAAGTTAGGGCGCTGGGTATATTAGCTATTTTGAGTATATGATAATTGCTGAGTACTATCAGAGACCATTAGAAATATCGAATATTCCCAAATATTCTCTTAAATGTCATCGTATGAACCAGCTCTTCATTCTTCATGGATAAGTCCAAATCCTTGCGGAGTACCGTAATTGCATTAATGGTTGCTAAAGCTTCCCATATGATTCTCTATATCACTCTATATCACATTGAAGCTCTCAACAACCTGAAACCAGACACAGCTGACCACGGACCAAAGAGCTAGTCATGTCTTCCAACGGTGATACATCAAAATATGTTTCTCCAAATAAGCCTCGTTATCAGGTCACACAGTCCGTATCTGAAGCATCAACCCCTTTAAAACCTCATCGATCGCATCGTCACCACCACCATCATCATCCGCATATACATCGTCGAGACAGGGACGAGAAATCGTCCCAATATACTCTGCAGAAGGCTCTCAATCCATCTAGAGAAGTGTCGAGAAGTGAGGGAGTTTCTCCAAACGAAAGTCGTAATGGAAGCCGCAGGCCTAGCATCTTTGGGTCTGCAGTGGATGGCTTCGATTTGCCTCGAGACAACGAAAGAAGGCCTTTAAGGGAAGGCGAGCTCGAAGCCGAGAAGGAAAAGGGTGCCATGATGGCTACGTTTGTATTCCTTGCCACTCATGCCTCTCTCACGCTAACGTGCTGGATAGGGAGTTGCGAAATACTTTGGCGGACGTCAACATTGTGGCAGATAATACAACAAGGCAGCTGGACACGACATATTATTCAGTTTTAGAAAAACTAGGGGATCTTCATAAGACGATTGACTCCCTCAAAGAGTTGGCAGCTATGACGAGACAATTGAACGAGGAATTTAATACGGAGGGAGAGGAGCTTGTACAAGAAAGTCGAGCACAATTAGAAGGTTTTGAAGGATTCGAAGCACAGGAAAGGATAATCAAAGCATTAGAGAAACGTGTGAAAGAAGGACGAGATACAATCAACACGTTGAGTGGGCGGGTAAATGTTGTTAAAAAGCGAGTCAAGGGCTGGGAACAAGCAGAGCAGGAATGGCAAGACAAAACACGAAAGCGACTGAAGATGTTGTGGATTCTCATGTCAATATGCGCGACTATTTTGCTATCAATTGTTATTTTGGCGTACATCCCATCGAGAGGGCAAGGATATGGAGCTGCAAAATTCAACGATTCCAATTCGATGGCGCCGAGGGAGTTGGAAAAGGTCAAAAACGAGACGATAAATATGCAGAACCCTACTTTGGATACGAGTATATTGGGGAATTCAACACATGGGAGTGAAGTCATCAACAAGGAAGCAGGCAAACCGGCAGAGGACCCAAGACTTAAGATATTCGATGAGATATGATTTATTGGTACAAGAAGCACGCACAAGGTTCACATCTCGCAGCCCAGCTCCAATCGCGAATAGTACCACTTTTTCCAAGCATACTACGCCCTACAGGATTAGAAAATCAGTGGGTCTAGGTCTGGTGACATAATATATTTAGTATGCCGAGCAACCGGATGTTGGTCAATATCAGAAGAACCTGGCAATACGTATACCTATCCTCGTCTTAGCATTTTTGAACGTTTGTACACTCGAGAGTCAGAATAGGAGTAACAGTAATGGTAATATGTGTGTACAAGTAGATAAGTATTGAGGACTCGCGTCTTGGGAAGCGAGACGGGGTCGATGTCGACAGCGCCATTATGATAAGCTGCGTGTCTAATGCTCCATTAGGTACACCTTGTACTTGCCAATGTATTCGTACTACTCACTAGATAGGTACTCTTGGGAGAATTGACTTTAGGTTTATTAATATCTAAAGTTCTAGATTAGTGGCAACCTCCAAGCCACACCCCTCCCTACCCCTCCCTGCATTGTAACAATTGAGATTCAAAATCAATATACTGTACGTACTCGTGTATAAGTACCTAGCTTTGGGCTCTGAATGTACAATATTTTGCTGTGAAATTGATACGTTTGTTTATATGACTCAAACTCAGGTTATTTTGGATTTGTCTACTGTGCCTTCTTGTATTGAATATTCGGATTCTTCTCGAGGCAAGAGTAAAGTAAAACATCATCTCAACTACCCCGCTGCACACGCACAGTAAGCTACTTTAACCATTGCATAGCCTATAGCCTATAGCATCAAATCTTTCAAATCTCAAAACAATATTGAAATCCCTCAACAACGAGTAACACGATCACATAAAAGCTCAAGAGTCGTACGGGTTCTTCCATAAATATACACAAAGAAGCACCCAAAATAGCGGCTCGATGAACGACGAAAATAGGATTGAAGGGAGAAATCCCGTCATTCCCTCCTTACCATCCAAAATGGTGGCAGATGGTACCATATTGTCGCCCACGAGAAGTGTCTTTGGGGACGATAAAGGTCAAGCCCTTACTGGAAAGCAAGAGCATTGTATGTATTAAGCAAATATACCTTTTGGCAAACAGGATGGCTAACCTTCTGCAGATTTGAAACGCGAGTTGATCTCCCAACAAGTGAAATACGAAATCACCGAGTTAAACTCTCCAACGGCATTACAAAGATTTGGTGCCCCGTTTAAATCTGATCGCGGGGAAGTATCTCCTATGGATTCCGACCTGCCGATTCTCAGATACATATTCGTACATCATGTTCGCGAGTTTCCATTCTTAGACAAGGCGAAGGAGAAGGAATTTTGGCAAGATAAACTACAGGTGGTGAGCTCAAGAAAGTCCTCGGCCCCTTGAGAGTAGTGTATCTAACGAAGTCTATCATGCAAGTTTCTACAATCTTTCGCGGAGAAACATATCTCGTCATCCGAAGACAGACTCGAGGAAACGAAGCGCAGAAAGCTATCTTTAAAATGTCAGAAGCTAGTGGAGTTGATGATGGTGTCGGGTATACCAACGGCTTCAGGGTATGAAGAGAGGATTAGGTTCTCTGAATTAGAAGTTGTCGATGCGGGCGCTATCGAGCTTGGAGTTCTTTCGACTATGCCCGAAGGTCATTATCTACACGGCTGGGATGTCAACGTAGCGGGAGTCAGAACAACTAAAGTCAAACGAAACATCAGATACCATAAGCATGCTGTGAGTTGATCACGGCTATACATTGTGGAACAATTACTTATATCGCCATAGGAATTTGTTCTGCGGGTCAAGAGAAAGGGGGGAGTGCCATACTTTATTGGGCGTAGATATGGTGATTTCAATAGACTTCACAAGAGGCTACGAACAGAACTTCCTGGCAAAGTCCTCCCATCGATGCCTAGGAAAAACAAGGAAAGTTCAACTGCCTCAAACCTACTTAGTGGTATTACGGGTGGCAAGGATTCCGACGCGTCTTCTATGTCCTCGGTTTCGTCAATGGGAACCATGGGAACTATGGGCACCGAAAATGGCTTGAAGAATTTGTCTGTTCGTGGTTAGTTCATAAACTTCCTGCTATTTTTTGATGAGTAAGGGCTGATTTGATCAGATCATCGCCACTCCGGGTCAGCAGCTTCGTTCGGCAGGTCATCTCCTCGATTGTCGACATCATCCCCACGACCATCGGTAGACAGAAGGCCCAAACCCCCTTTGACTCCTGTGACAGATACGAATGTGAGTTTTTCTATTAGACTATTGGGATATCATGAGCTAATTTCACCAGGGTGTAACTTTATGGCGAGAAAGCCAGCGCATATCCTTGAGGGCATTCCTCCGTGGTCTCCTTGCGAATCCCCAGATTGCTGGAACCCGAGCAATGCAAGATTTTCTGTCAAATCAGCCTATTAAACTAAGCGATGAAGACGTAGAGGATATTGAGAAAAGAAAGCTTATGGATGAGAAGAGAGTTGTAGAGCAGAAGCAGTTTTATGAAATAGCCAGGAAGCGCGCCGCTGAATTAGACATATACATGGAAGAGTAGGTACCTCGGCTGGAGCTTTATTATGTATTCATCGACTAACCGTTCTAGATTCCGTCGCGATATTGTGGAAAGCAATGGTCTCACCAAATTGTTCAAAGAAATCAAGGATAAGCCAACTATCCCAGATCTCAGCATCCAGTACCAAAAGTTTGCAGAATGGCTACGTATCGAAGTAGCTGCGACTCTCTACCATTTGTTCTTAGCAGAAGATAACTCTCCAGAACTATTTGCCCAAGCTAAGAAAATCCATTCAATGATACCGTATACGATTATCAAGAATGCAATTCGGATAGCAAATCCCGCAGCTGTTATGTCTAGCATATTAGACATCTTTCTAGCTCAACCCTTAGGAATGAGATCGCTCATGCAAAGAATCTTTTCTCTAACATTGAATGATGGCATCAGAAGTTTCCAAAAAGCGATTGATACTCTACAAGAAAAAATCAACGAATCTGTGTTCTGCGAAAAATTGAAAAGGTTTTCTGACAGTCCGGAAGATCTCAAGAATGACATACGGGCTGATGCGGAGGAGAGTAGCGTGGACTTGATTGTCGCGATTCTGAGGTCAGAAGAGATTGAACCGGGCCTAAATTCCGCACAGATTGGCAAGATTTTCAATGCCTATGTCGCTTGGAATAATGCCGTGGAGAACGTCGACGAAGAGATGAAGCAAGGTGCACAATTATTCTCATACTTGAAACAGCTCCTAAAATTATACACGAGACAACGGGATAAGGCTATGATGCTCAATATGGTTGAGGAGCCAGTTACATTACGTCTTCTTCGCGATCTGTTTACCATCTTCTACGAGCCTTTAGTACGAGTGTACAAGTCAGCAAACGTGTACAACAGTGTCACTGATTTCGCGGATTTCATTGAGGATACGATAAGAGTAAGGATGTTCTATTCTCTTCGAGAGATAACAAAAACTAACGAAATAACAGGTTGTGGATAAATGCCGCGAACAAGATTTTTCAGCAGACCCTAATCAGACTGTCCAAGCATTCATCGATTTGTGCCAACGACACGAACACAATTTTTACAAGTTCGTTCACGAAGTACACACGCACGATAATGGGCTGTTCACACAATTAATGGGTTGGGTCGAAGGAATTCTCGAGTTCCTCCGACAAGGTCCACAGGGCGGAAAACTTGACATCAATGCGCTCGTGGCTGGTGCCGTGAGCATGAATCAATTGAATAAAGAAGTTGCCGTCAATGAAATCAACCAATTGATCACTTGGCAAGAAGCTCGTAAGAAGTGGCATTCTGATAAAACTAGACAGAAAATGGCGGCAGAAGGTACAGGCACCGCAGAGCAGGCACCAGGAGCACTGGTATTTAAGAGTGCCGATTTTGGGTTGGATGAAATGGATCTTGAGGAAATCAATTATGAAGATGATGAAGAGAGTAGTGATGAGAATGAGGAAGATGACGAACTAGATCCGATTGCGGCGGAGAGGAAGAGGAGAGCAAAGAAACAGGATCATTTGAGGAGAACCGCAGGTGAGCCTGCTAAACCGGATGTGGTAGAGGTGTATAAATTGAAAGAGGGATTCTTGAGTATGTTAAGGGGTGTACTTGCTGAGTAGTGAGTAGGTGTTAGTCTGGTGGGAGATAATAGATGTGTACCAGATTAGGGCTAGTGGTGTATCTCTGAGAAGGTGCCTGATTTTGGGGCACAATTAGAGCTTATGAAGAATTGGTGGGAGGATTGGTGGGAGGATTTGTGTGTTATGATTCATCATTGATATTGAAGTCGGATGACTATAATAGATGCAGCGAAAGAAAGATACATAAATAGCGGATACCAGAAATTAATATGATAGACGATCGATGTGTTATATTTATATGAAATGAATGGCCTGGAGATTCCATGAGGTGAACTTGACTTGAAGTGGACTTGACTTGAATGAGTAATGCATGTGGATCTGGCACTAATTTGATATTTTGGTCCTGGTGACGTTACTGTATATAGTGAGGATATCCGAAAATCTATTCTGCTAATTCATACTCATTTGAACTGTCTTCATAGCGGTCGTCGGTAGAGATCAATGAGATAGGTGATGAGGACGATATTATCTAAGAAATGCTTTTTAAATACTCGTATAGAAATATAACATTGATGCGATGAACTAATTTTCCTGTCTGCTAGATTCTAACTCCTCGCTTAAAAATATCCTGCAGAAAAATTCAATCACCAATTTTGAACATAACGAGAGGCTCCTCAATTGTCCCATTCTCTCACGAAAACGCAGACAATTATCCGCATAGTAAACCTGCCCAAAAAATATTACCATGCCTCCAGAAAAACCAATACCCTATCCCGACGATTTCTCCAACGCGGATGAATACGTCGACTCACTCCTGCACTTCGCAACCACCTCGACCATTTTCCAAACCCTATGCGGAGGTGTACATATCCTCGATTTCTTCATCCGAGAACCTAGTCTGTATCACAAAATTCTCCCGGAAGAATGGCGTGAGTGGCTTTTATCCTGTCCCTCCATGGACCTCCTCGATCTCCTTATGCGCGATGATCTCTCGCTCCCACGTGATGATCCGCCGCCGGAATCCTTGATGAAATATATTCAAGATATCCGCAAACATTCTCTGATCCGGACGGTGGAGAAGGAAAACTTAAGCACCACGAAATTACCGCGGAATGTGGCGGTGGGCATGATTCCGAAAAAAGTGCACGAGGTGACGAATTTTGCGGATTACGTGGTTCGGGTGGCGGATTCGGTGAAGGAGGAGAGTGGGAGGGAAATCACCCATTTTGTGGATTTTGGGAGCGGCCAGAATTATTTGGGGAGGACCCTGGCGAGTCCGCCGTGGAACCGATGGATTGTGGCGGTGGAGAGTAAGGGGGGGAATATCGAGGGCGCGAAGGGCATGGATGTTCTTGCGGGCATGGCCGAGAGAGAAAAGGTTATGAGGAATAAGAAGGTTTTTAGAGAGAAGATTATGGGGGAGGTAGGGAAGACGAGGAGGGTGGAGGGAAAGAGGGTCGAGGAGGCGGATTTAAGACCCGCGAGGGATTTGCAGACAATTTATACTCCTACTGATGGGAAGGGGTATATTCAGTATGTGGAACATCGGGTTGAAGATGGCGATTTATCAGATGTGGTATCTCAAATTGAGAATCTGAAAGTTTCCGCTCCATCCGAAACCCTCAATAATATCTCCGAACCCGATTCTTCCACCCCAGCTACAACAGAAGACATCGAATCTTGCGTCTCGGAAGCCACACCCCCGGAAATAAACCTAATGGCCATATCCATCCATTCCTGCGGCAATCTATCTCACCACGGTATCCGCTCTCTCCTACTCAATCCCTCCGTGCACGCAATCGCCATCGTAGGCTGCTGCTACAATCTACTCTCCGAACGCCTCACCCCCCCTTCCTACAAACATCCCCTACTCCGCCCCAATCTACGCGCCATGAATCTCCCCCCCTCAATCAGCACACCCATCCCCGCAGACCCCCACGGCTTCCCCATGTCCAATCGTCTAGCCACCTACAACGAAACGGGCATCACCCTCAATATAACCTCACGCATGATGGGGGTGCAGGCCCCCGGCAACTGGACTTCTAAAGACAGCGATTCCTTCTTCACGCGCCATTTCTATCGCGCGTTGTTGCAGAAACTATTATTGGATTATGGGGTTGTGCAGGCCATCCCGCTGGATACTTCGGATGATTCTGATGATAAGAATCCTTCTGCTACTTGTACTTCTCATGCATGCAATACCAATACCGGTACATCAGAGAAAGAAGCTGAAAAAGAAGATGAGAAAATCACTACTACCCCCATAATCATCGGGTCCCTGCGAAAATCCTGCTACACATCCTTCACGACCTACGTACGCGGCGCCATCCAAAAACTCACCTCTATCCCACCCTCATCCTCCTCCCCATCCTCCTCCTCCCCACCAATCTCCTCTCAACCCCCACCACCCCGCACAAGCATAACCCCCCTCCTCCTGACCCGCCTCTCCACTCTCACAGACACCACCCTCCAACACTACTCTGAAAAGTATCTCCCCCAGAAGGCCGAACTCAGTATTATATGGAGCTTGATGGCCTTCAGCGCGGGCGTCGCTGAATCCCTGATTGTGACCGATCGATATGTGTATTTGCGGGAGGCGATGCAGCGGGGCGAGTGTAGGGATGCGTGGGTCGAGGGCGTGTTTGATTATGGGTTGAGTCCGAGGAATTTGGTTGTGGTGGGTGTTAAATAGGGGAGAAGGGAGAGGGAGATGGAGATGGAGAAGAGAAGGGAGAGGGGAGAGGGAATGGTGGGGGGTAGCTGTGATTTTGGGGGTTTTGGTATGGTATAGAAGATAGAAGATAGATGGATGGATGAGAATTGATGGGTTTGTTTTAGACAGAGGTCAGATCCAACGCTGTTTTCTAGCTCTGTAGATATTTAGGCTGCAGTTGGATCTTTAAACGCAATCGAGTAAACTTTACATCAATGAACACATGCATTTATCAATCATATTTCGACTTCTCTAAAAACAATCATGAATCATAGAGCTGATGCCAAAAGGGGCTAAGCGAAACATGATATGCCGCTCACCACCATGCATTAATGTACATCTCTTATCATAAATATCATCTTTTCCTTTACCTTCCTGCTCTAAATACAGAATTTTTATCTGGATAAAGCGATGTCATCAATACGTAAAATCATTTTCACCGTCTCAGCCGCCAATTCAATAGCACTCGTGCTGACCAAAAGCGGTTGCAACACATTCTCATCAGCGATATCGACCTTGACACCTCCACTCTTGATACTGACACCTGCGTTTTTCTCTCCGTTGGCATGTTTGTGGCGCAGTTCGGTGACAACTTTGATGCTGTTGAGACCGGCGTTCTCGGCGAGCGTCGTGGGGATCACTTCCATGGCGTCGGCGAAGGCTTTCCAGCAGATGGCTTCGGTGCCGGTTAATTCTCGTGCTTGTCGTGCTAACTGCGATGCGATTTCAATCTCGGGGGCTCCTCCACCGGCAATCAGTGCCTTCTTCTTGACTAAACATCGGACGACGCAAAGGGCGTCGTGGAGACTGCGCTCGGCTTCGTCGAGAATGAGGGAGTTGGCGCCACGGCAGACGATGGAGACGGTCTTGCCGGCACTCTTGGTACCGGTGATTTTGACGAGTCTAGAACCGGAAGTTTGGGCTTCTTCTACGAGGTCGGCTGAGCCAAGTTTATCTTCAGTGAAGGAATCGATGTCGGCAATGGGTTTGCAGCCAGTGGATTTGCAGATGAATTCTACTTCATCACGTTCGATATCTTTAATGCAGAGAATGTTGAGTTTAGCAAGGAAGTGAAGGGAGAGTTCGTTAACTGCGTCACGGAGGATAGACTTTTGGATCTAAGGGTTATTGTTAGTACGGCTAAACTGGAGAGGAAGCTCAGAGAAGATCTATAACATACCAACAAAACGTTACACTTCGCCTTCTTGATCTTTTTAACTAAATTCAACAAATAGGTTCGCTCTTCTTTCAAAATTTTATCCATTTGTCTGTAGTCGTTGACAACGATTTGATTTTCCATCTGAGATATGTTAGCAATATTCGAGATCAAGTTTGCCTAGCACAACTTACATCAGGCTTTGGAGGACTGAGTTGAAATTGAATAAGCCCAATCTTTGCCTTCTCCATTCTGATAGGTCCACCTCCGTTCTTCAAGACACCTTGTGTCAAAACTACTCCCTCAACCATCTCACTATCTTCGATGGTACCTCCAGCCTTTTTAACTATTCTAATATTCTTCAAGTCCACATTTTCAGCAGTCTTGATATCGATTGTCTTTGTAACAGCGTTCACTGCCATAGGACCGAGAAGATTTGAGTATTGTGAAACGATTTTGGAAGAAAGAGATGTGTTGGCGGCTTGTAGAAGGGTTGCAGTGTCACTGAGAGCAACTGGGACCGACATATCGTGGAGAACCTGAACCGCTGCCGCAGCTGCTCTTTGGAATGACTCGGCAATAACTGAAGGGTGTATTCCTTTTCCTAGTAATTTATCTGCGGCGCCCAGCAGACTTCCGCAAATAACTACAACTGAAGTGGTTCCATCTCCGGCTTCCACATCTTGTGCTGCTGAGAGATCCACCAACATCTTCGCAGAAGGATGCATAACGGCCATACTTTTCATCATAGTGCTTCCGTCATTTGTAATAAGTGTTCCTCCTTTGCCGTCTTGAATCATCTTGTCCATTCCTCTGGGACCGAGGGAGGTTCTGCATGCATCTGCGACAGCTATAATTTGTCAGCTTTACTTTCTGAACATGATACTGTACCAAACACACCTCTGGCAGCCAAAATGTTGGCATTTCGAACGGCCATAGGCTTCTCCTTGTCCTGTGGACTACGTTAGCTATATTGATAACCCCTCTAAGCTTCAATATCCCACCTTGAAGGCATTATTGGTAGAATTTCCCGCTGCTTGTGTGAGAGCCATGTTGAAGTATTCTGATATTGGCTATAGGAAATCTGGAGTGTTTCAAATCAGAAGATGTTGAGAAGTGCCGTCGTCGCGTTTCTACTCCCACTGCGCGTCTTGTTCTTGAGATTTCGAATTTTGAAATATCGGCTAACCTTATCTTGGACTAGCTTATTAAGCAACGCCGACGTAACTTTGGATACCTAAGAGCTTAGATATGGGATTGGGATTATCAATACAACAAACCAAACTTCTCACATTCACATTCTCTCCACCAACATTGAAAAGAATTTGGGTTAAAATATTACCCATTTTGCCCTTGATTTTTTATATCTCTACGCAATTAATCACATTATACGAAATTCCGCACATCAATCACATCTTCAGCCCGAAACACTACCTTCACAACACAGCAACCTTCCTTAATCAGTCCTCACCATGGTCCGTATTCATTATATGGTATTTGTACTTTCAACTAACAATTTTGTAGGTCAGCGCAAAGGGGCAAAATTGGGAGAATTATAAGAAGGTACACATTATTTCGCAGGCTTCCCGGGCTCTCTCTAACAAGTTCTTAGGACTTTGTCGACGATGATGTTGAGGAAAAGAAGATCACACCTTTATCCGATGAGTAAGAATATCTAGAGAATCGCATCACCGCAATGCATTACCTAACGGTATTATAGAGATATTCAAGTCCTAAAAACTTATGGCGCAGCTCCATATGGTGCCGCGCTGAAGAAGCTCGAACAACAGATCAAGGAGAAGCAAACAAGCGTGAACGAGAAGATTGGCGTAAAGGTAGGGCTTTGGGATTTACTAGATTGTGGAACATACTCTAATTCTTCAACAGGAATCAGACACTGGTTTGGCGCCACCTCATTTGTGGGATATAGCCGCAGACAGACAACGAATGAACGAAGAGCAACCTTTACAGGTCGCAAGATGTACGAAGATTATTCAAGACGAGAAAGATACGGAAAAGAGCAAATATGTCATTAACGTCAAACAAATCGCAAAATTCGTAGTAAACCTTGGCGAGCGTGTCAGTCCTACAGATATCGAGGAAGGAATGAGAGTTGGGTATGTGAAATGCTATCTCAAAACATGCACAAAGCTAATTCATCTCAAATAGTGTCGATCGCAACAAGTACCAAATTATGTTACCCTTACCTCCGAAGATCGATGCTAGTGTTACGATGATGACAGTTGAAGAGAAGCCGGATGTTACATACGGTGATGTTGGAGGGTGCAAAGAACAAGTCGAGAAGCTACGAGAGGTCGTTGAAATGCCACTGTTATCACCAGAAAGATTCGTCAACCTTGGTATCGACCCACCTAAAGGTGCCCTGCTCTATGGTCCTCCAGGAACCGGAAAGACACTTTGCGCCAGAGCTGTCGCCAACAGAACTGATGCCACATTTATTCGAGTTATTGGTAGTGAATTGGTACAAAAGTATGTCGGAGAGGGTGCCAGAATGGTTCGTGAATTGTTTGAAATGGCGCGGTCGAAGAAGGCTTGCATTATTTTCTTTGACGAAATCGATGCTGTTGGAGGTGCTCGTTTCGATGACGGCGCTGGAGGAGACAACGAAGTACAAAGAACCATGTTGGAGTTGATTACCCAACTTGATGGTTTCGACGCAAGAGGAAACATCAAGGTTATGTTCGCTACCAACAGACCTTCTACCCTGGATCCCGCGTTGATGAGACCTGGACGTATCGACAGAAAGATCGAATTCTCGCTACCAGATCTCGAGGGACGAGCAAATATTCTTAGAATTCACGCCAAGAGTATGTCTGTCGAGAGAGACATCAGATGGGAGTTGATTTCACGTCTTTGCCCCAATTCTACCGGTGCCGAACTTCGAAGTGTTTGCACAGAAGCAGGAATGTTCGCCATTCGTGCTAGAAGAAAGGTCGCGACTGAAAAGGATTTCTTGAGCGCAGTTGACAAGGTCATTAAGGGTAACTTAAAGTTCAACTCCACTGCCGCTTATATGCAATACAACTAGAAGTCTGTTGAAGACTATGAGGGATGTATATTAGCTGGCGTTGGTGTATAAGATAGCATTAATGAATCAGATATTCATGACCACTTCCAATTTTTTGGGTTTTTCTGTGAAGTTTAGAAACATTGCAATCTGCTTAATCTACAGTTACAATGTATAAATAAAGGTTAAGGACAACGCGGCCAGTCTGGGTAGTTGTCGTAAGTATTGATGAGACAAAGTATGAGGATTTTTGAGTACCGTTTTAGAAAGGAATTAAAAACAACAGGAGCCGAAGGATAAGCCATATTATATCGTATATAGGATGAATATATAGACTCGAGGAGTCAACTAATTGCTATTTCTACTTGTATTGCTCGCACTCTACTTTTTGGGGTGAATGTCAATTCGTGGCGGCGTCACTCAGCTCGCTATTGAGACATCCATCATATTTTAGTGGTGTCTTTTTTTATATTTATCTACAGGATCGAATTTCTCAGGGAATTAGATGTGAATCTACTTGAATAGATACTCGATGCATGAATTCTCGAGTAGATAGATAATTGTATTAAAGGAAGGTAGTAGGTAGGTGGGTTTGGTCCGCTTCGAAGATCTCGGTAATCTTGAAATCGACCCCTTTCATTAACGGAAGAGACGAGAGGTCGATATCAATAAATATCCAGCTTGGATTTATGTATACCCGTATGACTTTCAATTTGAGATATTGTTACTTTATACTTTATACTTTATACTTTATTCTCGAGTAGATATATTAATAAACAATTATATCACTAAAACATGGGGTAGTAACTAAAATTGTTAGTGTGGGACAAAGCAAGTGATACCGGTAGTCATTAATATTGACATCATCACTTTTAAGTTTTGTCCGGATGGAGTCCGTATGGAGCTACTAACTACATCACATCATATCAACATGACCACTTCCCCTCACTTCACTTCATCTCTTTCCCATATCATAAACTTCACTTCCTCTCAATCTTCACCACCAAGCCCCATTCAAACATCACCAAACTCCTTAAAACAATAAAACATCATCAATCCCCCCAATCCCCCCAATAAATCCCCTTAACCCACCATCCAAAATGGGCATAACCCACAGCACCGCGCGCTACATCGCCCCCCTCTCCTTCCTAATTGATTTCGCCGCCCAACAATACGGCATGCTCTCGACACCCAACATGAAAGATATCCACGATGCGCATCTCTCCTTTTGGTCACCCCAACCCTATGCTATTGCGCTATTCTTTTTTCCGCAACAGATCTTCCAGCTCGTGTGGTTGTATCGATTGTGGAAATTGGATGCGGGTAAGAGTGTGCAGGAGAAGGAGGAGGTGGGTAAGATGATGGATTTCGTGCCGTTTTATGTTGTGGGGAATTTGTGTATTGCTTGTGAGTACCTGTCTTCGTTTTCTAAATTTAAGGGGGTTTTATATGATTGTTGGATGCATGGATTGGAAATGGGAATGAGAGGGGAGAGGAGTGAAAGAGATGAATATCGATTGCTAATATCATAATAGCTTGGATGATATTCTGGAACTCAGCTTCGCTTAAAACAGCCAATGTATTTGTTCTCATCAACTCCCTCACACAACTCTACTTTATATTCCTCCGTCAACCCCCCATGAACACCCAATCTACCTCCTCAGTACTCACACACATTGTATCCAAAACATTTGCCGGCATCGGCGTTCTGGATCTCCTACACAATGGATCGGTAGCCTATTTCGACCATCAAGGTCCCTCAATGGCAGTCAAAGTATTGACCGGTGTCGGCTTCGGCTTGTTGTCTAGCAATAGTGATTGGATTTTCGGGGGCTGTCTTGTGTATGATTTGTTAGCGTTGGCAGTGGGACAGAGACAGATTGGAGCGACGACTTGGAGTAATCTGTTGGGGGTTTATGCTGTGGGTACGGCTGGTTTGGTCGGCTTGAGAAACTATGCAAAGTGAGTTTATTTGTTGCGCTGTGGGAGCGGGATGTTGTATGGTGCCAATGGAATTGCTGATGTAAGTACTGTATGTAGGCCTCCTTATATCTCAAAGATGGATGGGTATGAGCCTGCTCCTTCGGATGATGAGGATATTGTTGTGTAGGGAATGGGTGGATGTATGGTCAGGTTGGTTAGGTTATTGGTGGGATCAACTATTTGTAGGATAACGATGTATTATATATAATCTACTCGAGTATTTTTGTACGAGTAATTAAGTCATCTTTTGGTTGAACAAGACCCTTGATGGTATGGTGTTCCATTTATGCAAACAATTAGACGCAATATCAGCCTCTCACCCATCACTCTACACCAAAGCCCAACTTCAATCACTAGTACTGTAAACCTTCTATCCCTCTAACCCTCTAACTCTCCATCATATCCCTTACAGTAATCCATCCATCCACAACATAACTCCAAGCCCCAGGAAACCCCCTTTCACGAAATCTTAAGAATCAGACAGGTGCAAACGCCACTGAGCACTCATCCGTTGATAACATTATCAAACAATCAACATGTTTTTTGATTTTTTTGGAGGTTTTTTTGGATCTTTCGGTTTTTTTTAAAGTATACTGGAGCTTCATACTTCAGAATACTGAGTTTTGGCGGTATAGGAAAGGAAGGGAGGGTGGAGATGAAGGGGTACAAATGTATGGATTTGTCCAAAGGTACCTAGTAGCTGGGGTTTGGATTTGTACCAAATAGAAATTAGGTTGAAGATATTGGATATTGATACAAGGATTCAAGAAAAGCAGCTTCTGCTTGATGAAATTGATGAGAGAGAAGTGGAAAGAGAAAAGAGAACTAAGAAGTTCTAGGAAATATGATCATGAGGGATATGATATGATATGAAACGATATGAGACCAATCTATTCATGAGTTAGCTAGAGCGATCATTCCTACATATCGTGGGATCTGGGTGTGAAATATATTGAGGTATCGGTCCTCGACTATCATCAGCTTATGTTCGGAATGTGATTTTGATGTGTGAACCCTTGGATATACACTATACTATTGTAATTTTCATTCAAGACACTGTAAATAAATCTTTCTCCATATATGCATACAGATTTCCCAATATGTACAATTCTGAGATTCTGGCCAGCCATTGATGCATTCCTCTACTATAGACATGTTCCTTTTCTTCTGTCCGGGTCCGGCAAGAACGGAACTCACAAACATTGTGAGTAGTAGGCGTTTACATATGAACATGTGTATGGCGATGCACACTATTTCCGGGATATTAGCAATCAGGACGATAATACCCAGTAGCAACACCCAGCAAGATACACAAACAAGAACAAGAACAAGATACACTGGATAACAAAATAATCAACTCACAGCCGTAGAACCCAAATAATCAATTCCCCCACACTGCCCATAACGCAGCACCGGTACTCCTGTCCCACCACTACCCGCCCCACTCGTCGTAGCCGACGTTACTGTCGTTCCACCCCCAGCACTCGTGCTCGTAGTAATCGGCGTAGAAACACCCGTTGAGCCCGCCCAAGTGGGGACTGCACTTGGGCCCGTGGGCGACTCATTGATTCCATCATTAGCGCGTACACAACCGCTTCTGGCGGTGAGAGCCGCGGGACACGAGACTTGTTTGAAAGACATGTTGGGGTTATCGGCATTGAGGAACCAGTCGAAGCGCCAGTAACAACCTGCTTGGAGCGCGGCGGGAAAGGCTGCGCATTGGGAGCGAGAGGTTATACCGCCGTATTGGGCTCCCCATGCAGAGGCTGGTGTGGATGGGTATTGGTTTGTGCATGCGTTGAAGATGCCGAAGCCGCCGCCGGGGATCTGGTGCGGAGGGTTTGGTTAGATGATTGGATTATGGAGTGGAGTGAGATGCTTGATGGAAACACGGAGGTAAATTCTTACCGCGAGATCGAAGTGATTACTTCCCAAATCACCACCTGTATTCGTCGCCTGAACAATCATCTGTTTCCCGGCAACCGGTCCACTGGTAAATGTCAATTGATAACAAGCACAACACCAACTGGCCTCGGTTCCCCCTGAAACACTCGTGGCTGCGAACCCATAACTCAGGGTCGATGAAACGGCCCATGGCGTTTGCGAACCACACATATAGGCGGTACCGGCAGAAGAGGCACAATAGGAGACGGCGTTGTAGTTGGAGAGCGGATTGTTGGAGATATCGCAGGAGGAGACTGGGTTGGAACCTGAGGCTAGAGTGGCTTTGCCATTCCAGCCGCAAGACGCCTTACAACAGTCCCAGTAGCGGGTTGTGGTGCCACTTCCAGATGCTTGGGCGTGCACGATTACTGGGAGGAGGAAGGGGAGGATGAAGGAGAGAAGCTGAGTGGTTGACATTATTGATGATGCTTCGATTGGAAATTATTGCTGTATGTTCAAGTAGATTGTAGGGTCTTCTTGTACTTTAGAAAGTCGAATGGCACATTCATCAGGAAAAGAAGAGATTGAGAGCAGAAAGAGAAAGGAGAATAAGTTATAAGGCAATAACAGAACCTTGAGGGAATATCAGCAATTTTGATAAATGGTAAATGCCAAATATTAAACCACCCTAGTAATATACCCTCCTTCGAACATGCCCAGCCATTCCCACAGATCATTGCCGCCATACAGAAGTCATTACTCATTACCACCGACTATCGTTTAAATTATCTGAGGTGCATATGTCAGATTGAATATTAATACTAGGAGATGACGGGCCGTGAAAAGATGTTCATGAACTCGTGATATCATCTCATTTATCCGCTTTCGCTTGAGCGGGAGTGGAAAGGGTATGTCTGTTATGCGGGCGGGTGCCACGTATACCTTAGTGAAGAAATAGCCTCACTTAAGGATGGTATAGTTGATGGATTTAAGTTAATATGGAGATTGTTCAAGGTGGTCTTAGAACATTATTGTCACATTCTATCCGGTCACACATATGTTGATGGGTTCGAGGGTGAATGTAAGTACCGGATAAACTGTGCAGAGAAATCTGCTCTTCCAAATTCTAAGCAGGACGTAAACGCAGCAAAGTGGCTTCTGAATATCATTTGATACACGAGAGCTACACTTGCAGCATGGAAGGCAAATGTAATATGCCTGTTGACTCATCTTTTTCATATCTTGTCTCACGCGAAATCTACCACCTTAAATATTCAGCAAGACCGCTCCAACACTAGATTCTCTATCGAAGCGTCCCAAAAACGTGCATTTAAAACTTCACGACTTAGCTTTGAGACTCTTGCTTGGAGGAGCAAACCTTCTGCAAAGTTAAAGTAGACAGATCTAACTTTTTATGGTACTTAAGATGTATAAAAAGTCCACCACTTCCATCCGATCAAAAATCTACCCTGTCACTTTCACCTCATTCTTCTATTGCCTATCAGTGATACTAGGATGATATGAAACGAGATGAGATTTGGGGATATCTTATTGTATTGTACTAATAGGATACACTTCCACCGCACAGCAAACGAGCCTCATCTTAAGGCATGGCGCAATTTATGTATCCGACGGTACCGAATTAGATGGGCCCCGAAACTCTCTTACGGTAGGACCGGGCATGGCGATACATTCAATTTCAATATTGACTCCTTGCGGCAACTCCTTGACGGCCACACAGCTTCTCGCCGGTTTATGAGGGAGCCACTCTCCGTACACTTCGTTCATCTCGGCATAATCTTTCATGTCTGTCAAGAAAACTTGGACCTTGAAAACATTATCGAGAGAAGAGTTAGCAGCGACAAGAACCTGTTGGAGATTTTTGAAAACTGCTTCCGCCTTTTGACGGATTGTTCCCTCCACAAGGTTTCCCTGAAAGTCTGCTGGAAGTTGACCGGAAACAAAGACAGCGAAGGGAGTTTTGACAGCATGGGACTATTGATCCGAAACATTGATTAATATGGATGAGTATTTGGTAACGTTGAATGGTGCTAACTTACATATGGGCCAGTTGCTATGGAAAAATTAGTATGGTAATTGTAGGAATTTCAGCTCAAGGACTTACGAGCTGGAAGATTCTCGCTATTGATCTTTGTAAAGTTTTCTTTGTGAGCACCACAACGGCATTCATCTTTCCTCCCAAAATTGTGACTACCACAACCTGAACACAACCAATCACCAGGAAGAAAAGGGTGGCCTTGACGAGCGTCTCGGCTTTGGCGAACGTGAGATGCTACTCCTCTCACACTTGACCAACGTCCTTGAACGCTTGCAGTCAGTGGTGTTGCAGTCAGTGGCGAGGAACGACTGATTAGCCTAGTGGCAGCTCTGAAGACGGTTCTTGAAGACATATCTTCCTTATGGTGATACCAATGTCTTTCTTTTTGGGTTTCGGTGATAGGATGGAATTTCTGTGTAGTTGTGTTAAAGAGACTTAGAGATTAAGAAATTGAATACTAGTGAAGAATATTTGGAGCGAATGTTTAAATTCCCTATCCTCACGTGACTAGATTGATCAGACTTTTGTCCAAGTGCCTGCTATCTGATATATTGATTTAAATTTTTGATAATTATATATATACTGTGAAATACAATACAAAATATAAATATAAATAAATAAATTTTACTATTAATAACTTTCTCTACCCCCCTGTGCTGATCAAATAAATGATGATGTGGTTTTTTAGGAACTCATAACTTAGTCTAAACAGGCGAGATTCTCAAGATTCTTAACAAAGTGTCCTCCTATTCTCATCCATCATATTTTTGTCAAGGGGGCTTTTGATTTTCTTAAAATCCTCACCAACAAAAGAGATAACATCTCATTTCTGCTGGTTTCATTTGAGATCAATGCTATCTTCTTACCTTCTCTAAGGAAAAGTTGCTGCTGAAGCACTCTTGTAAGATATTCCCGATTCTCCCTCCTAACATTGCATTCTTATCCAAGCTATCATAGCTTCCGTACCTCGCGCCTCGCGCCTCGCGCCTCGCACCTCACACAAATCTATATCTAACTTGTATCTCGTCCCTGAGAACTTTTATATCCTTCACACTTCCACAGCTTCGAAATGTCTTCCCAAGGTTCCGTTCGCAAACGAAAAGGCGGTTCGGTTCCACCCCAAGGAAAAGATGCCTCGATTGCTGTGACAGCTCCTCATCCTCATCCTGAGCTCGATGCCCTAGTGAACGATTTACAAACCAAAACTGGACCAGAATGGGATTATAGGATCGCATTGGTGATCATAACAATTCTGGCATTCGTTACAAGATTCTGGGGAATCAGCCATCCCGACGAGGTGGTGTTCGACGAAGTACATTTTGGCAAGGTAAATACATCATGAAACTCTCTCAAAGGTCTAAAGCTTGTCTGACACCCTGTTCAATAGTTTGCTTCATATTATCTCGAGCGAACTTACTTTTTCGATGTCCATCCTCCGTTCGGAAAGCTTCTTTTTGCCTTGATGGGTTGGTTTGTTGGATATGATGGGCATTTCCACTTCGAAAACATTGGGGACTCATACATCGATAACAAGGTGCCATATGTGGCTTTCCGCGCTATGCCCGCTCTTCTTGGAGCTTTGACAGTTCCAACTGTCTTCTCTATCATGTGGGAATCTGGCTATACTCTACCTGCCTGCGTCCTCTCCGCTTCATTGGTACTATTTGACAATGCGCACATTGGCCAAACGCGTTTGATCTTGTTGGATGCCACTCTTGTTCTTGCGATGGCGTGCAGTCTCCTCTGCTATATCAAGTTCTACAAACTCCGCCACATTCCATTCTCGAGAAAGTGGTGGAAGTGGCTCCTTTTGACCGGATTTGCCTTGAGTTGCGACATCTCCACCAAGTACGTTGGTACATTTGCGTTTGTTACAATTGGGTCCGCAGTCGCAATTGATCTCTGGAGTTTGCTAGATATAAATCGTCGCCAGGGTGCTTTGAGCTTACCAGAATTTGGCAAGCATTTCGCAGCTCGCGCCGTTGCCCTTATTATAGTACCTTTCCTCTTCTACTTGTTTTGGTTCCAGGTACATTTTGCAATTTTGACAAAATCCGGTCCGGGCGATGATTTCATGTCCCCTGAATTCCAAGAGACGCTTAGCGACAATGCCATGTCTGCAAACGCTGTTACCATCAATTACTTTGATAACATCCAAATCAAACACAAGGAAACACATGGATTCTTACACAGTCATCCCGATGTATATCCCCTTAGATATGATGATGGACGAGTCTCTAGTCAAGGTCAACAAGTTACCGGTTACCCATACGCCGATGCTAACAACCATTGGCAAATCGTTCCTGCAGGCACCTTTGAAGAAGTTGCTGGCCGCCCTGTCAAGAACAATGAAGTGATTAGATTAAGGCATGTGGTCACGAACACAATGCTCCTATCGCATGATGTTGCTTCTCCGTACTACCCCACGAACCAAGAATTCACCACCGTCTCCATCGAGGATGCATTAGGCGACCGTCTAAATGATACCCTATTTGAACTCCGAATCGAAAATGGGAAACCACGTCAAGACTTTAAAAGTCTCCAAGGGCAATTCAAGCTCATCCATTTTCCAAGCAAGGTTGCCATGTGGACACATACAACTCCTCTACCGGACTGGGCCTACAAGCAACAAGAGATCAATGGAAACAAGAACCTGGCTCAAAGCTCGAACATTTGGTATGTAGATGAAATACCATCTATTCCTAAGGACTCTCCACGTTTGGTCAAGGAAGAACGCAAGGTCAAGAGCGTCCCATTCTTGAAAAAATGGTTCGAGTTACAACGAGCTATGTTCTATCACAACAATGCTTTAACTAGCAGCCATCCATATGCTAGTGAACCTTTTGTTTGGCCATTTCTGTTGAGAGGTGTGAGTTTCTGGACCCACAATGATACCAGACAACAAATCTACTTTTTAGGAAACCCACTTGGTTGGTGGTTGGCAAGCAGTTTACTTGCAGTCTATGCTGGAATATGGGCAGCTGATCAATTGTCATTACGCCGTGGCGTTGATGCATTGGATACACGTGAGTTCTATACCTCCCTCAGTTTTTGTCAAGGTTTCGACTAACAATTATCTTAGGTACCCGATCCCGTCTCTACCATTCTACCGGGTTCTTTTTCCTTGCCTGGGCAACACATTATCTACCATTTTACCTCATGGGTCGTCAATTGTTCTTGCATCATTATTTACCTGCTCATTTGGCATCGTGTCTGATCACCGGAGCATTGCTTGAATTTATTTTCAATGTTGAGCCCGTCATGGATGATGTTCCATCAGGAATCGCCAAGAAGGCAGGTGTAGTCAAGAAGCATCTCCCAGCACGCGAAAAGCTCCCTGGACAGAACTTAATGATGTCATGGGCTGCAGTTGGAGTGATCCTCCCCGTTATACTTTTTGGATGGTACTACTTCCTACCATTGACATACGGCTACCCAGGCCTTACTGTCCCCGAAGTCAACGCAAGAAAGTGGCTAGGATACGATCTTCATTTCGCAAAATAAATTGATCAACTAGAGATCGATTAGTAGCGAATTTAGGAGAAAGATGGGACACTGTAACGATATTTGGGTGGGGTGTAGGTGATAGATACATGGTCAAAAATGGAGTGGGCTATGGGATTTTGTAAAATATGGATCCTTCAAATTTATCCGAAGATGTCTTGAATGTTACTTTCAGTTTCTGAGCCTTTAGTGTTTTGTGACTGACAAGTCATGACGATGTCCACTGAGGGGTTCAACGTCATTAATAAAACCTTGCGAGCTTTGTCTATAATGTAATTCTTCAGAACATCTACTATATCACCGTCCACACTGCACAACTCATCATATACCGGTACTCAAGATAAAAAACTTTCCGAAAGAAACCCATCCCATCCCGCTCTGTATCGAATTTGTTTCAGACCTCTCCTCTTACAAACCCCAAGACAACACAACACAGAAATAGGCCGCTACCTTTAAGGTTACTACGGTAAACGAAAATTGTGGCAATAGAGCCTGGATTCTTGTATTTTCTTGAATTATTTAAAAAATTGTTGTCAGTCTAGGTCGAGAAACAGAAACAGAAATGGAAATGGAAATGGAAATGGATGTTGTTTAGATTAACTGAATGATTGATTTGTGGTGAGTAAGGGGGAAGAGATGAGTAAGGGGGGAGAGAAAGGGGAGAAAGGGAGGACGGGGGGGCATGAATTTAGGGGGAGTAGTGGTGGATTAGTTAGTGTAGGTTCATGCAAGTGTTATGATAAAAGGCTAACTTAGATTTTCAATACTTTGAGCATTAACGTTGATATTGATGTTGATTTTTGAGACTGAGACTGAGACTGAAGACTTATTTATGGCTAAGAAAGATTGGTATTACTTGTAGATACCTAGTTAATAGAAGTAAAATTTACTTATGTTTAATTTCCGTCCGGAGACGGGTGATGGGGGCTCGGATATTTGCATTTACTCCTGTTATTTTCGGGTATGTGATTTGATATACGGATATGGATGGATAATAGGTTTATACCCGTGCAGTCAGTAGTCAGTCGTAAGTGGTTAAGTTAAGCATTGAAGCATCATACCTCAACTAACTGAGGTTGGGTCCAACCGCATTTGATCTAGCTATCGATCATACCAAAAGCTGAATAAGATTATATAATTAGGAAGATCTAGAAAATGGATTGATTGACTATCTATTCTTGCTTTATATCTTTTCAAAACTAGGCTATATATCGCTTGGCTTTATCCAAATGCAGCTGGACCTAACCTCAGTTAGTAGTTAGTTGAGGTAAGACGGTACCGATAGCTACGGCTACGACTATCACAATCACAACTAATTTATCAATATCAATCCTTAACGCGGTCGGTCATGACTTACAAGCTGAAATTTAGAAATTGAAAGTGGCGGGTACGAAGATATAAGCTGTAAGCTTGTAGGCTTGTAGGCTTATAAGCTTGTGTATTGTAATTGTTATTATAAGGGGTTAATATTTAACGAGTTATACCTATCACCGCAACGAACGGATTGATTGCGTAATAATATCTATCGACCTGAATGTTGTTTGTTGTCTGCTTACTTATATTCATCTATCTCATCCTTCTGTACGCGGCTGGGTGCCAATATCAATATCAATATTGAAACTCGGGATAGGTTACTAATACCAATACCAATATCAATACCGATCCCAACCACCAACCTTACCCAACTCAACCCTTTGCGAGATCAGCCCTACGTATATATATTTGTCAGCTCTTGAACTTGACCCCCTTTTGTAACCAGTAGAAACAGACCACCTTGTTCTTGTTCTCTAGCTCCTGTCTAACACCGCAGGACCGGGCGGTAAATTCACATTCTTTATCTCCGGTCCGAGATTTTCGGATCCGAAGATTGGTGATTGAAGGGAGAAGGAAGGCTCATCATCACTTTCTTTTTTTTATATAATTGATGAGAAAGCCAAATATCAAACTCATCGCATCCATCTATCACATCACATCACATCACATCACATCACATCTTAACATCTATCTTCTCATTCAATTACCTACGACTTCTCACTCACAAACACACAAGCAAACCAACAAACAAACAAGTACCGCGCAAAACACCAAGCAAAGAAACAAGCTTTCGAAATACTTTACCCGGAAACTATAGATCTTATAAAAATAAAATCGCAAATCACTAATCGCCAAAATGCATTTCCTCGTCTTGGGTGCTTCGGGTAGAACGGGAGCTCTTGTTCTTGCGGAAGCTCTTTCAAAAAGTAAGTTTTTTGTTGTTTTTCTATACCAATCTAATCTACCCATCCACCCGAACCCCTCGCTAACCCAACTCCCATTAGACCACACCATCACCGCGCTCGCCCGTAACCCCTCCAGCATCCCCGCCGCCCCCGGCCTCACCATCCTAAAAGGCACTCCCACCTCCGACACCGATCTCCACAGCGCCTTCACCCACGGACCCAAAATCGACGCTGTCCTCGTAACACTCTCTTCATCCCGGGCCTCGGATTCTCCCTTCGCAGCCTCCACTTCTGCCCCCGATTTCCTCAAGTCCACCGTCACGACCATCGCTTCCAGCATGGCGACGCACGATGTTCACAAGATTATCTACATGTCCGCGTTTGGCGTGGGTGATTCCAATGGTGCGTTGTGGTTGCCGATGCGTTTGTTGATTAATAATTCGACGATGGGGAAGGTAGGATTCCAGGATCATGCGCAGGCGGAGGAGGTGTTGAAGGGGTCGGGATTACAGTATGGGGTTGTGAGGAGCGCCATGTTGAAGGAGGGCGAGAAGAAGGATGTTGTGGAGTATGGCGCCGATGGAAAGGGTATGGGTCATTTGCCAGGCTGTACGAAGAAGACTGTGGCGTCGTATATGGTGGCGTGGGCCGAGAAGGAGAAGTTTGAGAGTAAGATCGTGGTGATTTGTAATTAGGTGGGGGGTATGAATTTTGAAGGGTCGATGCATGGATGGTATGATTGGGAATGAGGTTTTATGAGGCGTGGGAGAATTTAAATGGGTTAGATGGTCGTGTTTTCACTTCGTTTGTTGCGCAAAGAAAGATATCCATTGTTTTAATAATCTATCATTGCTCGTTACCTTATCAGTACAATCTCAAAGGCACTTATATGCATTAACCTGTGAATGGGTCTACCTAGTATTGATCCACCGATTAAGAGCCAGCGAAACTTTCCATCGTCTCGCGTATGACCCCTTCACCCTCATGACCAGAAAACTTCCCCGCCAGTTCCTGATATCAATATCAAAATCAATATCAATATCAATATCAACATCCAAAGCCCATATCAAACTCCAAGGCACCATGCCCTAGACCTAACCTAACCCTAGCCCTTCCCAATACCCAATACCCCACATCCAAAGCCTTTACATAAAAGCCTTCACCTCCCTCCCTTCCTCCCTCCCTCTCTCCCTCTCTCCCAGCCGTATATCCTCAAAGTCACTCCATCCATCCATTCATTCATCCATCCATTCCTCCTTCCTTCCTCCCTCCCTCCTCCCTCCCTCCCTCCCTCCTTCCCTCTATTCCATCTTTCCATCTAACAACAATTTTCATACAAACTGGCGCTGCCATCTTCGCTTACAAACAACTTACCGATTTCCCTGATTTATTTACCGTTTATCGATTTGCTAAATACCTTACCTGTCCTTGTCGTTATGTTTCTGAAAGTTCCTCGCTTAAGCTTATGATATGCTTATATTTATGCTCATACTCATAGTTGTAGCTGCCGCCCTCCCCTGCAGCGGGATCGGGGGATCGGGGGATCGGGGATGGAATTTTGGTTATTGGAGATATTGGTGCTATGATGCTATCGGCTTTGGTTCTTTGATTGACTTATTGATTGAAGTGGTGAACAGGCCCTTTCCCAAATATCCTCATCGATTCGACGATTAATCCCCCAAAAATCTCGACGTCCACAATATTATATCATATCATTTAATATCATATTTCGAACATTACACAAAACAATCTTGATAGTGCTACTCGAGTACATTTCCTTATAATCCATAAACTTCAAGTAAACTTGGATAATCTTGTAACAATCGACTTTATAGTCGTGTATCTTTACTCCTGATTCGAGAAAATTTACTGTGGATGACTAGTTTGTATTTGGCGAGAGAATACACGTACATCGGGGATGTTGGTGAAGGGATCATTCGAATAAACTACTCGTATTACCCACCTTTCGAGATGGGAACTTGCGCTTACTTGAGTTTATCAATAACTTGTAGATGTCAGACACTTTGACCCCAACGAGTAAACATGCATACAATTCAAGATTGATAATTGCAATAGAACACTTGGATATGGACTCGGACTGAAAGAGCTAGTCATAATCTCCAACTCACTATCAGTGGAAGAAGCGAGTAGTATGGCATACATTCGGCTCTATCGTTCTTCTCTCTGGACTACTAACTCCTTCCCTCCATTATGGCGAGAAGAAACTTCGGAGAGAGAAATAGCTAGTGAAATTAGAACTATCGAAACTTCCAAAATTGAAGAACTCTAGATCCGTTCAGCAATCGCCCACGGAACAGACATAGATCGTAGTAAGTACTACGTCAATCCAAGGATGATGATCGAAATAATGATGAGAAAGGATTTATACTGAGGCCTACACTAAATCATTCGACAACAAAAGAACACCTCAAGTGCTTGTAAAAGAAACAATAAGAAGTTACTGAACTAATGATCAAAAAGATCACTTCGGACTGCGAAGTGATGATATCACCACAAAGTTAATGGTAATCAAATAATGAAGTTTTCAGCTGGAGATTGAGATGAATCGAAAAAGAGATATTCAATTGAAGAGGATCATACACGTTAAGAACAACGTTAGAAAGTACCGAAGAAACTACCCCTTTATCTCCTTCTCTTTTTGATATGAGACAGTCTAGAAGACTGCGAATCAAAAAATCATCCCTCAGGAATAAGAAATTTCTACTTTCAACAAAACCCACAGCTACCACCTTATCCCCCCCAATCAATTACTCAACCCTCATCCCCCCAACCTCATCATAAAACACCTCCCTAACCTTAACACACCTCAAATGATTCTTCCCCCCACTCAACGAACTATCATGATAAAACAACCACCACCTTCCTTGAAACTCCACAATACTATGATGCGTCGTCCACCCCACCACCGGCTCCAAAAGCCTTCCCTTATACACAAAAGGTCCCTCGGGACTATCTCCCACCGCATAACACAAAAAATGCGTATCCCCCGTCGAATACGAGAAGTAATATTTCCCCTCATATTTATGCATCCACGCTGCTTCGAAAAACCTTCGATCATGATCCTGTGCAGTGATTTTCTCCCCGGTATTCTCATCTATGATAGATATTTCATGGACGGCAGACGAGAAAGAATGCATATCATCACTTAATTTAGCAACACGAGGACCGAGTGCAGAGCCAGATTCAGGCTCCATACTCGTATATTTCTCCGCGTCAAAAACCTCGTGTTGGGAACCCCAGCATTGCAATTGACCGCCCCAGATACCACCAAAATAGAGATAAGCCTGTCCGTCATCATCGACGAAACTACAGGGGTCGATACTATAGCTTCCAGGGATGGGGGAGTCATCGGGAGTAAAAGGACCTTCGGGTTTATCAGCAACGGCAACACCGATGCGGAAAATACCCTCCTGGTCTCGTGCCGGGAAGTAGAGATAGTATTTTCCGTTCTTGGTGCAGGCGTCTGGGGCCCAGAGTTGTTTGGAGACCCAGGGGATGGAAGATGCGGAGAGGACGACGCCGTGATCGGTTACGGGACCGGGGATCGTGGGCATGGAGAAGACGTGGTAGTCTTCCATGGCATATTGGTCTCCATTGTCGTTGTCTTGGATATCCGTGGGGATATCATGTGAGGGGTAGATGTAGAGAGTGTTATTGAAGACATTGGCCGATGGATCGGCCGTGTAGATGTGAGTAACTAGAGGTTCTTTGTCAAACATGTTGCAGAGTAATTGATATTTCGAAGTTGAAAATTGTAAAAGAGAAATAATCGAATGGAGATGCATGGAGTGATATTATAGGCACTATGCGCCAGTGGTGGGGGTGGGCTTGTTACATTTATCCATTTATCCACAGTGAGGTTTAGCTCCGTTGCGGTTAAAAAGGGGTACATTTATCCACAACGAGGATTACCTCAGCTGCGGTTAAATAGGGGTAAATGTTTTCGAAGACGATCCTTTTGTCCATGCTAATCCGCAGGCTAAATTATGACAAGCTTGGCAGACTAGCGAGTACGTACTGCAAACCAGATGCCCAACAACCCGCGCGACAAAATGACAACAAATACCATCATCCAACTGTTGGGCTACTAATGTAATGCAAAATGTTAGGATATGATATGTTATATTGTACTCGATTAATGTGATGTGATATGATGTGAAATGAATGTTTGCGGAAAAATGAACGACGGAAGCTCGTTTAGCTTTCGGAAAATACATCGGAAATAGAATTGACCATACTGTAGGCCAGTTTGGGGTTTGTGTAGGAAAGGTATGTGAAGGATAGTGTGGTGTACTAGGTAGTCTTGCCTTATTTCTAGGTTATATGCCTGGCTGTCAAGAGTAAGACAGCTCGATAAGACAAGGACTATGTGTATCTTAATGCATATATACAAATATCTACATCAACATCCTCCGACCAAAATCATGGTATTTTACAAATCATTTGCCTGTGCGCCATTGCTATGCATTTAGAGTCCATCGCTCTATAATATCCTACGCCTAAGTCAATTTATCAAGTTTTATTCCCCCCTCAGCTCCATCATTTATATCATTTCGCCTCTTGTATCTCTGAACACTTTCATCCACGAACATGACCTGAATGAGGAAATTCATCCTCCAGCCTCAGTCTCACCAAAACATTCATGCTAAGCATTTCTTGCACCAACAACTTCGCCGCATACGGCATCGTCATAGTCGAAACACCCTTTGAACTCTTGCATGTTTGGCACCATCCCGAATATCCCATCAAACCACAGGTTTCGCAGATATCCACTTCATGGGCATCACTGCTAAGCATAAGTCTTTCGAGTAACAATTGACTGGCACCATAGGCAATGAGACAATCTCTCTCCATCTCTCCCAAACGTAGACCACCATCTCTGGATCTACCTTCAGTGGGTTGACGTGTGAGAATAGCGCGGGGACCGCGAGACCGAGAATGCATCTTATCTTGAACCATGTGCTTGAGTTTTTGATAGTAAATCGGACCGAAGAAGACGTAGGCTGGTAAAGACTCTCCCGTGATACCACTAGTGACGAAATCTTTACCGGAGTAACTGAAGCCTTTGTCGATTAGGATCTTTCCCATAACATCGACATCGCTACCCCCAAAACAGGTACCGTATTCAAGAGAGCCATTAATAACACCGGCTTTCCCAGAGAGCAACTCTAGCATTTTACCAACTGTCATACGAGACGGGAAACCGTGAGGGTTCATGATGATATCAGGAGTAACTCCAGAATCCGCAAAAGGCATATCTTCCTGATCGACGATGATACCCACGACTCCTTTTTGACCGTGGCGAGATGAGAATTTATCTCCTAGCTCTGGTCGCCTGGTTTGGCGGGTCTGAACTTTGATGACCGTACTCTCATTCTCGGTTTGTGAAAGCATGACCTTATCGATATAAGCATGATCCGGTAGTTTATAGCCCATTGGTGCAGGTTTCATATCGTTTGCACTGTAATCCGAACCAATCCCAGAAGAAGTTGGATTCGAGGGGGACTCCTTATTCAGATAAGTCTCGCCAGCATTGATTCTCTCACCGACCATTGCAAGTCCATCAACTCCCAATATTCTATGTTTTGCAATGGGTTTACCATTTTCGGCAATTGACCTATCGGCAAGACGATCTTGAGACCGATTAGGGTACTTCTTCAATTGTGTTGAATATTTACGGAACACCTGGCAACGTCCAAATCCACGATCACAGGAGGCTTTATTGAGAACTAGGGCATCCTCAATATCGTAACCTGAAAATGACATGACAGCAACCGTTGCGTTTTGACCAGCAGGAAGTTTGTCGTACTTAATCAATTCTATCGTACGCGTCTTAACCATAGGTTGCTGTGGATAGACCATGAGATAAAGCAAAGTATCAATACGCGAGAATTGATTGTATGCGATAACGCCAATAGCTTGCTTACCCATAGCACATTGGTAGGTGTTTCTGGGAGATTGATTGTGATGCGGGTATGGAATAAGCCCAGCAACCGCTCCTAGGATAGTGAAAGGTTCAATTTCAAGATGCGTTGTCGCTTCGTTAATATAGTGTTCTTTAATGGCAATGTTGGAATCGTTCTCCTCATTGCAGTCAACGTATTCGAGGAGTCCTTTATACAAGAAGTCGTCGAAATCCATCGTTCCCTTACGCAGCTCTTCGAGATGACGTTTCGTGACTTTAGATTTTCTGTTCTCAACGATAATTAGAGGTCTACAAATTCGGCCTTCGTCTGTAGCAATATGAACAGACGTGCTGTGGTGGTTAATAAAGATACTGATGTACTCAGATATACGTCCCATACGTCGAAATTTTCGAAAGGAGTTGAGGAACTTTTTGGGTTGCCGAGTGAGGGCAAGGGGTGTTCCGTTGACAAAAATAACGTAGGCTCCCTTTTCGTAAATTTCCTTACCGCTCATGGAAACGATGTCTTCTGCGCCAAGAACGAAAGTCAATTTTTTGACAGGCTCTTCATCATCATACGTAGTGATGTGAGTCATCAGTGCCAAATTCTTGACCAGCCCACAAGCTTCTCCCTCAGGAGTATCGGATGTACAAAGCATGCCAAATTGCGAAGGTTGTAAAGCTCTAGGTCCACTAACTTTTCTAGTCTTCTCAAACTGACTGCTGATTCTGGTCATCATTCCGAGGGCACTGATGTAACTGAGTCTACTGAGGACGTGCGTGACACCTGCCCGTTCCATCTTGAATCGTTTCAAACTCCAATTTCCTGTCGAAATAGCACGGTTCATACCAATGGTGATGTAGTTGCCGTGAGATTGCATGTGGTTGTATGCGTCAAACTCCATGCCCCTGTTAGGCTTCTTCAGAACTTTATCAATATTCATCTTTAGATCAGTGTTGAACTTCTTGAACAAATCCTCAAAAAGCAAAGAAAGAAGCTGCCCGGCAAGTTCCAAGCGTTTGTTGCCAACATAATCTCGATCATCGACAAGCTTGGGGTTGACTATTGCCATGAGGACTCGGCGAACCATGAAACAGATATAGAGTGCCTTAGGGCGAAAATCTAGTCCAACAACCGGGACATGCGTGATTATGATATTCGCAAGGGCTTCGAGAGCATCGCCAATATAATTGCGACGCTGAGGTCCTCCTGGCTGCCTTGATCGACTTCCCATTTTGACACGGGAACCTATATATTCAAGAGCTTGGTGTTGAGTATGGACGCCAAGCTTGGTAGCTTCTTCAAAATTTATAGAAAACTCGTCTTGATATCTCTCGTCAGATCCAGCGACTAGAAGTAATAATTCATGATCTGATTGTATTCCCATGGCCTTTAGCACAATGACGATCGGTAAAGCTTCTTGCAGGATATTGTGCTGAAGAGAGATTCGTTCCTTTTTGAGCATGACATAACTTTTCGATTTGCGCTCATGTGTAGAACTGGCGAAAGTTAGCAATGTCCCAACAGTCATGGGAAGTATTCTCTGACCTCGTAACGGACGCAGAAACGATTCCCTTCTTTGGGTCTGCTTCAATGATAACTCTGTTCTTGCTGAGTTGTTCCTGAACAAGAATGACCTTCTCTGTTCCGTTGACAACAAAATAGCCACCAGGATCTAACGCACACTCGTTCATATGAGCCATCTGGCGATCGTTCTTTCCGGCCAGCCGACACTTCGAGCTTTTCAACATGATGGGCATTCTGCCAATCGCTATATTCTTCCTAGCTACTATAGTCCTCCCTCGCATGTATTTGATGTCGACCCTGATTGGCGCAGCGTAGGTCATGTCCCGGAGACGGCATTCGTTAGGTGTGATTTCATTTTGCGGTTTGCGATCATCATAGTCCATTCGTTCGGGCTCGCCAACACGAATATCGGTATATCTGCCGACTGTTAGTAGATTACACACATATTTTGCAACATTGTTTTGACTGACTCCAACCAGAAATATTTATCCACTTCGCTGGTAACTCTTTTGTTTGCCTTGACAATATCCTTGATTTCGTGCTCGACAAAATAGTTAAAGGAGTCGATATGCTGTTTGACGAGACCTTTGACTTTCAAGAAAGCCGGTACAAGATTCCATTTATCCTAGAGCGCATTAGAAAAGGTGCAAGAAATTTCTCACAAAAGCTCTATACCCTCGCTGTATTGATCGGATCCGTTAAACTTTTCCCATCGTAAAATGGCTCAAGTAAGGCGGCGAAACCCTATAATAACTGTTAATGAAAGCTCCGTCTGGAATCAAGTGGGCAGCATCTGTACATCATCGTCTCTCGGTGGTACAGGGACCGCGTTGGCAGCCTGTTTCGTTTTCGTCGCCCTCTTGCGTTTGGGATTCTCGGCTTCTATTGATGGCCCGTCGACTTCTTGTGCAGGTTCTTGAGCCTAGCTTTAAAGTAAGTTACTGTGGTAATGATACCAATGAGATTTACTCACTTTCTTCGTAGAACTTGCTTGAGCTATAGCCTCTACTGGCCTGGTAGCTTTCTTCTTGGGAGGCATCTTGGATCTTGAAATTGATAGGCAAGCGTATTAACGAGATGTGAGTCGGTGGGTTCAAAAATAAATAATTACTTGTACTGGTCAAAGTTTATATTTTACGCCCGATACCCCGCGAGCAATAGCCAATCATATGATAGCGCTAAGATGTGACCCATGCAAGGCTGTTCCTTCCATGATCTGCTTGAACAATCAATTATGGTGTTATCACGATAAGAAAGTTGATACCTAGGAACTTGTAACTATCGATAGATGTACTTAAGGCAGGTATAACTCAAATCTAATCATTTCCATCAACCTTACCTAGTAGGTAATTATATGGCTCTGATTACCCTCTATACAATTATGATATAATCAAAAGATGTGAGCTTACTAATAAGTATCCTCCCTGCACTACAAGTACGTACAACCTGCAAGACACAGCTACAGTAGTTCTATATGGCTTTTTTGCTTTTCTTCTACGTACTCTATGCAGCAGCAGCTATGTAACAGTAGCATGCAAATGCAACATTCAATATGTGCTTCACCGCCAATCTGATTTTTGCTGCTATATAATTTGCACGCCACAGAAGAAATCCCCACTCTCAGTCACTCATAAATTCATGTCGTGAAAAGTTGAAAGAGAACATTTTGACTCACCACGCCAGTCTTATTAGCAAAAGAAATAATGATTTGGGAGAATTTCAGCAAGCCTGTTGGTATTTTCAAGGCTCTTGAAAGTTGAGAGAGACTTAACGTCGTTTCTATCACTTAAGCTGCAGTTGAGGTTCTGATTGATTCGAACATTTCGAGTTGCATGCAGAAGATCGTGACCAAAACTGATTGGAGTCGCATTAGGTAGGTTTAGTACTCCACACATTAAGACTTTGCCACTGGTAGCTTGCGAATCATTCCTCAGATCGAATGAGTAGTGGAATTGGAAAGAACAGAAAGAGGGATAACTGTGATTGTTCCTGCGAAGAATTGTGGATATGGTACAGTGTGGTATGTGCAGTATCTCAAGCTCGAGTACATGATGGATTAACGGTTGGTTGATCTAGACTAGATGAGATCTTTAGACATCAATAAATATAGGACGAATTTGGGTATACGATATGCAATGTGCAATGCGTTCACTCAAGTGATAAGGTTCGAAACTGAGAAGAAGCTCGAGAGTCGAGAGGCTTATACTGTAGATCCAGCAGCTCCTTTGATAGGCCGATAGTAGAAGTAGACCTCTACAGACCGGGGGAGGGTGTAGATGCCCCGCCTCACTTGTCGTATCTGAAGTTAGGGATCAATTGGCGCCCCGTGATTACCTAGGTAGGTATTTCCTCATTTTGCTCATTGCACGAGAATGCGATACATCGCATTCACATTCACGCCTCATCAGTATTTTCAAGCTCACCGTTACCATTGGGAAATTGAGGTACAGGAGTCGAAGAGGTTGGGCAAAAGCTGCTTTAAATCTTTTGATGCTGCCAGTGCCAACTGTACGAAAGTTGCTGCACGTTACTGAGAGTTTATTAAACCCCTGATTGATTGGGTATAATGACAAGCTATTACCCCTCGAATCAGGGTCCATCTTAGCAAGTCATTAATGTGGGAGGTAGCAAACAAAAAAAGGGGAATTTACTCGATGAAATGTATGAACCCTTTTTGATCTGAATAATTACATGTATGTATTTATTGTATGCAGGTTAAGCAAAGCAAAGCAAAGCAGACTAGTTGGAAGTAATCCAAATTCGCCTACTTTTGTTGCTACAGCACAGTATCGAGTTGACTACTCCGTATTAATGAATGTACTCAGTTGGGTGCTGCTTGTCGAGGGAGTTTGCCAATACAGTAGCTTTCTAACTGTTGCCAGTGTATCTCAACTTGCCATAACTTCTTTTTTTGAACCAATTGATTTGACTAGAGAGACACATTAAGGTGTATTTGAAATCTATCATATCGTAATACAGTAAATCTATACTACCATGCCTCCAAAAAATGAAAATCTTCCTAGATATCTTGTAAGCAAGCATCCTTTGGGCACGTCCACACATCTTAGCGTATCCTCGTTTAGCGCTATCGATCTCCCCAACTTCTGTCTGTATACACTCATTTTGACACAACATTTCTGTTCCCGCGCCCGGCTGTCCAGGGACGAGGAGGATCTTTTGGATTGTTTCATATTTTGTAGGTGAGTCGAATTGTGAAGTATGTTGGTTTATCCTTCACTCTAATCGCGCATCGCACCCCACGTCAAAACCTCACTCCTGCCAGCCTTCAATCGCGCATTTCCAAGTCTGACTGGTCACAGTCATATAGATAATTCATCATGGCATATTCGAATAGCACTAGTGATCGAATGGACGAGTTGCGGTTTCGTAATCAGCAGTCATCGAGGAATGATGCATCTATGCTCGGTCTGGTTTCTCCTCCACGAAATGGCAACCGAATGTCACAATCACTACAGCAGCAAGAGAGTCGTGGAGGACTGACGCGAAGGTTTACTACCGATTCAGGGAGAGTGCCGACAATTGCTTCCATCACCAGCCAGCGCGGCACTCAAGAAACTCAAGAATACGGCCCCTCGGTAAGCCAATTGAATTTGTCTATTCAACCACAAAATGCTATTGTCCTGCAACGGCTCCTTCGAATTTTTCAAGCTATTGTCAAAGTTCTTTTGATACCGCAGCATATGCTGATATTTAATGATAGACGTACCATAAAGTACAACTGGTAAGCTCCTTCAACTACCTCGCCATTCTACTTCCAACCCCCCATTTCCTCGATCTTGCACACAAAAAGCAAAATTGCATATTTCCTCCAGTGCAAGGCACTCTTCACATCTCCCGATTTTCGATCCCCCCTTTCCATCAAGAGCTGACACACCTATCAGTTAGAGAAAAAGAAACTCGAATACGAGCGACTCCGTGAACAAAAGAGGCGCTTCGAGGCGGAGATGCAATTGTTGGACCTACAGCAACGAAGAGAAGAACAAGAATTACAGCAAATGCAAGAAGATCTTGGTAGATCTAATAACAATAATAACAACGCCGGCCATCAATCAGAACCAACTACACCACCAGAATTTAGGGAAACTTCATCCGGTTTTCCTTCCGCATTTTCTCGCCCCAATAGATATTCGACATCTAGCATTACATCCCCTCCAGGTCTCTACAATCGCCCAGGAAGATCTGGCTCTCAACTCACATCACCTCAATCTGGAACCATGCAGTCCAGACTCGTGGTTGATGATAAGTTACCTTCCAAGTCTGTACCAGGCTCACGCCGCAATTCAGATGAAGATGAGAAGGAAGAAGCAGTAAGACAAGATCCAACCAGTCATCGTTCTACCAATGCGTACGTACTGAGATTTTCCTTGGCACTCTAAATTATGCACATTTATTCCTGTACACCTCAAATTCTTTTTGTCAGAAGTCTGCAGTATCCAAAAGGCTATCCCTACACGACAAAATATAAAGAAACCATATGCCAATCCACGCGCATTCAATAAATAAGTGCTTGTTAATGGGGACTGCGGCTTGCTTCTTCGTCTTTAGGTATTATGCCAGTGGCTAGCTTCCAACAATTCCCTAGTCTAATTTTGGCTGCTGCTCAAAGTAGGGCACTTGCACTCCAGCCTTGAGCTCATGAGACATGCGAAGCTTCTTGTGCTCAAGATACTGCATACTTAGGAGACTATCTAGGAGACTTTCTGCCTTGGGAAAGTTCTATAATGACTGTCTCTAATTTTGTTTTCCGGTTTTATATGTTGCGGATTTCCAATACCAAAGGTGAAAGATATTGAAACCAGCAGAGGTTGTGGGTATTATCCAAATTATCTCGCTTCCTACCGCTTTGACCTCAACATAACCTTCCAAATGACCACACCACCTTAGGTCTGTCGATATATATTCACTATGCTGGATAGGACAGGAATGGTTCGATTGATCTTTCTGCCTATTCTGCTATTGTCTTTACCTAAACAATACCTTCAAGCGCTAGTGCCGTCGTCCTTCCAACCTTCTTTCTTCCTCAACTATTCTTCAACTTTCAATCTTCAACCTTTCTTACAACCTTTCAATTTTCTGATCCTTAACAACTCCCTTCTTGCTTGCTTGCCGGACAAGACTTCAACTTACAAGAAATTCAAATCAATATCATTCTTTTCAATATCCTCAACATACTTTCCATTCCCCTCTTTTTCCGTATCTGATCCCACTTAGCCTTAATTTCTACCCTTTCGTCTTCGATCTAAGGTCTTCGATCTAGGAACCTCAAATCAAGTCTACTCTTGCTAATACACCCCAAGTCTCAACAGATATTCTATGCCCGTTACTAAATCTCGTAACGGTATGCACGAGATGTTGTCCCTTGACCAAACCAATACCGCGCGTTTCCTCTTCGGCGAAGATGAAAATGCTGCGCCCGCAAACGTTGACAATTATTTGAAAATGAATGCTACTGATGACAAATTTCCAATTCTTGTTCGTCGCGACGAGTTCCCTGGTTTGGTAAGCAATTTTAAAAAAAGATTCACTATATTGTGCTGACTGACCGCTCTATGTAGCTTTCCGCTTCTTCTGCAGCACTTGACTTAGCCTTATCTCAATCACCTGCACCAGAATCCAATGGTTGGAGTTCGTTTGCCCGTCATCGACCAAATCAACAAAGCCTCCCAATGAATAATATTCAATCTTCTCAACAAGTCGCAACCTCCGCTAGTCAATCTAGCTCTGCCGAGTCTCCCATCAGTGTTCGCCCATCATATCGGCACTCTTTGGATCTGAAGTTTTTTGAAGGCCCACAGGGTGGCACTGCCCAAGTAGCCTCTCCGCCAAAGCACGTTCAAGCCACGCCACCTAAGCTTCAATCATCTTATTCTGCCAACGACGTTCCGACGGTTCGCACAGCCTCGAACGGCATGCAAAGTAACAACAACACCCCTAACTCGCACGCTCAACAACACTTGCACAATCATAATGCTAGCTTAGGTCGCATTCCACCAAACGCGATGAACAGACTAAGTCGTGAGATGGCTTCTGGAGACAATGGTACTATGCGCGAGGCTCAGAATGGTAGCTATCAGTCAATCCAGTCTGCTTTGCAAGCCAGTGCTGCACCATTCGGCCCAGCCTTAACTCAAGGAATGCCACAAGGCATGTCGCAGGCTCAAATGTCACCATCTGTGACACCTCCTACCGGTCAACAGAACTTCCCTGCATCAGTTCCTGGCTACTATAACAATTATGGCATGCATATGATGAGCTTGGGAATGCAGAACATGCAACTTAGCCAACCAATGTATCCTCCTCCAAACTCCTACAACAATTATAGCAATGCTATGTATCAGCACAATGGTGGACAGAGAGATAGTCAGGCACGAGTTATTCAACAACGTCGTCAAAATGATGGCGAGGGTAAGTTTTTTGAGTACCCTGAAATCAAAGCAAGCTAACATTTTTCTTGCAGCAATGAATCGCTTTGCAAACGTAGCTCTGGATCAGCTTGGTGGCGAGATCTACGCACTTTGCAAGGATCAACATGGTTGCCGCTACTTGCAAAAGAAGTTGGAAGACCGCAACCCCGAGCAAGTCCACATGATCTGGCTCGAGACAAATCAGCATGTCATTGAGCTCATGACCGACCCTTTCGGAAACTACCTTTGTCAAAAGTTGCTTGAGTACTGCAACGATGAAGAGCGTACTGTCCTGATCGAAAATGCCTCGCACGATCTGGTCCGCATCGCTTTGAACCAACATGGAACCCGCGCCCTTCAAAAGATGATCGAGTTTATCTCCACTCCAGGTCAGGTTCAGACCATTATTGGCGCTTTGCGTTTCCGTGTCGTTGAGCTCATCCAGGACTTGAATGGTAACCACGTCATCCAGAAGTGTCTTAATAAACTCTCTCCAGTAGATGCTCAATTCATTTTCGATGCTGTTGGACAACACTGCGTTGATGTCGGAACTCACAGACATGGCTGTTGTGTCCTTCAACGTTGCATTGATCATGCTTCTGGCGATCAAAAGGCTTGGTTGATCAGACAGATTTCGAACAATGCCTATGTATTGGTCCAGGATCCTTTTGGCAATTATGTGGTTCAATACATTCTCGATCTCAATGAGCCAATCTTCACCGAGCCATTGGTTGCTATGTTCGCAGGACGAGTAGCTCAGTTATCGAAGCAGAAGTTTAGTTCAAATGTCATTGAGAAGTGTCTTCGATGTGCACAGGAACCTTCCAAGGACATGTTGATTGAGGAGATGCTCCAACCCAATCAGCTTGACAGTCTATTGCGGGACTCATTCGCCAACTATGTCATTCAGACTGCTTTGGACTACGCCAATCCGAACATGAAGACACGTCTCATTGAGGCTATCCGACCACATCTCCCAGCTATCCGCACCACACCATATGGCCGTCGAATCCAAGCCAAGATCCAAGGTAACGAAAACCGTGGAAATACTTCGACTGGTCCCACCACCCCTAATGACAACGAAACAGGCCAACTTGCTACTCGTCACCAACGTGGCATGTCCATCGCATCAGTCGGTGCTTTTGTTAGCTCCCCTGGAGGATTTCCAAATGGCATCGGTCCTGCACCCCTTACCAATGGTTTGCCTCTTCCCGCAATTCGATCTCCACCTCACCAAGGAGCTGGCTTTCCACCGAACGATCGCCTCACTTCCCCTGCCGCTGCTCATCCATACACCTATGGTAGAGCTGGCCCGCAGCCTGGAGCGGGTGGTAATTGGTTGTAAATCTGAACCTTCAACATCAAATTTGGTTGATATTTCGGCATGACGATACGATTTCAACGCTTGTAACGGTACGAGGAACGATATTCATTTTCGAATCAGACGATGTTACAGTTCATTTAGCTTTTATTCATCATAAGATCTCTTCATAGGATTTCTAAACTTGAATATAAGCTACCTGGATAGTGCGTCTTCTATGGTTGTATTCACATACGATTTTCACGGCCCTTTGTTGTTACATTAGCATCATTCTAGAGGTGTTGCATCCGTTCCGTGCATGCCTTTTTCTTTTCGATTTCAATTGGCGATAGCATGCATCATGGAAATGAATTTCCCTGCGAGTTTTCAGCCTTTTTGTACCATAGCAGCTCGATCAAAAAAAGATCTTAGCACGATTCAATACGACACCTTCTATCTCTAGCGCAGGGTACAATACGAGCGACTGCGCGGCTCGACTTGTACCTGCTTCGGCCATGACAATAGACTCGAGTTTCCTTGTTCTTTAGTTTCCTTGCGGTGGTTTTCTGGTTCTCGTTACTCTTTGGCGTGTCAAACGGTTTTTGCACTTGATAGTCATGACCAGACATCTTGTGCCCACACCTTTCTTCTGAACTCTCTTCTCTGCATCGTTTGTCAGATGGGAAGAAAGCTTCTTCTTCTTGTAACCTCCAAGGCTGCATTTTCTTTAGCTAGCTTGGCGCATGGTATGCATTATCTGCTTCCATTTACGCGCAAATATGCTTCGCCAAATTTTCTGATGGGTAAATGGTTCATCTGCGGCTGCTCAAGATATTCTGACATTATTATTTCTTTACTACTGCACTGGTCATGGGCTCAATCTGCAGAATAGCGAAACCTGTAACTAGAAAAGCAATGAGAAATAAAAACTCAAAAAATAAAACCTATCCTTTCCTTTCCTGTGACATTCTCTCTTGTATGAAATTCTAAAATCCTGAAGGTAACAGCCCTGTATCATTTACCTGTTCTCTCTTCCGACTCAGTCTTATAGTAAGTAGCACCACTCGTAGGTAAAGATGATGGTTTCTGTCACGTGTCCATCAAGGTTAATGATTTTCTCTGCTGAGTCACTAGTGGGCACCTTTTCTGCACAAACCTTCAACCTAGCAGCTACCTGTAAAAGTGACTGATGTTTAACAATTAATATTAATGGTTTAGACAAGACGAGTGTCGAGTTAACTGGAACAGAAAGATGGATGAAAACCGCACTAATAATGTTTTCCCAGAAAGGGTCGAGACCTCCATTAGTACATCAGGCAGTCTCATTCCTCTTAAATCTATATTAGAAACAAGAGCTCGAGACTCATTGCTCAGTGTCTACATCATAAGTGTTCCAGCGAAAAAAGCTAGTGGTGTTCTAAAGTAAGTCTTAAGTCTCATTCTATCAAATTATACAGCTGCTCATGCTTTCCCAGTTTGACACGGAAACTTTTCCCCGAAGATGGTGGTTTTGACCTACAACATATCAGGAGATTTGCGAAACAAGCGGATGTTCCAGATCACGTTCGCTCTTTTCTCCTAGGCGCAAATATCGACAGCAATGACATTGATCAAGTCGATGCTGAATCTCCTGAACTTTTCCTGCTTGTGGGAGCTACGAATCTCATCAGCTCGGAAGAATTGCGCAATGCTCTCTCTCCAATCTTAGATCCAATAACCATTCACTCCATAAAGGTACCTTTGTTAGCTCCAACGTCGCAAGAGCAAGCCATGTCTTGGTCATCTCAATATTGGCCCATAGTATACAAAAAGAGCAATCCGTTTGGTCCCCACCCAGCCATTGTGTCCAGGGCCGAAAAAGAAGTACAGGAAAAAGTTAGGAAGTGGATGGACTTGGCGGCCGAAGTGGCCCGCTCCTCGAGCAAGACAGGTATCGGGGAGCAAATTGGTGCTGTAGTTGTCGAACGAAAGAATGGAATTGAACGTACACTTGCGGTTGCTGGTGATGCGAGATGGATGAAGTGGCCACGAGTTGGCTCAGGAAATGTTACTGCACATGCAACACTTCGAGCTATTGCAATGATAGCAGATGGAATAAAAGTTCAAGAGGAAAGGAAAGCTGACATAGTCTCAGAAACGAGTACATCAGATGAAAATACGATCTTTAATGACCAATCATTGGATATCCTTGAGACAAAGCACCTCAAGTCATCCGAATGGATCGACGGGTATCTTTGCCACGATCTGGAGCTCTATATGACACATGAGCCATGTGTAATGTGCTCGATGGCTATTGTACATTCTCGTTTTGGACGTGTGGTATTTGGACATCGTATGCCGAAGACTGGTGGTCTCTGTGCAGACAGTGAGCTTGGTCACGGTCTTTTCTGGCGTAAGGAGCTGAATTGGTCTTTGCTTGCCTGGCAGTGGATCTCCAGCGAAAAAGAAATTGATGCTTCTAAAAACCCACAAAACCTGCTATCGCAGCTTGGTGTACATGCCTAAGGTTTCAGACGCCGCAACGAAATATCAGTCTGGATTGGCAAACAAGATCCGAAGGCCTTTAATGTTCAAAAGCTATAAATCTTTGAGTGTATGTTAATACCGAAAGAAACTCAACATTGCATGTTCTTCATTCTTCTAATCAGATTTAATCTATGAAATAAATTCAGTATTTCTAACAGATATATTGTTGGATAGTCCGAACTATTGGAAAGCCTGCCCCCACGATGGTTTGGGCTGGCTGTAAAACCACGATTCTGCCGGTAATATATTGAGGGCACATTAATTTCATTTGTGAGACTCAATTTCAGCTCAGATATTAGGTGTGACAGCGGCAAGGAGGATTACACAACTGAAAGGAGAGAGCACTATTATATTCAAAGGTGTTCGTAGGCGCAGCTCATCCTGTCTAACGTTTTGTTGGAAGAACGTGCTTCATATCAACATCCTGATTTATTGGCTCATCTTCCTCGAGTCGTCTTGATGGCTCCCTTATCATCAACTCCCAGGCTTCGAAGATTCTTCTATGGAATTTCCACGCTTGATGCGACGTTGTGGTCAATGGCTCGCCCGTGTCTGCAGCACAGTGGCGCAAACTTCTCATAGCTAGTACCGGGTAATCATATATCTCATGTAGTACATTGAAATCGAGCAGTCTACCTCGGAGTCGGTCCATACACAACTTTATGGCGCCTCGAGATTACCTTATGAATTGCCAGGCAGCATACCTATTGCCTCTAATAACTCCACATAGCCTGGGTATGTAACAACCGTCTTAAACGATTAATCAAATCCAAGATTGGTCGGTACAATGCTGTTGCTGGTAACTACGAGGTCCTTAAGCGAATCAATACAATCATCCATGCACCCGAGGTTTTTGATAAAAGTGCCTGTAAATCGTGTTACAGGGCTTGATTGGAAATGTTCAATCAACCTTGTATCAACCTTTGAAATGGAAACGTGCTTGATTTGCAGCTTCTGATTCGCCATCTTCCCGTTCTTCAACATCAGCCTCGTCGGCTGTAGCTATCAATATTCAATAATCTCGCTGTTCCTTGTTAGGCCCGTTCCTATATCACAATCTGCAATTCGTTGATATATCAACATGTTTGGTACCACCATACTTACCACGCCACTGAAGGACATGAATCTGCCTTATCCAGTGATTTACATCCTAATTAATATTATGAGAAATAAATCTGTCAATATTAGATGGTACTCAATGGCTTGGCTGGCGCAACAATTCACTGCTTGATAAAGCTGACTGCCCTCGTGGGCATTCGACAATGTTCCCTTATTTTCAATCTTGAAGTAGATTGAAAGTACTATAAGACAAGCATAGAGATCAGGATTCTCTAGTACTCTAAAGTCACCAAACATGGCGAACACTGAGCACTCAAAAGATGCTGTATCGCAACCATCAGCCCCCGCTGTACTTCAAACCACCGCTGGTGGAAACGCTGTTTGGCACAATTTCAATAATGATTTCGCCCACATTCAGGATCCTAATGAACGACGACGACTCGCTCTAGCTGAGATTGACCGCGCTCCATTCGGATGGTACCACGTTCGCGCATGTGTTGTTGCTGGTGTTGGTTTCTTCACTGATTCTTATGATATCTTTGCAGTCGGCCTTCTCACCACTATGCTTGGAATAGTTTATTTCCCGCATAACAAAGGAGCTATGCCAACCAATTCAGACACTGCAATTAAAGTTGCCACTAGCGCTGGCACAGTTGTTGGACAGTTTGGCTTTGGTATTCTGGCTGATATCGTGGGACGTAAAAAGATGGTATGCGATTCTGCGATATCACAAGCCACAAAGCTTACATCTAATCGCAGTATGGACTTGAATTAATCATCATCATCTTTGCGACATTGGCACAGTCCTTGACCTCGAGTTCTCCGGCTGTGAACATCGTTGGTGTCATAATTTTCTGGCGTGTTATCATGGGAATTGGTTAGTTGAAGGTACTTAATTCTAGTTAAAAGAAAATTCAACTAACCCAATTAATAGGAATTGGTGGTGATTACCCACTCTCTTCCATCATCACATCGGAGTAAGTACAATCTCTATCAGCTATTGTATGCTGGGTTCTGGAGCTGTGGGTCTCATTCTCATCATCAGTGAAGAAAGTGGCCGAGACCACAAAACTGAACATTTAATAAACCTCTTCTCAGACCCCTTCATCGTTCTTTGTTTTCGTGCAAATATTAGGCATAGCCTAATTAGTACATAGGTTTGCGACAACGAAATGGCGTGGTGCAATGATGGGTGCAGTCTTTGCTATGCAGGGAATCGGGCAATTTGTCGCTGGTCTCGTCATGCTGATCGTCGTTGTTGGATTCAAAGAATCTCTCCTTACAGCAAAATCCGCTGCAGTATGCCAGGGTGTCTGCGGATTGGCAGTTGATAAGATGTGGAGAGTACTCATTGGATTTGGCGCTGTTCCAGGTAGGTGCTCCTGAATCTTTAGCGAAAGTATGTGCGGTCGAATTTCCACTAACACTCGCTAGGTTGTGTTGCACTCTACTACCGCCTCACGATCCCTGAAACACCTCGATATACTTTCGATGTAGCTCGCGATGTGGAGCAGGCCCAGCTCGATGTGAAGGCGTACATTGCTGGAAAGTCTGAAGGACACCCTGACGAGATTGCCCGTGTGCAAGGACTCCAAGCCGGCAAACAGCAATTGACGATCCCCAAAGCTAGCTGGAGCGATTTCGTCGCCTACTATTCGAAGTGGAAGAATGGAAAGATCCTTTTCGGCACAGCCGGTTCATGGTTCTTGCTTGATGTGGCTTGGTATGGTCTGTCCTTGAATAATCCAGTCATTTTGACCGCGATCGGCTACTCTACAGGTCCAACTGTCTACAAAACTCTGCTAAATACCGCTATTGGAAACCTCATCATTGTGTGTGCGGGTTCTATCCCTGGTTATTGGGCTACCGTTGCCACCGTCGACACAGTTGGCCGAAAACCTATCCAGCTTGTCGGTTTCATCGTCCTGACCATCGTCTTTATTGGAATGGGTTTCGGCTACCACAAGCTTTCAGGCCATGGCTTACTCGGCCTCTATGTCGTAGCTCAGTTCTTCTTCAACTTCGGTAGGAATTCCCCAATTCTGCCCCCCTGCCTACATTTCATCCACAATATAAGTAGATAGAAGGCAAAGCCCCTGAACTAATCCCCACGCAGGTCCCAACACAACAACCTTTATCGTCCCCGGCGAATGTTTCCCCACACGCTACCGCTCCACCTCCCACGGGTTTTCCGCCGGCATGGGAAAAATTGGTTCCATCATCGGGCAATCAGCGATTGCCCCCCTACGCGTACGGGGCGCCACTCCAAAGAATGCCAATCCCTGGCTCAACCATGTTCTCCAAATCTACGCTGCCTTCATGTTTGCGGGTATCTTCACCACCTTGTGTATTCCAGAGACGAAACGCATCTCGTTGGAGAAATTGAGCGGAGAGGATTGGGGTTTGGATTTGGATTTAGACGAGGTAAGCGCGGAGCCCACGAGAGAGGGTGGGAGTGAAGAGCATGCCAAGGGGGCGGAAGTCGAGGCGAAGAGTGTTTGAGGGGGAGGACGTTTGGGATTGAATGTTGATATTGATGTTCACATTGATGTTGATGATGGATGGATGGGTCGATCGACGGGAAAGTAGATGGGATGGATGGTATGATGCCACGGATATGATGATAACGATGGATGCTGCTGGTGCCGGCACGTTCCTTAATTAATGTCGAGGTAGAAAGGGGCAGGAAGTTTTGACTGTAATTTACACGTGAATGGAGGATTTATTTCAGGAAGGAAGGAAGAGTTCTATACCCAGCATCAGCGATTTTAGATATCACATTCGTTTTTATGCGTCTTCGACTATATTCTAGTTTTGTGCGTTAGCAAAGATGTATATGAACTATCTCGTGTATTTAAACCTACATACGTGGTTTGTCAAATACATTTGGAAAACTGAGGCCATTTGAAACAAGCATCTAATGGCATCATACATCATTTCACGTCTCCAGATGAGGAGTATAACACGACGAATTGCAACATTGACCTGCTGGGCTTGATGGGGAAAACATATATTCCTTTCCACCAAGACCGACGTAATTTTATTCATAGTGTCCAAGACTGCAAATGGTATCGGCAAGTTATCAGCAATCCATCAACATTTGTTTCCCTTGCCAATGAATAACCCATTTCCCTGCGTGGTAATACAAACGCTCCCTAACCATTGACCACCCATTCATGAATACACAGGTTTCCAATTCCAAACGCCCATGCTATAAGAGCTTCCATTAACCTTCCACCCATATGCATATGTTAAAATATTTAAGTTAATTGATTGAAATCCGGAGCTTTCATTTGCCAAATGGCAGTTTTAGCCCTCTCCCTCACATCCAATTCTGAATCATGTTCCAAATGTTCAATTTTTTGAAGGATACCTAGTTGTTTCAATGACTGCACACGTTGTGCGCAAGCGGGTCCATCGTTTGAGTCATCTACCCAAGTAAGGTTTGAAACTAAATAGCACATGGCGACGCGGACTTCATAGGCTGGGTTGTTAAATTGAGGGACGAGGAGTTTGAGTAGGTCGGATTGGGCTATGACGATTTGGCGATGTTGAGGAATGCTCGCGGCCATGTGAACTAGAATGTAGACGACAGCAATGATGATCTCTGGTTGAGGCGCAATGACCTTCGTTTCCGATGCACCAGAGTCTCGGCGGCTGACGACAAAGGGGTTATTAATGACCTTAGGTCTTAATTTGGAGGCTAAAATCTCGAAAACTTGGTCTTGGCCCAAGGACTCAAATAGATAATCAATCATCTCGGTATTTTCTGCGGAACTGCCATGTCCCGAACCAGCACTTGAAATCAAATTTCGTATGAAATCCAAGCCTTGTTCTTGAACGGCAAGGTCGTCTTTCCTGGCCTTTTTGGCGGGGTCCAGTTCAGCTTCTCGCAAGGCAGCAAGTTTCACTTCTGCTTGCTGCAAGCTTTTACTGCGACTGTTACTACTGGGTCTGGGGTTATTGTGAGCTGAGAATGAGCCGCCCATTGGCATTTCAGGTTGATCCATCTCTACGTCTTCGTCCATGGCATAGTCCCGGTTTGAGGCCACGCCTTGGTTACAGCCATTTTCTTTCGAAAGTGCCTCATCTTCCGTGTCATGACAAATGAGGTATGCCAGCCATCCAGATCCTAGCTCCTCCAAGCACGTTCGCTTAGTCTCGTTACTGACACCGCAGACAAAGTGTTTGAGCGCCCAGGTAGCATTCAGCCGAAGCTTTGCGTTCATTGAGTGTGCCTGTCCACAAAGGATTTTGAGTACCCCAAATTCCATGAAGCTCTGCAAAGGGGTTAGCAACAAAGTTTTAATTACAGCATCGAATGAGTACAAACCTCTCGCATTGGAGCGACATCAATCAAAAGATTGCAGACTGTAGCGGTAGCGGCAATTTGGACTTCAATATCCTGGTGGGATAGGAGGGGGAATATTGGCGTAACCACTCCATTGTCGATCAAGGTAGTCCTGAGTATGCAGACTGATCTCGCCAAGGCGCGAGTAGCGGTACAGGCAGCAATAAGGACTCCCACGGGGTTGATTCCGTAACCTTCTTGATCAATGTTAAGGTCGCTTGACTCTGATTTCCTTTCGGCTTTGTCGCCCTTTTCGTTGAATTTGATCGATGGCTTTTGAGGGTTAGGGTTCAAAGATTCGACAATATACGGAATTATACCATTATCCACAACGGATTTTCTATATTCTTCTTTGAAAAGAATAAGACAAGCTATTGCCCTCAACACGCTCTCCCTTACTTTGATCTTGTGAACAAGGAGAGCAGATTGGCCAGGGTCACCAAGACGCGAGGATGGGGTTTGTTCCACATAATTTTCGGCCGTATTCGGTTTGACAGGTGACCAATGCTGCACATTGGCACTTTCTGGTACTGGATCGTAAGCCATTTTGATCAACTTCGAAAGCTTGGCCATTGCTTCATTGTCAAATGTAGCCTTTTGAAGATATTCGCTATCTGTAATCAATAATGCTAAGATGTGTGGTGCCATTTCCGTGACTGAACGATCGATTCTCAACAATTCATGATCATAAGAGCTATCCTTTGACTTCAGGGTGGACTCTTCATCTAACATCTGCACAAGTAGAGGCACAACCAGTAAACCCAAGGCTGATTCCCTGGCTTTCTTGATAAGACCGGCTCGAAATAGCACTGTCAGTAAATATGAAGCCATAAGTCTCTCTTCGCCTTCCCGAGATCTCATAACCAATATCAAATATGCAATCAAGGGACTTTCAGGATCCTCGGAAATGGTCTGGGTATCTTGTGGCGAACTAGTACGCTCCGGGGGAGGGTCGGACCATATGGAGGCAGACGTTGACTTTCCACGACCATTGGGGGATATTTGTCCCCGAGGGCCAGACGAACCTAGGGGAGGAAATGCAGAAGCCTGTGCGCTCTTCACTGGATACTTTGGAACAATTGGAAGCAGGTAGTCGATGGCACTCAACTGGCTTTGCCGTGCACTGAAACTTGCGGTATTGAAGGCATTCCAAGCAGCTCTTGAGTTTTGCGGAATCGGGGCCTCGCCTGCCGGTATTGATGGGAATACAGCCATGATTGATGGGTGATAAAGTAGTTGTGAAGCTCTGAACTTAGACTCGGTGACAATGCTCGCTATCGCCTCTAAAACCGCCGAAAGACTGGCAGTTGGAGGAGAAGCGGGGGGGATGTATTCCTGTAAACCTTCTCTAAGCGCAATGATCTCGGCACCTGGGATAACAAGGCCCTGAGCCACAACGAAGCTTGCCAACTTCACAGCCAAAGCATCCAAAACACCAGATATTGCGAGACTTTGTTGGTAGGACTCCTGCCGACATATGCGAGCTATAAGAGAAGCCGCCAATGATATCTGGGTTTGTATGATATGCGATGATGAAGTCTGGGAGATGATGCGGGTTAGGGAGGCAAGATGTGGGCGTACGAACAGTGCTGCTGCTAGAGACTTGATCGTAAGAGGGTGTACGCTTGTGGCAAGTATTGCAGACTCCGCGAGGTTAGACAAAGCTCGCAGCGCTGCGAGGACGATTTGTGGTGGGTTGCTTGAGGGGGAAAGATTCGACAGGATCGCCGGGAGCGCAGAACTGTATTGTAAAGGAGCGAGGAAAGCCGGACCACCTAGTCTATATTAACGAAATGTACAATGAGTATGATAAGTCTGCTCACCATATGCAAGACTTCCCAAGACTTGTAAAGCCTGCAGTCGAACCATCTCCTCTTCTTCCAATGGCCGGATCGCATAACAATGATCGTGTGCTTTCCCGTCCTGACTTCTGGGACTCGACTTGTTAGAACTCATGCGTACGACAGGTTCCACAAGGCCCATGGTTACAACCATTTCTTTCTTTGGAGCATGTCCAACGATTTCATTTTTAAGAGCTCTCAGATTGGCAATCTGCTCCGAGGGAGTTCTGGCATTTTGAATTGAGAGCGGCCATCTTTGTGTGGCCAAACTTCTAGCCATTTTGTATTATCAAACCAAGTTGCAGCAGATATTGTTTTGAAATGGGTAATCGATGATGGAAATGATTAATTAATGTAGGTAGCGACGTTTGATTTCTGACGGGTTAATATATCTTCGGCAGGTAAGGTCTGTTGATTCGTGATTTAGTTGTACGCAGATGGGGAATCTATGAATGACATGTATTTCAAATGGGTACATAGATAGGTATATACAAGAAAAGGCCGTCCTTAACAATGAAATTGATTGATGAAAAGAAAACAATGTAATCAGTGAAAATGAGGAGTTATATATTATCGAGTAGATACTTATATATATATACAATAGTTTAACATCATGAGTAGCAATAAGTCGAAGATATCGGATTGCCGTGTTTATGGATATACGAGTAGTTATCACCTCAAGCGTGGTCCAGACGACTTATAAGTAGACCCTCTTCACATGGATTTGATTTGAGGTATGGATATTTTCCTTTTACCATCTATCTGAATATAACGAACAACAAACAACAAACAACAAACAACAAACAACAAACAACAAACGAGATCAAATACCTGGATTGTTCCACTACGAGTCATACTTTTATAATTACATTTTATACATTAACCGGAAGCACAAATTGAGCAGAGTTTTTCGAGCAACGCTTTCTTTCACCTTAGGATCCTTCTTTGGCTGCCATCCATAACTTGTACTTATAGATAAGAAAAGACAAGACAAGACAAAACCTTAACCTTTCTAATACCCGTACACACCTACATACATACTTTCCTGCATCAGGATTATCAAAAAAAAAAAAGTATCGAATCGCAGCTATTCCATCCACCACGCCCTACAACGCCCCACCCTTCACTCTTACCCACCCACTCCACTCCGCCCATTCAGACAATAGTCGGAAGGCACTACTGATCATGATCCAGTTTGAAAAAGGAACATGTTGAAGTCGCCATCATTGAGCAGATCTCAAGCTTCCCCCACTCTCTACCACTATGCACCTACATCAACACGACCTTCACTGTCGCGCAGAACATCCGCTGCGAACAAACCTTCTCCCTCGCCACAACCACAACAGCAACCGATATCACAGTCGCAACCCAAGAAATGGATCTACGTTGATGCATTTACGCAGTGGAGCCCTATAATGCCCTCTAGGATGGCAGATGGAGTATCGCCGCCGGTGCAAGTGAAAACCGAGGATGTACCTCCAGAACCCATCATTGCGCCTGAGCAACCCAACGTCGAGGCTCTACAAGACATGAAGCCACCGATACAACTGGAGTCGCCGAGTATGAAGAGACGGCAATCGTCAGTTGACAGTGCGCATACTGTCAGTAAGAAGGTTTCCTCCCCGAAAAGAGTGAAACCTCAGACACCTGTGACGATTCTACCTGTGAAGTATGAGCTATGCGAGGTAGAGGATATGGTCGTGCTTATAGCTAGTATGATCGCAGAGCTGATTCAAAGGAACGACGTTCTACCTCTCCAGAGCGGGATATTAACACGCTTTCATTCTAGGTATGCATGGGTACATGTTTGTGTTTATATCCTTCTATACTAATGGCTTCTAGATCGCCTCCCGGGATCTCTGTTCTTGATTATCTGCAGCGACTTGCAAAACATGCCACTCTAACCCCCCCTCTCTTACTCTCCATGGTTTACTATATCGATCAACTTTGCGCATCATACCCCGCATTTACAGTCACAACCTTGACTGTCCATCGATTCTTGATTACGGCAGCGACGGTGGCCTCAAAAGGACTTTCGGACTCTTTCTGGAATAATTCGACGTACGCGAGGGTTGGCGGAGTCAAAGTGGCAGAGTTAGGATTACTTGAGCTTGAATTTCTACACCGAGTGGACTGGAAAATAGTTCCAAATCCCGAAATGTTGATTGATTATTACAAAGGATTGATTCAACGAAACGACCTTTACAAAATGGAAGGAGATTTTACAGATGAATCTGACGAACTAGACGATGATGATGAAGAAAGCGACGAACCTGATACCCCCGAGCAGACCGAGGTTGGAACTGATGCAGACATGAAGGACACGAATGAGCCAAATGTCCCAAATCAAAAGACAGAGTCTGGGCATGAAGAAACTTCATAGTCAGGAGGGCTTTAGTTGCATCTCTACGATTTTCTTAATACCCCCTTTTCTCTTTCGCCTCGATTCTTTGGTTTATGGCGTTGGGGAGGAGTATGCTTTACACGGCACTGACGCATAGATGAAGGTGCGCCTTGGCTTTGCCCATAAGGAAATGATGTATATATTCAAGTTGAAATGCAAACGATATTATTTGCCAAACAAAATACGTATAACAAACGGTTGTTCAACGTAAAACTAAGTAAAAATAAACAGCCATAGGCCAAAAGTAAGTAGCAAAATTAACTGTCAGCCTGGTAATTGAACTCATTAAACACGCTAAGTTTCTTATGTAATCACAGCCTTCCCCAGACCAGCTCCTCGAACCTCGAAGCTAAGCTCTTATCGACCCACCCAACCATCACTATGAAGCTCACCACCCTCCTCCTCGCCCTTAGCGCGCATGTTTTCTGCATCACTGCAACTGTAACCGAACAAATCGATACAGCAACAATCTACATCCAGCCGCTAACCTCCTCGTCCGCCTACCCCCTAGCCTCAATATCCTACAACCCCTCCACCCTCTCCGCCTCGCTCCTCTCCTACGAACCCCCCACCGATCTCCTCCCCTCCCCCCAAGACCCCTCCTCGTCCCCCAACGATAACCTCGCCCTCACCGGAATCTTCGACGAAAAAACCTCAACCTTCAAAAGCTCCACATCCCTACTCTCCCTTACCAATTTCGAAAAGGGATATCGGCCAACTATTCTCCTTACGATTGATGCACAAGGGGCTGTATTAGGAGTCACGATTAAGAGCGGGGTTATTGATGCTGGTGCCACGAGGGATTTTGCGCCAAAGGTGGAGGTGAGACGGGTGGTGAAGGGGGGAGCCCCGGTTTTGGGGCCGAATGTTGTGTTGAGTAAGGAGGGGAAGACGGAAGGAGAGGTGGTGGAGAAGTCGTTTTTGCAGAAGTGAGTTTTTGTGTTTTTAGGGGTGGAAATTAATTACGACTAGAATGAACAGGTGTGCTAATGATGTGAAACTACTAGGTATTGGTGGGTTCTTTTGGGAGCAGCGATGTTGACAATGACTGCTGGTGGGGGATCCGAATAATGTGACTACGAATTGGAGTTGGCGTTAGATTCATGTATGGGGGATGATTGATCGGGCGTTGAAGGAGTTCACTAGATGTTGTCTTGTCGGTGTTCTATGAAAAGACATACTAATCACACCTCTGTGGCCAGTTTCATAGTGAGACTGGTTTTAAACCGCTCGGATAAAGATCGATATCTCTCGCAACGATGTGGTGAATGTTGCAGAGGGGGCCCTCCACATTGCGAATGCAAAGAGGTTACTAAAAGGCCGAAGATGTTACCATGCAATAGACCACTAAGTAGCAACCTCATCGCTACGGTAGATCGTAGAGGGAATGCCAATACCCATGACTTCTTTTAGCTTTCCGGATAACGATCAGTGAGTCAGCGTATGTCGAAAACCGTGTTGTTAGACCAGCCAACTCTGAAGAGTATACGTATATATGAAAATTACAAAATGTATATTCCTATTGATCATTTCGAAGAGGAAATCAAGTGCTAATCAGAGAGTGGCCATATATCTAAGAACAAATCATCATCTCACAACATGCTCACTCCTTCATCAGCTCCCAAGCGGCAAATTTTTATAATAAATGATTTTTTACTAGCCCACCTTCCCATTACTAGTACTACTCCTATGTCTACTCGCCCCTTTCTTTCTCCCCCCATCTAAACTATATAGCCCACCCGCAAAAAACACCAAAAAGGCACCCACCAAGGTCCCTTGACTCAATCTATTTCCAAATAACCAAATACTCAATAACAAACTAACCAATTTCCTCACGTTCAACACAATCGTAACCGTCAGGGCCGAAGATGCCGCCGCAAGTAGATTAACACCGCGTATACATGCATATTGGGTAAGGACATTCATAGCGAGATATATAAGTTGGCTGGGTAAATATATATGAGGGAGTTTGGATAGGAGGTCGGAAGGGAGATTTTGGAGACTATCGAGGGTGGGGAGGCCGAGGGGGGCCGAGGAGGCGAGTTTGAGGAGTTGGCGGTGCATTGAGGGGATGAAGGGGGCGAAGAGGGGGAGCGCGAGGAGGTGCGAGTAGAAGAGGTTTTCTTTCCAATGGGGCCCGTATTCTTTGTATGTTTCTTCGGTGTAGAGACCCATGATTGCGGAGAGGACTTGGGCGATGAAGAGGATGACGAGGCCGGTGTTGAAGGAGGGGATGTCTTCATCTACTTTTCCGTTCTGGGTGCTACTTGTTAGTGCGAGCTGGAGAAACATAGAACGGTGATAGTACCTTAGATTGCGCATCAGACCAAGCGGCTGTCACCACACCAATTGTTAGTAGGGTGACAGCTATAACCTGTATTCTAGAAAATCGTTTTCCCCATATATACCCCCCAGCTAAAGTTGTGATGCTGCCTCCGGACCGTAAAATGATGTGCATTGGTACCGATATATTGTAGCTAAATGCATGATTGTTCAAAACATTGATTGTGAAGAATAAGACAATATTTATAATCCATCGACGTATAGGGACACGATTCGGCGTAAGGAAGAGCGGAGGTCTACTTTGATCGAATTGAGAGATGTAGCCAGTCACAGCTACAAAGAGGAATTGGACAAATGTCATAAGAGTTCCTTCAGAAAGTTAGAAATGGTATTCGACGAGGTTGCTGGTGAAGGGGCGTACCGCTGTCCGGCTCGACTCTGTTCATAAATGTCAGCGGGGTACTTGAAATGATATAATCTCAAAAGCGAGGGGGGGGTGAAAACTTACTTTACAATAGCTTCCAACGCGAAGACCTAAGAACATGATGAGCCCCTCGTTCCGCACAAACCCCATGACACGAAAAATTAACGACTCACATTTGAGCAACATCCTCCAAAGATCAATCCAAGCATAGCACCAACCGCCAACCATTGCGGAATCGTCTCGATAAAAATGCGCCCCGCCATTGCGAGCAATTTCGACGACCTAGGTCTTTTATCATTGATCCCATACATTTCGGCCTTTTCTAGCGACGGTGCAGCATTTATAACCTTGGGCGCTACGACATCTCCATCCGTATTCGAAGCTTGCAAATCCCGAAGCGTGGAACGACGTCTTTGGATGGTCATAGGGGCTTGCTGCTGGTTACTAGCAGAATCAGCTCTGCGTCGTCTCGCCATTCATTCATATAACGCCTTTTCTGACTAAAATAGTTCAGGGCGGGGGGGGGAAGAAGGGGGGCGATGTTCTGTTTCTGGGGGGAAGAGGGGAATTTCGCGTGTCTGGTTTGTTTCTAAGAATGGAAGCTTTTGAATCTCTGATGTTCCAGATTCTCAGGTACCGATGTGACTGGACACGATACGAAACTGATAGTGACTCAGTACTCGAGTAATATCAATATTCAAAAAAAGAAAAGAAAATAAAACAATTTTGAATAGGATGTTGGTAATCTGACACGTAGATTGTATTCGGCATATAAACATACCACACTACTGTTAATTTTTTGCTTTCAAAAATCCCCAGCTGCAACAAGGATAAACAGATTCAAGCTTCCAAAAAAAACTTTATGTACCGTTTATTTCGTCGATGCGAGAGCGAGCTGAGTGAGTCTTAGGGCATTTAAGCTAAGATGCAAAACACAAACCTCAAAATACATAGGTATAGTGCAGCAGTAGAGGACAACGTACAAGTACCTAGTAGTAAGAGGATTCATTGATATTAGCAAATCAGAATGACGGTGTGGGATGTTTGAAAAGTAAGGTTAATCATTCATCAATAGGGTTGCAGTAGCATGGTTCTCCTAGATTTTAGAGCAATTTGGCCCTGGTAAGTTGTATTCGAGTCCCTGTAACCCCCCTGAAAATTGGCGTTTGATTTGCTTCTCAGCGATTGCCGAAAGGCCCGGAAGTGGCTTAAATGTCGCGCATTTGTCAGTATGACTGTGGTTGAAGAATCGCCTTTATGCGGCTAAACATGAGTTCCCCAACGTTCTTATTCCACCAACTGTTGGATAGATGCGGCGGAGGAAATGGATAAGTGTCTATCTATGGAATATGCCATCAAAATATAATTTTTACTCGAGTACGGAATACGCGTATATCAAGGACCAATGGAGAGCATCAAATTAACAACTCAAAGTTGGTCAATTCAACCTTACTGCGGACACTAGACAGGTTGTACTTCGGGAAGGTCTAATGACACTTTTACTTTCATACGATGGAGGATCATTAAGGAGAAGAATCAGCCCACTATCATCTATGAGCTACAGCTAGTGCTATCATTTCACCCTCTTAGTGATGATTCGTCGAAAACTTCTCATATTCATTCATCAAGAACTCAATGGAGGATTTGTGGCCAATTAATACAGAAAAGTCTTCTCGTGTCAAAGCCTAGGCATTTCTTCTCTGGCTGTGAATATTCAAGCGATATCTAGCAGCTTGTATGAAGGGTAATTTCGCTCGAAAAATGCTCATGATTATCCACAAGACAAGGCACCCGCTTTAATCTCTATATCTCTAATTCCAAAACTATCTATACCAAGGAGATCTTTTACATCATTTATCTCAAAAACAACCGAAACAATATGAAGGAAAACCCCACACCTCCCCTTACCATTCAAGCGAAAGAAGAAAATTCCAAGGATACAACCCATCCAGCTTTGAAGAAACGCGCTACGAATACATCATTATCATTACACAACCGCGACCAGTCAAAGCTGGCCTTTGCCACCATCAATAGTATAATCCTTCCACATCATAACTCCAGCACCACTATTACTATCGCCCTTGATCCTCAAGGCAATGATCTGTTTCCGTGCTAGCCAGTCTTCTCTGGACTCAAAACTTCCTCTTCGCAGTAGATATGTACCGTCACCGTCCTCTTGTATATCTTTAACACCTTTCAATAGAGCACCATGCTCGTCGATTGAAGATGTTCGAGGACCATCTGTGGAGTGAGAGTGGTGAGAGAAAGGATTGGAATGGATGTGGAAAAGCTTGGGGGATTTTGTGGAAGAATTAGAGGAGGATTGTGAAGTAGAAGTCGAAGTGGAAGTGGAAGCGGAAGATGCAATAGGTTGGTGAGATGATGCGTTACCCATCTTTCATTCGTTTATGGTGTGGCTTCAAGTAGCTGTGGGTGGAAGTGAGTCCTAAATCAGTGCGAGAGAAGAGGATAGTCGTACAATAGATGGGCAGAACACAACAAGTGTGCACAGTCCCTACGTTCACGGCCTCAATATAGCATTCTCAAGAGGCCAAATTGTTCCCCCCTTCTTCCAACATTCGGATTGATCGTTGGCGATTAAGTATTCCAATAGCGTCAAGAACCTCAATATTGGTCTTCAGCCTTATAACCTGCGGTCGGCAATACGATAAAACAAACATTCATTTTATGTCAGTGATTACTGTGTGAGTTGGTCTGCAGGCGCGCGACTACACGCCACTACATCTCGGGGACTGTAGGAAGAGGGCTAGGTCAACACGCACGCCTCATTTCCTAGGGTAGTGCAATAGATTTATCGGTATAGCAGTCTATTATACAATTTCTCAAATGAGTTGAATCTCTCAAATATATATATATATTCTTTCAAAAAGTCCAATCTTTTGATCGCGTTGAATAGTTCAGATAGATCCAACCTCTCAAAATAATTACGCCTCTCAATCTAATGGAAAGACCAATCATTTAAATAGTACTCAACATTCAACATTGGAAAATTTCGAGAATACTTGTGTCCTCAAAACGCCGGATAGATTGCTATGTATCGAGTTAAGCAGCATCAACACTGCGTGGTCTATAACCTGTGACTAAAACTCAGATTCCGTCTTGCTACAGGATCTCATTTTTTCTTTCAAACACGCTGCTTAGATATCTCTCCTTAAAATATGTTGTTCTATCCCCGTTTCGTTCAAAGTCGCCCCTGTCTAAATCTCTCCCCTAAAATTTCGGCTAAAATGATAACGTTCGTACTCGTAATAATTTACCTCTTTCCTACGGTCAAGAGCCAATAACGAAGAAAACGAAGAATATGCTTTCTCAATTGCATCTTCAACCAAGCAATCTTTAGCATCAGCAAATCGGTAAATCTTATATATTTCTTAAACCTGTATGCACACGCAACGCCAAGAACAAATAACAATAAGTGGAATGAATGTACAAATTTTCCCAGTACTACTCAAATCAGAATCTATTACCCCGAAAGCCACAGCTCCCCGAATGCTTTCTCCAATCTACAAATTGGAGGTGTAGTCGAGATCCAATAGGATTCCGGGAAAAAACTAGGATGCGCTGAGTAGTGTGTCGCAAACAGATATCCAGTATCATGAAACCAATCCCCAAAAATAAATATATTTCCTCTCCTCTTCTGTGGCATCAAAAAGTTCTTCATTGCAAGACTAATCCACTCCAAACTAAGACATTCATCTCCGATGATTATTATTGTCCAATTGACTTTGTGCTGGAGCTCTATGGCTCTGCTGCTGGGCATGAACTCGCTGCGCAGGTTCACCATTATGGGATCTAGAATCCCTAGGAGATTGTCGATCTCCAGATTGTGGAGAATTATTGCCAGTGGATCGTGACCGGCCTCGATAATTCAGATCTGATGGCACCGGGGACCGGTTATGTTGATCTTTGTGTCGCTTTTCCACTTCTTTTACTTCAGAGGGCTGGATCTTCTTCACGGGGGCGATGTGATCTCCTTTGCTGCAACCGTCGAAGCAACACATGGTTATGGATCTGAGTTGGGGGTTATTAGGGTGGGAGTTTGAGAGAAGTTGAAAGTAGATATTAAACCCACACAATTAAAGGATGTAAGGTTGGAATTCGATAAACAACGTATAGAAGAAAAGTATATCGATACCCAGAAGGTATGAAGACGTGACCGTTCCTCTATATATGCGACAACAAGAAGGATCCGTGTTATCTGACCTCACCCCCTCACCGTATCAAATTTCCTCCACTTAATTCACATTTTCGATACGTGAATTGCTCTCCTGCAAACACAAGACATCAATATGCTACTTTCCTTCCCCACAACCAACTTTTCATTAATCCCATCCTAGTCATCGTACCCGAATACCCCAGCAAACCCAACAACCCCAGACTATCCTTTAGCGCCACAGGTAAGCTCAGCGTATGCGGTCTATAGACCATATATGTTTCAAACCTTGTTTTATAATCATAAGCGCGGCCACGATAAACTTACTGACAACCGCAACTGTCGCGTCTCGGATTTCAACGTCTTCCCACAATTTTGTCAACATCCATCCACACAGCGAAATTGGATTTTCTAGACTCGTGCGATATCATGAATGATAATATTCACGGGGGAGTCAATAAATCTATAGGATAATAACGGGATGGCTTCCAATAATACCGTACCCTGAAGGATTTAGAGTCCAGCCCCGTGGTTCGATATCCAAACATGCTAATTGGGCGGTTATCTGCAACCTTAATCTTCGCGGCTAAATTTATTGTCGCCCTTCATAACACCGTCATATGTTTGACTGCCGGACCAAGCTTAACATATCTATCCCCATCCTACATCTACACATAGGCATACAATACAGTAAACAACATAAAAAGTTGAGATTACAAGGCCGGATCTCGACAAGAGAGACGCTTCATACCACACATTTGCAGCATATCTAAGAGAAAACGATATAGACCCAAAAGCACACTTAATATTGTCCGCTCGCCTCATCTTTAAAATTCAAATTAAACAATCTCAACACATCCAATAAACAAAGTCCAGGTGGCTCAGTGGTAGCGCACTGGGTTTTCACATCCTCTCAAACAGGACCGCTGCTTAACATCCGAAGACTTTGGGTATTGAAGATCCAGTTCGTCTGGTTTGAAATGAATCTTGATCGCTACATTTCGGATTCAATTTTTTGGAGTTTTTTTCTTTAAGTTTGAATGAAGGTGCTCTCTTTTTGAAGGAGCTCTTTCGGCAGCTCTAGCCTATCAGCTCACTTTCACAATTGTCGCGGCAACGGACTTCTCCACATCTGGCTGGTCTCTTGTTGCCATATGCGATTCTACTTTTGACTGGATAAACAATGATGAGATGTGCAATTAAACTCCAAATGTACCCAGCCGAGTTATTCTACTATGACCCCCCCCCCATCCAAAAGGATGTAATTTCTCATATGAGACATGCAACAAAAGCATATTTCAGCACTTTCGATCCATCAGCTTGAGCCACTCTACACACTGTCCTTAGGATATGCAACCTGTCACGCAGTTCACTTCCACATATATTTGGTGCTAGTCTTTGAAAACGTGGCAGCGATACATTCGAAAGCAACAACAATGAAAGAGAGTGGGGAGGGGACGTCTGTTTGTGGGAATATTCTGAGATTTGTTGAGATTATGATTAACAAGTCTACATAGATCCTTACGGCCACTTGGTATTGCATTTTATGTGGATTGATCTCCGCCTCGTTGGACACCCGGATTTATTAAACAGCATCTCTACAAGTTGACAAGTACCACTCGGCACTACAGGTTAGTGACTATAGGGACTCTTTCTATAAATACTTAGACAAACACTCTATAAGAAACTCTAGTAAAGGGGTGCTCTCTTTGGTTTGCTCCCTACATTATTCCAAGCGCAGCTTTTAAACTTGAGATCCGATGATTTCGAGAACTTGGATTATTATGCCAGGATCTCAAGAGATAAAAGACTGAGTAATTCTTATACAGCCTTCACATACACCTAGTCCATCTTCTCTAAATTCTCATTTTGCCTGGATCGAGTGTAGACATCGTAATCTCATATATTGATGGCCTCTCATCACTTCACTCGGTTACCAAGTATTAACAAGGTCTCCCCAACTCCAACCACCACACTTATCTGATAACCTCTATTCCACCACTTGAAGCACTCCCCTCGTTCTTCTTGCCCCCAGATCCAGCCAACCAAGCCGCCGCATCGAAATTCTGCAATGGATTTGCGCCACTAGCGCCACCTGTAAGTCCACCACCACTCTTCTGTCGCTCCTCGAATTCGGCTTTGAGTTCTGGGTCCACTGTAAAGAAGTAACGTTAGCATGGAAACAATCTGATCAAATAGAGAACGAGTTGAGGCCGTAGATTTGCAGATCTGCCTAACGGGGAATTAAGGCATATATATACGTACTATTGTCCATGAGATAAGGCATTCCAAACACAATAACCATACTGAACCCAGCAATCAAAATCATTGGATTCTTCAGTAAACTCAACGGCGAAAAGCCTACGCGCTCAAGGTAATAATTCTTTTCGACGAGAACCCTAACCTCCGCAGTATATTTGTCATTTCCAAGCTTAGAAACCGGAATATTTTCTCCCTTATTACTCCATTCGTTGGCGCGGAAAGTAGTGAAAGCTTCGATAGGAATGAGATTTGACTCCGAGGAAGCAGGATGAGTGTCGATTCGAAGAGGGATAAAAGCGTGAGTTGGGGAGGAAATGGTGAGGAGATAAGATCCACTTGTTAGGTTGCGGAATGAAAAGGAGTTGGAGGGAGTGAGAGGCGCGGTGTGCGTGTGGGAGAGGGTGCTGAGAGTTGCGTGGGTGGAGGGTGGGAGAGTTGATGGATTGAATTGGGGAGTCGTCGGGATTGTGAGAAGGAGATGGGTTGCGAGAGTTGAGGGGAGAAGGAATAGAAGCGAAAGCGCGGAGATGGTTGGGAGACGCATTTTGACGTGATTTGAAGGAAGGTGTTTGGAATTGAGAGCTAGCTGTCGAGTTGATGATGTTGATGTTAACGAAGCTTGATGCTTGAGCCGGAGAAAAGAAAGGCCGATCCATTTCTTATCTACATATACAAATTGGGTAATTCGAAAACTCTTTTGATTACAGCATGCTCGTACTCGAGTAGACATCTATTATACGAGTAGATGCACTCATGCTGTTCATTGTATATCTCCATGAGGACATCCTTGAGGGTTGAGTAACCCCTGGCCCGAATATAACTTCTCTTTAGCAAGTGCCTACCTACGGTAGTTAGAAGTCAATAGGAGATATGCCTAAGCAGTCACAGATCTGATCTTTTGATTTGTGGATGTTTCTTTTCGGTGTCTTCTGGTGGAAAGTAAGGGGAATGCCATTTATTGAAAGTATGTGAAAGCTTGATTCCTAGGTCACGTAACTTCTTTGCAAGTGCAAAACATAAATCATCAAATCTACCTGCATGTTACTTTCTCGGTTGTGGATTGAATTTATACATTATAAGGACAATTACCAGTCTGGTCATGTTAGAATCTAAGCTTGAGTAGCAATCAAGAAAGCAGAATCCAGATTTACAGACCAAGTTGTAGTTTTTTCAACTGTTGTGGGCAGACACTTTGGTTCTACACTTTTCTTTGCAACGCTGTTAGTTGAGTCCAAACACCGGAAGAAAGAAGGAAAAGTACGAATATAGTATGGTTTATTTCATAGATCTTAGTTTTCATAGGTTTTTACATGCGTCGATACAGCCCAAAACATACATAGTTCCAGTAACTCCAGTAACTCCAATAGTGCAAAGTAATCTCAATCTCAATTCCAAAGTTCCTTATTTCACCAATATCTCTAAGAAGCCCGAAGACCTCATAGACTCCAATAACATCCCGGAAACCTCAATGACCCAGTAAGTAGCGGACACCCATAATCGTGGCAAAATATTCAAGATGCATTGATCTATGGCTTTTTCGATTTCTGATAAACGGCCTCTGCTGTTTTTCCTTCCACGGTATCGGGATGAATCGTTCTCAAATGCCTTCGGTGCACATCCGAACGTGAGAATGTAATTTCTGTACTCGAGCACTTCCCAATTGCACACTTAATTGGAGGCTTGCCCGCATGGTTGCCGTCGAAATGTCGCTCATACTCGTATTTGCGAGTCCAGGGACCCGCCTTATCACACTCTTTGCAAATGAATTTCCCGTCTCTGTTTGTTTCGTATACGTAAGCTTTGCTATTAGTTGCGTTGGCAGGTCTGTTTGATGACTGTGTGTGTCCTCCAGTGCCGCTGTTGCTTCCCCCATCTTTTGGTTGTGTTCCGGCAATATTTGTGCTTGTGCTAACGGCGCTTCTTTTTGATGGGTGATTCAGTTGTGAAGGAACACTGTGCTCGCGCTTTCGTGGTAAGACTTGATCCGTAGGAGCATTTCGGCCTTCCACGCTACTTGTATGTTTTTTGGGTTCATTGACAGTGCTCTTTCGAGTCGGGCTGCGTCTGCGCTCACCACTGGGCACTGGCTTGCTGGGTACAGACTTGCTGGGCCCAGGCTTGCTGGAGCTGGGTACTTGAGACTTTTCTTCACGAGGTCTGGACCTTCCGCCATCACCACGTTCTGAAGTCTTTGTATCTTGCAATGATAACTTTTCAAAATCCAGCGGCTTATTGAGAGCATATTGTTGCTTCTTCCTTAATATAGCTCTTGCGGCGTCTCTGTCATCATAATCTGCATATTGAAATCTACCAGCGCCTGATTTGCAATGCAAATCCTCGTACGTCCATTCTGCCTCTCCTTTTAGTATAGCTTGTGCGACGAGTTTGTCTTCATAATCTTTTTTATCACCAGATTTGGTGGCCTTTGCTTTGCGTTGCAAATCAGCGTCTGTCCATGTTGCCCATGTTTTCCATGCTGAGGAATCAGACATGTTGAATCTTGCGGTGCGGACTGATTGTTGAAAAGTTGGTGTACTAAAATGAATATGTACAATCGTAGACTTTGATCAGGAAAAAAAGTTATCTATTGTAAGAGAATATGATAGGAATCGAGAGAAGATGTAATGCTGTGTAGTATGAAGTAAAAAGCCATGGTCAGAAAGGGAGCTTAAGTACATTTCCGAGGACAATTCTTGACAATTTTTATGTCAAAATTTATTCACAATGTTGGCGGTATATAAATAGCTCTAATGGCTATGGAGTCAAATGGTCTTCATTCAGCGGACGAGCGATCAGAACAGTACCTGCAAACCATAAAGTTGTACATTAAACACAATTTTGACAGACATCAATAACTTCAATGGCCACGCCATATGTCTGTATGTCGGGCTCGTGGCCAGCATTGATGCAGGCCTATATATCGCTCATCAACACCACCTTAACCGTCATATTATCAGTAATCAAGTATTTGAATTCCAAGTAGACTTCATATAATACTCTCCCCAATACAATGATGTTCATGGCAAAGTAATATAATAACAGCTATCGATCGCATCGCATCTGATTCTATCCACAGCACTCATAATTCCACACCAATTTATTAAATTGAGAATATCCGACCAAATCCAACTCTTTACGTGATAATAATGAAGATTGCGGTCGAACCCCAAAAGAGCGGCTATGATCAAAACCATAAAGATGATCACTATCATTTGTCATTCCCTCTGAACCCATGACCCTGGCCATCAAATCAACCTCCTTTGCAGTATCTTAACACAAATATGCGAATGAATCTGGATATTTTACGTAGGTAGTATAAGTTTCGTTTGAGTAGTGTGGATTGGCCCCCTGGAGGCCGCATCGTAAAGATTGACCATATCGCGTAAGTAAGTTGTGGACGTTCGGATAGAAAATTTAGATTATATATAGAACAGTTTTCCCTGCAACAACGTGCGAGCTTGGACTCAAAAACTACAAATTTCTCATGTCGGATTGGAGTCTAGACTATTTTAAATATGCTTGCGCTTAGAGAACAACTTACCTTCAATTGACGCCTGTGCTGCAACAGACAAGTCATACGCAAAACCTAGACGTGGTAACAATTGCAAAAAGATAACAAGTCACAGACATCAATTAATGTTGGACTCACGATTAGAAATTTTAATATTATTTATTTCGCGTTCCGTATGTGTAAAAGCTACGAAGAGCAGCAAACACCCAGTCCATGCTGATGTGTATTCCACCTTACTCCTTGATAATCCCCCCCCAATCATTTTCCTGTCACGGACCCCTATTTCCATAACCACAAAACGGTGCTGTGCCAAAGAGAATAGTCATCAAGACATCTCATCATACACCATTGCCATCACATCATCGATACACCCTCCAACGTAGCTCTAATCTTTCGTTCACCATGTAGCTACTTACACTGGGTTGGTAGTCTCCTTCATGGCCATATTTGGCTGCGGGTAAAGTTTTGGCAGTCCTCCCTTGAACATCTCCATTGCGAGGATGGCACTGCTTCCCATCCAAAGTAACCAGCTGAAAGCGCCAAAGACTGCATCAGCGCGAGCTGCTGAACAAACAGAGCCACGGCAGAAGAGAAGCTTGCTAATGAAGACGGAGATTGCGATGAAGCCTGCGAAGTAGAAAAGAACATTAAGAAGCTCGAGGGAGAGATGAGCGTATGGGTGGGATGCTTGTAAGTGTTAGAAACCCACATTCATGTCGAATTCTAGAAGAGTGAGGAGGTACCTTTTGACATGAAGCGGGGTGCAACTTCAAGATAGAGAATGGAAATCAAAGTGAAGACTGGTACGAAGACCAAGAAGTTGATTTGCGAAGGAGATGCGGTCAAGGTATCGGCATTGTACCAGTGGGAAACTATGTGGCATGTCAGTGGCTATCCCGTGCTATTCCAGTGATTAATATTATCCATACCATATCCAGACAAGCCAAGTACGACAACAGCGAAAACTGCTTGAGCAATTCGAATAGGGAGAAGCAATCCAATCGCCATTTTAAAATTAGGATAGTTATTTGAAAATTTGAGTTTTCGTGAAATTAATCGTGTCTGTTCTTTCCAAATAGTCGTGTAAAAAGCAGCTGCAACTTGTGCGCGCGTGAAATGAGTGATCTGAAGAAAATGTGTACAAATGGAGAAAGGAGACAGGTGGAGAAGAATTGAGAGAAGAAGAAATGCGGAAGATTCGTAGACTGATGTTATAATTACAGAAGAAATAAGTAGATGAAGTCTGAAGGCCGAAGGGTTTCTATTACAGCCAAAGTCGGAAAAATGCATAATCTATGTATCATCTTTGAAACGAAATAGCACAGATCATGATGGGCCTTCAATTCCTTGTCAGACAAGGATCGACAGCATTACATTGAAGACACAGGGCTCTGTAGCCAATGGTAACTGTTAACGATGGCGTCCCCCCGCCACTGGTTGAGGACATCTATTGTTGGAGTCGGCATAATAACCAATAAGAACATGCCCTGACCTACAATCACCAAATGAGTTTCTGCCGTAGACGCGCACTAAGTTGTATAACCTCAAAGCCCACTGATCCCCAAATATCCACCTCTAAGAAATGATTTGAGCCTGTAGATTGAAGTGCCAAAGGAATGAATATCGTCACGACCTTTGATAATAATAGCGACGAGTTGAAACATCGAATACCGTACGCTTTGTCGAGAAGTCGAGAACTACCCGCTCGGACATCCAGCCAGTTCTATTTCTCTCCAAGATGAAACACCGGCTACGACACAGATACCAACTCAACCGCAAAGCTTCAAAAGGAATATACTCATCTCGGCCTACAAGTAGGTCTTGGTGCCACCTCCCAAGAACTTCCAAGAGTGTCAGTGTTCTGATGCCAAGTAAAAATCACCAGATTGAAGTTCCTTATTGCTGTGGATGAGACTTTTGTGAGCCACGATATATGAAGTGTTTGGACACGTATACTTCATCAATGCTATTTGAGTGCCGTATCCAACTACTCGTAGGAGACTAGTAGTACCAATATTGAAGAAAATTACGAGGATCAAGGCGCAATGGTGCACACTGTACACTGTACGCTGCACACAGCATAAGAAGACAAAGCTGTGAGTTATAAAGCTGTGGGTTGTAGACTAATGGCATTTTGAGTGGTCGATCTGACCCGTAAAGCAGTATGAAGAGAAGTTGTGTCAACCAAGTTACATTTGGTGTTGGGGCCAATAAATTTGAGGAGGGTCAAAGCCCAGGGCTGATAAGGTCCCGCGCGGCAAATAATCTATCGGATGAGTAAGCAATCCTCAAAATATCAAGACGGCGTCGAAGAGACGAAATAATGAAGCCATTCAGACCAACTAACTATCTATAAACTATTGTCTAATTTTCAATGGATACCCAACAACCAATTGCAAATAGAATGGCGTGCTTCAGCCAATGTATAATGTAATGTATCGGTATTGTACTCGAGTATTACCCCACTATGCTCATCTAAGGTTCGTACCAATCAATAGAAGGTATTCATTTGTCTAACAGATGGGGAATGGGGGAACAAAGATCTCTATCCTTTGATTTAGAAAGCTTCCCAATGCCTTTCATTATATTTTGTGGAGTCTAAACCTCAATAACATCAATATCATATCAACACTTTCGAGAATTGAAGCATAATCAGTCAATATGGCACCTGTTGAAAGCACTCATTTCGAGACTCTGCAGCTTCATGCTGGGTTCGTGCTGTGCCACTTCCCCGCACGCTCAAGATGTGGCTGACAATAATCTGTTGACTACTACAGACACGAACCAGATCCTGCAACAAATGCAAGAGCTGTACCAATCTATGCTACTACAGTCAGTTTGTTCCTATCAAATGTATATATGATTCGAAAAACTAAAATTATTATGTACAGAGCTTCACGTTCAATGACTCTGCTCATGGAGCTAGGTTGTTTGGCCTCCAGGAGTTCGGGAATATCTACAGTCGTATTATGAACGTATGTACTGCCAAAGCTTAATTCTATCCCAACGTCGAAGAGAAGCCGTTGAGATTTGGCATCTGATTCTTTGAGGATTGGCAACGTCTTCAACTTAAGTTGACATCTCAATTTTCGAGGCTGGCATTTCCGCACTCAGAATTGGCATCTCACTTTCCAGTTCCAAACTTCACTGCCAACTACAACACCAAGATCTTAGCTGACTTGGGCTACAGCCAACTGTCGATGTTTTCGAAAAGCGGATTGCAGCTCTTGAGGGTGGACGAGGCGCTGTAGCATCTTCCTCTGGCCAAGCAGCTCAATTTAGTATGTTCCCCGATCTATTATTCTCCTACCTTTTACCCACCTCGTCTCACTAAGATCACAACTCATTACATGACCCCTATAGTCTCATATAACAAGCGAACATATACTAATAATGACTTCAAGTGACCTTTGCCGCACTGGCGCATGCCGGAGACAATATCGTATCCACAACGAACCTTTATGGAGGAACATACAATCAATTAAAAGTCTTTCTTCCAAGGTTGGGCATAAACACCAAATTCGTCCAGGGAGATAAAGCAGAAGACTTTGAGAAGGCTATTGACGAAAAGACAAAAGCTGTGTTTATTGAGAGTATTGGAAACCCAAAATACAACGTCCCGGACTTCGAGGCTATTGCCAAAGTTGCACATGGTCAGTGGTTTGCGGCTGCGCATACTATATTTTGGGACGATCCCGGTCTTGCTATTTTAAGAGTCTTGTTTTGTTTACAAAGAGTGCTAATTTTTATATCTAGACCATGGAGTTCCTCTAGTCGTTGATAATACATTCGGAGCGGGAGGCTTTTTCTGCCGCCCTATCGATCACGGAGCTGATATCGTTGTGCATTCGGCGACTAAATGGATTGGCGGTAATTATATATATCACATTCACGTTTGATGAATCTCCTAATTTGATTCGAAATAGGACACGGAACCACAATCGGCGGCGTAGTTGTTGACTCTGGGAATTTTGACTGGGGTAAAAATGGCAAGCGATTTCCAGAAATGGTCGAGCCATCAGAAGGCTATCACGGGTTGAAATTTTGGGATACGTTTGGACCTGATACTTTCATCACTCGTGTACGAGTCGAGATCCTTCGAGACTTGGGAAGTTCATTGAATCCATTTGGAGCATTCCAATTGATCCAAGGTCTTGAAACTTTGAGCTTGAGAGGAGAGCGACATGCTCAGAATTCAATGGCATTGGCAAAGTGGCTTGAGAAGAACCCTCACGTTTCATGGGTTTCATATCCAGGACTTCAGAACCATCCATCCCACGAACTAGCTAAAAAATACTTGCCCCGTGGATTTGGTGGTGTTCTGAGCTTCGGGGTTAAAGGTGGAGGAGCTGCTGGAAGTCAGGTGGTTGACGGCTTCAAACTGATTTCCAACTTGGCCAATGTCGGAGACTTAAAAACTCTAGCTATTCACCCATGGTCTACAACCCACTTACAACTCTCCGAAGATGAGAGATTAGCCTCTGGTGTCACTGAGGTAAGATTTTCTTTACATTGATGCCGTGCATTTGACTAATGTTTGGTTCTATAGGATCTTATCAGAATCTCGGTCGGCACGGAACATATTGATGATATTACCAAGGACTTTGAGCAGTCATTTGAATCAGCTGCTGCGGTAAAGACGACTGGTGGTAACGAGTTAAACGCCGAGAAGACTGGTGATGCTGGTGGCGATGCCAAATTGGTTGTTTAAAATGATCCCCCATTTCTCAACTTATTCTGGAAACCTTCTTCAAGTAGGTAGAGGTGATGTTCGTGTATTAGAGTTTTGACGGGGCATCACGCAGAATCCTGGCATATACATTGCATTGCAAAGTGCCTTTTTTAAAATAATAATACTGAGTATACAAGTACTTGAATATTCGTTCTATTGTTCGAACTCAATTCAAATAATTCTTAATTGTTGACCGTGACATCGGATATAGATGCCCCATTTACCGAACACATGGCCTACCAATTTCCCCAATCGGGCATTTTGGTGAATTCTAATTATACATTTCAAGGTTTCCTTTCCTTTCCCCTATCAAAAATGGGATATCCGGTATGCCGGTCATTTTCAATTCTTCGCGAATTGTGATTGCGATTTACAAAGCTTCTCCACATTCTGAAGTTATGCTCAGATGCCGAGGTAAATGAAAATGCGACCATCGAGGCTTCAGGGAAAGCCGCTCCCATCCCTTCACATGTACTCCCTACCATTTGAGAGAAACTGAATCTGTAAACAATCTCCATCTATTTTGGAAGTTAACCTGTTATTTCTTTCATAGATCTTCATTGCAACATAGGCTTTAGATACTTAATCTAGATTAATCTTTTACCATCTATTTCATACATTCCAAGGTTCGTAAACTCGCATCGCCAATTCTCAAATCTCAACTTCCCAACTTTAGCTCAACGTTGAGTACTGATCTAGTTCCTCTAGGACTCTAGATAGATATCATGGCACCGATGGTACAGGACCCCGATACTTATGTGCAGATCGTTCGAGCATCTCCTCCTCCAGGCTCACCATACTCCCTTGCGATACCCGGCAGTGCGCGCGAAGGTCGCAGTGGTGTTTACAGGCATTATCAATTTGTGGACAAGCCATTACTACAAACAATCGATCAGGAATGCTTGACCAGTCATGATTTCTTTGAGAAAACCGTGAGAAAGAGGCCAAGTGCGAGATGTTTGGGCCACAGACCTTGGGATCCAGTTACAAAGACTTATGGCAACTATCAATGGATAACATATGCGGAAACGGCGGAGCGCAGGAAGAATTTCGGTGTGGGATTGGTAGAGCTTCATAAGAGGGCGGGAATCACAGATGACAAGTATGGTGTGGGTCTTTGGTGTCAAAATCGTCCGGAATGGCAAATTGTTGGTAAGAGATCTAGAGCTAGAGCTACATGCATTGCAGGGTGTGAGGCTGACATGAGTTACAGATCTGGGAGCCATGTCACAATCCATATTTACGGTTTCCATCTACGATACTCTTGGGCCAGATACCACGGAATACATTGTCAACCATGCGACGCTCGGTTGTGTGTGCACGAGTTTACAACATATTCCTACGTTGTTGAAGTTGGCGCCCAAAATACCTACATTGAAGCTTATCATTTGTCTTGATCCTTTGGATGAAGGGGAGAGGCCTGGAACCTCGAAAGGTGCAATCTTGAATGCTCTTGCGGCCGAAGCTGGAATCGCTATTCATTATATTGGCGATGTTGAGGCTATTGGAGCCGCGTCTCCAAACTCTCCGATGAACCCACCTCGACCGGATGATATCGTCACTATCAACTATACCTCTGGAACGACTGGTAATCCGAAGGGGGTGGTTCTTACCCACGCAAACGCCGTTGCAGCAACTTCCATATCAAGAATTGTCTCTGATCCATGGCCCAACGATGTTCTTTGTTCTTACCTCCCATTAGCACACATCTACCAACGGCTTGCCGAACATGGCTGTCTTGCGGTGGGATCTGCCATTGGATATTTCCGTGGTGATATTGTCGGACTTGTGGACGACTTGAAGCTTCTCCGCCCAACGAGTTTCAACTCTGTTCCTCGCCTCTACAATCGATTCGGATCCGCCATTAGAGCCGCAACTATCGATGCTCCAGGTGTTAAGGGCACAATCGGTCGTCACATCATCAATACCAAGCTCGCATCGATGAAACTCCCACCAGGACAAGCTACAAACAAACATGCACTCTATGATCGTATCTGGACTCCTAAACTAGCCAGCGCTTTTGGTCTACAAAGAGCTCGTGGTATGGTCAGTGGAAGTGCTCCAATTGATCCAGGACTTCATCAATTTCTCCGTGCTGCATTCGGCGCCAGATTCATCCAAGGTTATGGTCTTACAGAAACCTATGCACATGGTCTTGTACAATATGATGATGATTACTCAACTGGCAATTGCGGAGGAGTAAGCGCTTCCAGTAAGTTCCCCCTCAACTTCTCCAGTCCCCTCACCCCCATAACAAACTAATCATACCCTCTCCTCACAGTGGAAGTCTGCCTCGAATCCGTCCCTGACATGGAATACCTCGCCACCGACAGCCCCAACCCTCGCGGCGAAATTCTCCTTCGAGGTACAGGTCGTTTCCGCGAATATTACCGCGACGAAGTTGAAACCTCCAAAGCTCTCGACGCAGACGGCTGGTTCCATACCGGAGATATCGGCGAAGTCGACAGCATGGGCCGCTTCAAAATCATCGATCGTCGCAAGAACGTGCTCAAACTCGCTCAGGGTGAATACATCTCCCCCGAACGCATTGAAAATGTGTATCTCGCCAATTGTTCTCTCCTCGCTCAAGGCTATGTGCACGGTGATTCTACACAGGCATTTCTAGTTGCCATATTTGGAGTTGATCCCGTCACTTTTGCGCCATGGGCTAGCAAGATTCTAGGAAGAGAAATCAAGAGTGATGACATAGAGGGCATAAAAGAAGCAGGAAAGGACAAGAGGGTGCGCATGCAGCTTGTAAAGGTGCTGGATGGCGTGGGGAGGAAGAGTAAGTTTAATAATTATGAAAAGGTGAAGAATGTCCATTTGGATGTGGAGCCATTTACGATTGATAATGAACTTTTAACTCCGACGTAAGTTCTTCTTCTTCTTCTCCTTCTCCTTCTCCTTCTCCTTCTCCTTCTCCTTCTCCTTCTCCTTCTCCTTCTCCTTCTCCTTCTCCTTCTCCTTCTCCTTCTCCTTCTCCTTCTCCTTCTTCTCCTTCTTCTCCTTCTTCTACGATTAGGATATATAAGGAAAAACTAATGACATGTATTATGCAACCAGACTCAAACTCAAACGTCCCCAAACGGCAAAGAAATTTAGAGCACATATCGATCGGATGTACGAGGAAGCTTTGGCTGATGAATCGCCAAGGGCGAAATTGTAGACAGACGCGTTCGTTTGTATTTGTGGTGAGCGAGAGCGAGAGCCTACTGGGAGTTAAGAGTGAGAGTGAGCAAAGCAAGTTGCATCTGCATCTGCAGCGTAATTATCTCGGGTGTGAAAATCGAATCGATGGGAAATTTGGTGGGAATTTTGTATATGATCTTGATCTCGTTCTCGTTGTCGTTAACATAAACATAAACATCAATATCAACATCAGTATCAGTATCTAACATAATTTTTTAATTTTTTAATATCCTTGTGGTTCGTCATATTATGATCTTACATGATATGATATGATATAATATGGAGTTAGTTTAGTTATAAGATTAGTAAGTAGTCTGGTCCCTGTTTTATTTGTATTTTTATTTTTATCTGAGATGGATGAGATGTTATGTTATTTATTCATACATATATACATATATAAATTCATTCATTCATTCAATCATTCAATCATACATTCATGATCTCATACATTCCTGATTTTCATTTGTACTATGCTGTACTATGCTGTGCTGTGCTGTGCTACCCGGTATTTTGAATGTATGATGTAGATGTAAATTGTAAATACAGTCAGTATAATTGTATATTTGTCGGATTATGGTATATATATGGTGATGCAGAAGCGAATGTGGAGTATACCGTACGTATATCATCACTCTTGTTTTTTTGCCGGTCAGTTACTGTTGACTCTTGAGACGATTAGAGGCTGAGGTCGAGGTCGAGGCTGTTCACCTTCTCAATATTGGGTACACCTAGGAATGAGCTAGCTAGACTCGAAGTTGATGTTTTATACAAATGAAAGAGTGGATTCACACCCAAGTTCAAAGGCCTTTTCGGTGCTCTTTTAGCTTTATATATATGCCATTATCAGTACGAAATACATGATTCGATTTCACTCAAACATCACACACTAGTCACAGGCAAGAAAGATACAAGAGATTTTATCTTTAATTATTAAGACTTATAGACTCTAGGCTGACGCTGTTCGCCATCTAAATGAAATGACTAAAACGCTCATATCTGCTTCAATTTTCTCTTGTGCCAAAAGTTACCGCAATTGCTCCCATTCGAGAACGACGACGAAATTTCCCAGAAAGTAGCAATTGGACTGTTAGCGCGAAAATAGCAAGCAGTCTTGATACCTATGAGCCCGTCTGAAAGTTTATACACACGAACTGCCTAATTAATAACAAAAGGAATATCCGTAAAACAGCCGCACGCTCCGTAATTAGTGTGCGTCTATAAATTATCGATTTAAAGTTCTATGCCGACTTTTCGTGTTGTGTGGAGACACGCTGGAGTGAGACGACTAAAGAAAGTATAAGTTAGCGCTTTGTTCATACAATGACATAAGATTCAAAGTCATCCACTTACCGAAATCTTCCAGAGATCTTTGTTTTTGATTCTTTTTTGGTGATTTGCCATGCATAAGATTGTCAAAACCAGCACTATCTTGAAGTAGATAATATACACCACCCATGATACAGAAGACACCGAATGAGAACACCCAAATACGGACAACGGCAACAATTGAAGTTTGACCTCCAACGAACCAACCGAATAGGGTGAAGAATGTTGCGATAATATCGACGACGAGGATAGCGCCAGTCAATTGCCACGATGGAAGTGATGACCAGAAAGGACCATTGGCACGTGTGATGAAAATCAACCAATTCTCGGTGAGGGAGATCTCAAGGAAGACAACCTCATCAAGAACACCAAAGTTTTGAACGATACCACCATCTTCACCGCGAGCGATCATGGTCGTGAGAGTAATCCAGGTGCCGATGGCGAGAACAAAACCAAGAAGAACGGACATACCCCACAATTTTGGAAGGTTCCACTTAACAGGAGTTTTGGAGAATGGTGCATTGTCGTATGCGATAGCAAGAGTTGCAACATCTGCAAAAATGGCGATGAAGACGACCAATTCAATGTTGAGAGATCTATTCAAGATTGCGATCCAAAGACCAAGGAAAATCTCAAGATGGATTGACAAGGCGATACGGTAGACAACGTAGGCGTACATGCGATGAAAAATCTGTCGAGAAGTCTTGAGAGCGTCAATAATAGCACCAAGTCCAGGAGCTAAGAAGACGATATCAGCTGCTGAGCGGGCGGCATCAGAAGCGCCTTCTACGGCGATACCAGTATCGGCCTTCTTGAGTGATGGAGCGTCATTGACACCATCTCCGGTCATAGCCACAAGATATCCACGCTGTTGAAGGATTTCAACAACATTGTATTTGTGTTGGGGGAAAACCTCAGCAAATCCATCAGCGGCTTCGACGAAATCATAGACCTCAGAACCAGGCATATCTCCACCACCACCGAGTCCAAGACGCTCAGCATTATAAACGTTAGTGCCAAGTCCAAGTTGTCTAGAAGTTTCACGAGCGATACCGACAGCATCACCAGTCAACATTTTGATGGAAAGACCGAGAGTCTTGGCCTCATTGATAGTACGGGCGGTATCATGACGTGGTGGATCAGAGCAAGGCATAATACCCAAAATCTCCCACTGACCCTCACCACGCTTTCGTGCAACACCAAGAGAACGGAAACCACGAGTAGCGAATTCGGCAACCTTATTCTTGTAGGCTTGATCAATCTCCTCGGGAATTGGGTGATCTTCTTCAACAGTCTTCAATACAAAGAGTGGAGCTCCCTTGACACAAATAATTCTTTCTCCCTGGGGCGACTCGACAACAGCTTGAACTTTTTTGGAAACAGGATCGAAAGGATGGAACTCTAAGACTTTGTACTTGGACAGGACAGACTTGGCGCGTGGATAGTAACGAAGAGATTTCAAAAAAGCCTTATCAATGGCATCGATACCCTTCTTCTTTCTAGAGGCAGCAAGACAAGCAGTCAACATGAGATCATCAGGCTCAACGCCTGGAACAGTAAATGGTTCGGCGAGAGAGAGCTTGTTCTTGGTCAATGTACCAGTCTTGTCCGAGCAAAGAATTTCGACACCTGCAAGTGACTCAATAGCGGACAACTTCTGGACGATAGCTTTCTTCTTGGCCAGATAGGCGGCACCGACAGCCATGGTTGTAGTAACGACAGCTGGGAGACCGACCGGGACACCAATAATCGTGATGGCTAGAGTATATTCAAGGATAAGAACGATTGGGTTCGAGCGATAGAATGAGGAAATCCAGACAACCAAGTTAGTGAAGATGACCAGGATCAAAAGAACCGTACCTATACCATTCAAGACTTCGGTGAAATGACCGGTTCCTGTCGAAGCTTGATTGACCAAAGCTGCTGCACGTCCAACGAATGTGTGATCTCCAGTGGCAGTAATCACCATGAAAGCTTCACCACGTTTGACACCAGAAGATGCATAACATGTATCACCCTTATGTTTATCGACAGCAAGAGACTCTCCAGTAATGGCAGATTGATCGACCTGAAGAAACGCATCTTCGGTGACGATACGACCATCGGCAGGGATAATGGTACCCTGGGAAAAGATATTAGGACTTGTCTAGATCATTGGGTACAACCATTGGACTTACTTCTTCAATTTGAAGAATATCACCAGGAACAACCTCAGGAGCTTCAATCTCATACAGACGACCATCACGAAGGACAACAGCTTTCAAAGCAAGAGTCTTCTTCAGTTCGTCGACAATGGAACCAGCTTGGTATTCTTGAACAAAACCGACAGTAGCGTTGAGGAGAAGAAGTGCGCAAATGACACCGAAATCGACCCAATCTTGTAGACCCGCAGCAAGAACAGCAGCAGCCTATTGGAAATTGTTCAATTAGCAAAGATTCCTTAGTTTCATGGAGTTGGAAGGATTGCCAAGCTACTCCATTTGGATGTCTCGAACCAATGGCCACGGCTTTCAACACTAGAGGATCTGTGGAGAATCCATGCAGATCCAAGAAGCGCGAAAGAGCGCGGTGTGAATGCGAGGGATGTGAAAATGATGGTAAGAACTTTGTGAAAACGTACCTCCATAACGAATTGAATAGGACCGATAAAGTACCCAAGGAACTTCAAGAACATGTTATCTTTCTCTTCCTTCATTTGATTCAAACCCCACTTCTTACGACGAGCTTGAACCTCAGAGTCGGTAAGACCAATGCGAGTATCTGTTTGAAGTAAATCTTCTGGGACCAGACGCTCTGCAGCAGGACCATTTTCTTCCTCGGCCTCTTCATCTTCAGCATGACCATCTTGAGATTCGAGTTCATCGATCAATGCGTCCATGTCCTCATCTTCCTCTTCCTCTTCCTCATGTTTGGTAACAGCAGGGACAGTTTGTGTTTGAACACCACCATTTTTTTCGTCGAATTGACCAGGCTCGATGTTAGTTCTTAAGTGATTTGGAGCTGCATCGGACGAGGTGTTGCTCGATTGGGCACCTGTCTGTAAACCATGGTTATGATCCGCCATGGCGACCACGGTGGAAAATTAATGTGGCAGATGGACAACTTTCTTAATTGTTGGGTATAAGGTAAAGTTTTATTTGAGGGTAGTGAGTAAAGTAGGTAACAAATTCTTGGGGATAAACGACGCGACCTCGTCGAGTATGAAAGATATCCGATGATTGGAAAATCTTAATGATTAGGAATTGTTTAAATTACCTCATTAAAGAAAAGGTATAAGAACTTAAAGAAGGGGATGATGGGTAAGTTGATGTCGAGAAGTTGTGTAGTAGAAAAGAAAAAGAGGAAGAAGAAGATTGTGTGGGAAGAGAGATAAAATTCGAATAGATGGACAGACAGACAGACAGACAGTGAATTTTCGACTAATGGATTTGTTGAAAAAGTTATTTATTCAGAAGGTCCGAATTGTTAATTGGGTGGGCATTTGGGGGAAGTAGGGAAGTAGGGAAGTAGCGAAGTAGGGAAGTAGCGACCAGCAGAGGTAGGTAGGTAGTAAGGTAGTAGGAGTAGATAGTGATTGTTTGAAGTGACACCACTTGCTATAGGTATGGTTATGGTTTATGGGTTATGGTTCGCAGCTCAGATGCAGATGAGAGACACTAATCTTTACTTGGATATTATTATATGTGTTGGTCAATTTCTATTTTATCTTCCGATAACCTATTAGCTAGCTCATGGTATCAATGAGTATATAAATCAACTTTATTAATGATCTTGCTCTTGATCTTATTAATACCGCTGGTATTCATAAATAGTTTCTCAATCCTACTTTACCTAGGTATAATAATGGCCTATCATATCATATCATCTGTTTACTTTCCCCTCATTGTTTTTGTCTCGAAGCACGTTCCACCCACCCTCCAGATTACTATACTTGCTACTTGCTACTTGCTACCAGGATAAACTACAACCGGGCCAACAAAAACCGACCCATCTCTTCAATATAGCACTGACGTCGACTTATTATAACCCTTAACATCATACAGTAGTTATGTGTTATAAGTATATATAACATATATATATATATATATATCTCGACCTTTCTTTCCCCTTTCCACCCCTTCCTTCCTTCTTTCCTTCCCTTCATCCCTTGATACAAATTTTAATTAACGCTTTCTTTTACATTTACAAGGGTTTGTAGATCACGGCACTTTAAGCTCCACTATCAAAAAAACGACAGACAGCTTTATCTTTTAAGCTCTGTCTTTAGTTCGCGGGGGAAAGTGGGCCACTAACCTTAATAAACAGACCCAGATTAGGCCAGGCCAGACCCCAACTTCATCCTATACCTACAAGAAAAAGCAAATTGATTGCTAAAGCCTACCTACCTAGGTATCTACAGATTCTGAGAATACTTAGGTATTGTCAACAGTCAATAGCCAAGTGGTAACCTTAATAATTTACAGCATACGGTCTATACTGTACTGTACAGTACAGCAGCGAGACCGGGTACTTGGTGGTTAAATTAGCTTGTGTTTCCATACATTCTTTACAATCAACAAATACAAACAACATGGAATACGAGGAATAACATCTAGACCCGTTAGGTAACCTAAGTGATGCTAAATCCGAAGCTTTCTACAAGAAATCAAACAATTCCGCTCGCTCAAGTAGATGAAAATCAAAAATCTGAAATCTTAAGTTAGATACCTAGGTAATCTTTAACCCTAATAGCAAACCGGTCTCTTCCCAAGGCTTCCTTCCCCCTTGAATTCTAAAAGTCACTCAACTTCAACTCAACCAGTAAAATCAGCCAAGCAAAACCATCTATTATGAGGGATTTTCAACTCGTCGCGTTGCACAACATCCGTCTGGGCAAATAGAAATAGGTAGGTACCTCTAATTATCTAATTATGCAAACAAAACCAAATGGAATTTGTCCTGTAACACAATCTCAAATCTGACTGTATATCAGATTGTGCGCTGAAGAAGAGAGGATTACCCGTAAAGCTTGTCTCTTTCTTTCCTTTTATACTAATATAGGGCCAAGAATCTGAGTCTCGGGTTTCGTTCTGTGCTACCTGACTTGTGTTCCTGGATGCTTTTTGGGGGGGAGCGAGCGGGGGGAGAAGGGGTTATGTGAGATTTGATGTACTCGAGTACTTTGTGGTGAATAGGTGGGTGTGTGGTATTTATATCGCAAATTCGCAAAACTATACTACGGAGGTGGAGTTGAGTTGAGATTGGTGATGTGATATGATGTGATATGATGTGATTGATATCTTGTGAAATATCATCCATCACTCGCTACTATCTCGTCAAGAATCACATCACTCAATACATACCAGGAGAAGGTCAATGATATTGTATCCGCAACACCCTTCAAGTTTTTACCGAGTTCAAATACAACAAGTGAAGTAAAGTATTGAGAATAATCGATAAACCCCTCATCGATGATTTGAAAGGTTGCAAAGAGCATGAATGAACCCTTTCCATCCTAATCTACAAGTTACAAGGTTACAAGTTGCAAGTTACAAGTTACAAAGAAATCACCACCTCATCGCTAACTTCCAAAGAAAACAAGTGTTTAATTTATCTACCTATCCAGGACCAGGACCAAATTTTAGGCTATGCAAAAATAACCCACAACCCACGGGTACCCATTCAAGATTTCCAATAACCCACCTCGCGAATACCCGTTGGCGCAGTAGCAGTGGCAGGCTGAGGCTAATACTTACCTATCCTTGTTTTGTTATCAATAGATAGACGAGTATCCTCAACATTATCAACTTGAGATATATCATATACTTGATTTATTTAAAAATAGCCGCTAAGATTTTCTAAATTTCTGAACCTTTCCGTTCCGTTTCGCAATCACTACCTAAGATACCTACCTACCTTCAAGTCACCGAGAAGGAAAGAAAAACGTTTTGAATATGGTACTAGAATGAATGGCAAATGGCACTCTTTATCTATTTATCATCTCATCTCATCTCGCACTTAGATTGGGCTTTCACTATCTATCTGCTATATCTGCTATATATGTGGAGAAATGGAGAATGGGTATGAATAATATACAGTAAACATACAAGGAGAACGAGTCCAGAGCACAGGATATCCAGAGACAAGACAGGGCGAGAATAATAAGACAAGAACAACTTTACACGGGTATATAAATCTATTTTCCTCAAATTCAACCACATACGACCATAGACTGAGGAGAATTGGGCATCCCGTCCGCTCTGCCATACACAAGCCTCAGATCGGTAGATTAGTAGTTGGGTGGGTGACCACCAGCGAATCCCTACTGTTGTATGTTTTTTATTTTGTTCTTTTGAAGGGTGCTGGCTGTTGTTGTTGTTGTTGTTGTTGTTGTTGTTGTTGAAGAAAGAGAACATGGGGGGGAGGGAGTGAGTAATCTTTTGCTTGGGGGGTTGGTTGATATGGCTGGGATGGGAGAAAGGGAAGGGTGGATAAAAAGTGTTGTAGGTGGTTCGATACATACTGATACATATACAAATACTCGGCTCCCTCTCTCCCTCCCCTTAAAATTTTCACAATTCTTTATTTCTTGCCTCGCCGTGGATATCTTGGGAATTAGCCTATGATATGTCCAGCTTCCTATCCACTTCCACTCCCTCTATCAAAATTGATTCGAAATATGTACTCGAGTACAGCATTTCTGACTTCCCCCTTCCCATTCATCAATTTTCAATATCGAGATTGTTAACTTGTATGTATGAGAAAATAACTCATGAGTGATGAATTGATAAATCGTCAATTGATAGATAGATATGATAAGGGAATGAATGAATGAAAATTGGAATACACGATTATATGGATAGTGAGAGGCAGGGAGAGGCAGGAAATGGAGAAGGGAGGGAGAGGTCTATAAATCGATTGAAAGAAGAAGAAGAAGAAGAAGAGAAAGAGAAAGAGAAAAAGTTGAAAGATAAGATATTGTTGAAATTGAGGGATGGATGGATTGATGGATGGATGAGGCAATGGATGAGGCAATCATGAAAATATTGGGAAAGAATATCAGGTAATATAGAGTCGTGGTGGGAATAAATAGTAAGTATATTTAGATCAGGCAAACAAACAGGCTATAGATAATAGGTATAGATATATATATCTTCTATATTTTCCACATCTTAAGCTTAGCCTCTGATACAAATACTCGAGTATAAAAGGCGGATGTGGGAAGTCTGGGGTGAGATATATATATATCTGTAAACTGGAATAGATGAATAGGGAGCGTGGGTGTATTCATATTCATCTTGCTTGATATTCGGGTATTGTGTACTACTTATTTACTAATTATCTATCTACTCGGAGTATCTATCTATCTATCTAACCCCTACTCGAGTATAATTCATTTTATTAATAAACACCAGATCACACTACACTACATTACACTCTTTGTATTATATCCCTATCTTAATCTATATCCTAAATCTTATAAATAACACACTCCATCTTTTAGATTCCACATCTGTCTCTTGCCTTCTTACCTTAAACATCTTACCTCATACCTCATACCCTTCTCACATCTCACATCTCACATCTCATACCTCATTTGCCATATTCCCCTGCCCTCTCTCTCCATCCCCGTCCTTGTCCTTTCTCTCATCACCCCCATCCATCCATCCTTCCTCCCTTCCTCCTCTCCTCTCCTCTCCTCTCCTCTCCTCTCCTCTCCTCTCCTCTCCTCTCCTCTCCTCTCCTCTCCACTCCATCTTCTATCTAGACTCTAGACTCTACAGTATCTACTATCTATATCTACACAAGAGAACAAGAAAACAATGTGTTAGTTAGTCTACGAGGTAATTCTCACCATCTATCATATCTCCCTTCCTGTCCCTTCCCTTCCCCTCCCTCCCCTTCCTCTTCACCTCATTTCCCTTTCCCTTCCCTTCCATTCCCATCCCCACCTCCACCTCCACCTTCTATTTCCCTTCCCTTCCCTTCCCCTCTCTCTTCCCCCCTCTCCACCCCCAGCTCCCACCCCCAGCTCCACCCCCCAAAAACCTCCCCTAAAAAGCGCCTAAAAAAACCAAAAATATCTCCCCTCCACCTCACCTTCCATTCCCCTCCCTTCCCCTCTCCCCCCTCTTCCCTTCCCCCCTCTTCCCTTTCCCCCCAGCTATTTCATATCTTATTTATACCCAACTCATTTATCCCCAACTTATATATGCCCAACTCACCTCACCAAGCCACTAACTAATACTGTAATTATATCCAAGTTCCAACGCCTTCCCGACCGTCCCTACCGTCCCAACCGTCCCAACCTAAGTCAAGCTTCTTTCTTTTCCACCGAACTACTGTAATTCGAACTAATTCGCCTTTTTTGGTTTAGGAGTGTTTGTTCGCCCTATTTTCAAAATATATATATATACCTAGGTACTCGAGTAGTACCCCCATCCCCATCTCCATTTCATCCCGAACGCCAACCCAGCTCAGCTCAGCTCAACTCAATTCAACTCATCACTTACTTATCTGTACCCGTATCAGTATCAGTATCAGTATCTGCTTCAAGTACTGTACTGTAATGTACTGTATCATACAAAAGTATGTATATATGTATGTGCGCGTAAAAAAACGAATAAACCTCATATGCGATATACATACTACCAACTACAGTAGGAGAACCCTTTAGAGAATCAAAAATATTTTGTAAAGAAATCTAAAATTAAGCATGAGCACAAATAACCAGCAGCCAACACATCAACACACACCCTCATATTAAGACATCTCATTCCATTTTATCTCAACTGTATCTGTCTGTCGTTTACATACTATACGCAAACTCTGCCCCTCATCTATCTACCCCCCACTGCAACTGTCTATTAATTCGCATTGCATCTGCTTTCATCATATCATATCCTCTATACCTCGTTCATTCAAAGATTCAGAGCTTGTCAGTCCCACCCAGTACAGAGAAACCAGATATATGTGTGTATGTATGCAAGCATGCCGGGTGTATTCCCTTCCCAAAAACGCCTCAATGCTTAGCGGTGACCGTTTCACCCGTCAATTTCTCGACGTAAGCTTTTGCCCTGTTGATTTTGTGTTAGTATATGTTTTATGTAGGTGAATGGGTAGAGGTGGAGATATATGAAATGAGGGAAGAAACTTACATATCACCCATCGCAACCATGCAAATCGTTTGCCAAACGCCCAAACCAATTCTAGGAACAACGCCACGATACAAACCCGAAACCCCATTCTGTCCATAGATATACCTAAAGGTATTGCCAACCGTCATCTTAGCTGGACGATTAGGATCCACCGTCTTACTCTGCATCTCGACACGAATCACCTCAATCGGTTGATTCCAAGCCGACAACCCACCACCCAATGCACTTGCCAAAATCTTCTCCCACGCATTCAACTTTCCATTCTCGGCCTTTCCAGTCGCCTTTCGAATACCACTTTCCGCCAATCGACTCAATCCAAAACGACTTCCCCAATTCGTCATTTGACGGATGGCCACGGCGTTGACACCTTTGTTGATTCCCTTAATACCTTCTTTGCGGTAGATGTTCATGAAGGTCGTCATGGTGCCATCGGGCTTGACACCAGATTTCGCCATGTTGGTCTTGGTGATTTCGACCGTCTTCATGCAGGTGCAGAATCCCATGGTAGCGTATGCTTGGGCAACACCACCCATGACTCCTCCACTAATACCGGCGGTGAAATCGCCGGCTCCAAAGGAGCGGGCGTACCATTCGGCTTCCGAGGCAACGAAGAGGAGGACAGCACCTTTGGTCGAGGCTTCAATCCAGGCCCAGGGAATAAGTCCTTGGTAGACTGTGTTGGGGTGATTGTTAGTTATCATTCTCGCAGATCGAAAATAAGAAGAAAAAGAATGCTTGAAATGAATGACATGATAAGACATCACAAGACAGAAGTAGAAGATAACCAAAGAAATCAAAACAAGAATCAAAACATACATCCAAAAACACCACCTCTCCCCCAAATTCTAGTCAGCGCCGTCGCAAAAGTATCCCCTCTATTAGCGGCCATAGTAGTTTTCGTAACTTCTAACGGTTGACCCAAGGTCGTAACCTCGAATAAGTTCAAACCAGCACCCAAGAGCAAGTTCGAGAACTTGACGGGTTTCTTCTCTGGAACGGCGGGCTTGCCGACGATAGGCACGTTGGCGGTGACGGTGGACATGATAAGGTATATGGTGTTTTGATTGAGGCCCTGACCAAGGGAATAGGTTGCTTCTTCGCGGTGAAAGGGTGGTGAGTTTGAGGGTTGATAAAAAGGAAGTGAGGAAAATTGGATGAATGTTGGAGATGAGAATGAAAATGGGAAGGGAGAGAGTTATGTGTTTGTTGAAAGGAGAGTTTGTAGATCTATTTACTTACTACTCGCGAAGATGGGGAAGCTAATGAAAGACCAGGTGGACCCTTATTTTTGACTGGTGCCGGTGCCGGTGCCGGTATGTAGTATGTATTGAGGGCCCCGATAAGATACAGGGTAGAGGGGTTAGAGGTATTGAGAATTTGTTGATAAGTGCTAAACTCTTTTCTTTGTGAATAAGAGATGAAATTGAGCCAAGAAAAGATTCTATTAATATCTTTATTGTTTACATTGTGCTTATTGAAAATTTTAATATTGTTTTACCAAAATCTTTTATTCTTTACTTAATACTTCTTATCCTCTTATTCTTCTTTGTGATAAATCAATATCAATCAGTTTCTCACTCGGGCCCAGCCTTCCTTACAGGGCTTCGCAACCTTAATTCCCACTACAACAGGTTACCCTGGGTCCCTAAGAAAAGAATAATGGAATAAGCTTGGAAGCCTCGGCCAATTGTTGAGAAGTTCAAGCTCAACGAATTATTCGCATGTGTTTACTTTTCCCTATTATACCCGTGTTTGGGGAAGTCCGATCCATGAGTTTATTATTATTCTTGGACTACTCGAGACTCGAGTATATATATATCGGGATTGAGAGCGGTTTGTATTTTTCGTGTTACTATTGGCTTTTCTTGAAAGACTCGAATTTGAAGTGATTGCTGGCTGGGTATTCTATTCTAGAGTTATGTGCTGGTTTGCACTGCAGGCCAACGTCACAAAGATGGTAAGGTTGTTGATATTGTTTACATCCGAAAGTTTCCGATAGTCTGAATATCATCCATCAGCTTTCCTCCACGAGTATGGTAAATAATAAGTTACTCATCAGTTACTGTATAACTTATTACTCGAGTATATGATATCGATGTTGAATGTATTCCATCGAGAACTTCTTCCCGAGACCTTCCAACAACCAGTGTTGTGATGCGAGATATCCTTTCTCAAATATATTAATATTATATTGCTCATTCTCATATTTTAACATGAGAGTTCTTCTCTTTCTTGGACGTCTTCTCTCTAAGCGCCGCCAAGATCCTCCTAGTCGTACCCCATATATTTGGGTTTGTGTATGTTTCATGGGACAGACTCGGCCATTTACTTGCCTTGTACATACATGTGGATGGATGACCTTTGAGCTTCCTTTACAAACTCCCCCATTATCACTGCAGTTTCTGATTTGCGCATCTAGACTATCTTTCCTCTTTTGAGAAGTAGGTGAGTAAAGGTATTAATAGATGAATTATCAAACATGGCACTCTGATGAAGTCTGTGTCTTCTTGACTGCGCTGGTTTCCCGTTTCCTTTTGTTGTCGTCCCCGCCTATACTGAGTATATATATGCCCCCAGCATTCGTGAATTTCATATCTGGCTTGAATATTTCCGTTTTCAGTATCAGCACATAGACTCTAGGTTCATTTCTCGGGTTGTTTCAGATCTTCCGCATGGTTTCTACATCTTCACCACGAAAGGCAACCCTTTCTTGAGGATGACTTGACGGATGCCAAGGACTACCAAGCCGTCAATTTCGATACACTCAGTATTCTTTCAAATGTTCTTCGATCGAATAATGCAGTAGTTTGCAAAATTCCTTCAGATATTCTACTCCAAGAATAGATTCCTCTTTGTAGGCGATTGATGGGAAACAGCTGTCTAACGAATGGAGAATATTGGGCTCAAAAATCATACCCTCATTTTCCAATTGGAGTTTTCGTATGGGTCGTCCTTCGTGTGCATAGGAAAACCCGATAGGGAGATTTCCGGATGCTAGAACAGCCTTCTTCACAAACCCCTTATTTGACTTGCCCACAAGACCGTACAGAGGAGGGCACTCTTGCGACCATGAATCCTGCCATTGATTTATTTACTCTTTCATTCTAAAGAACACTCCTCGCGATAGTCGAATGAAAACTAACTATTAGCATGCCTTTACACCGTGGACTTCTCCCGAGATTCCGAAAGATTTCTCATCTTTGATAATCTATGGACGCGGTTCTTCCTTCACGATCAAACCTCCAAATGTCAAGGAAACACTTCACGAGCGTGCCAGTAACATCGAAAGAAGGCAGGCAGGATTGAGCAAATAATTCTAGGGATCAGAAAGTTGTGATGCACTTACCCTTCCAATTCGGGAATCTGGATAATCATTATCCTCACCAAGGGCTCTTCTCTTGAGAGCGTGGATACTTACGCCAAATGATGTAGAGCAAGGACAAAAGGACCCCTTAATTTCTCTTGGGAGATAATATCATCGAGAGAGTTTGTTCAATTCAATACTCAGTAATAGTAATTATTTCCTCTAATAATCCCCAAACCAAAGAATTTATATTAGCTAGGGATATATAATCTATCTTACAATGCAAAATTAAAACCAAAACCAAAAAGCAAAATCTCTCAACTTCTCAACCAGAATGTCTGCAATTATCTCAGGACCCAGGGAGGGGACCTGAAGTCAGTGAATAGTAAAGAAATAGATAGGTTATTAATAAGTGCAGGAATATGAAGTAATGGAACATTCAGGGTATGGTATGGTATGGTATGGTATGGTATGGTATAGCATCGGACTCATTCTTAGTGAGATTATTGGGGATGAAAAATCGCAATCAATGGGTGGGGGGGACAGCGAGATGAAAGTTCACGAATTGATCTTTTTAAGTCTTTTAAAAACATGTCGCCTATGCTTCTGCTTCTGCCTGTTGTCATTTCCCGTGTGAGGTGAGGCGAGGTGAGGTATTTAGATTGGACTTGTGTAAGGCTAGAACGAAAGAGGACGGAAAGAGGAAGTGTATCTTACTACTGAACAGATCATCCAACAAATCCCATTCATTTATTCCAAGTCGGCAAATAATGCGAAAACATCAGACTCATTCACTATGTCAAGCATGTAGGGATATTCATATATTTTAGTGTTTGCATTAAATACGTAGTATCAGGAAAGCTACAGAAACGAGAAGAAAAAACGAAAACAATAGAGGCAAAGTGTACATATTCAGCGTGACCGTCGCACTCAAATGGTTCACTGCCCTATCTTGCTGTTTGCTATGTTATGATCCTATTTGCTCATGATTTCTGACCCAAAGAATTTTATGAGGTTGCAAACCAAAACCATGATCGAGGTATCTTGTACGCCTGAACGCCACAGAAATGCGTGATATGAATCGTGTGAAGTAAAACGCCCAATGAAATTATTGCACGAAAGGCCGACGTTCTTAGGAATCGCCATTTAAGATGGGTTATGTCCGGGTGGTGGTGGTGGTTGTGTGGATGATTGAGTTTGTTGACCAGGGAAGGTGAATCCAGGGGGGAACATGGGCAACCCATTCGGAAGAGTTGGAAGAGGGTAAGGGAAGGCGCCCAGCGGGAATGGTGGCATAACTGGCGGAACAGTATTGGCGGGGAATTTGCGGCCTTCGTCCCGATGGTCATCCCGACGATCTTCTCGATCCCGACGATAGCGAGGTCTCTCATCCTCCTCATACTCGCGACCAGATTTTGGACCATTCTTTCCACCATTGTCGGTTTGCATGCGACGGCTAATTGCCTTGGACGAGACACCTTGACCGATTTCAATATCAGGCTCTTCGACAACCATACCGGGTTCAATTTCTTGGCCTCCACTTCCACCAAACTCTGCATTGAGCATCCACTTTCGATCCGCATCCGTAAGTTTGCTGATTGGGATGATGCTGATACCTGTTTGATAATCACTGCAATCACGTGGTCCAAAGCCTACTCCCCAGCGGGTCTAGGATGAAAAGTTAGCAAACCGTTGACTAGAAATGTTATATCTGATGTACATACTCTCAATGAAGAATCGGGACTTCTGTTCTTTTCCATGGCCTCCTTAGCACGAAGGGCATGCTCACGACTAACCATCTTAACGAAAGCATGGCGTTTTTCCTTGTTAACAATACAAGTTTGCACGTCACCATATTGATTAAAGAGTCCCTTCAATTCGTGCTCTGAGGAACTATAGAAAGTCAGTATGGATGATAAGTCTTTGAGTGGGAATAATGGAAGTGATAAAAACTAGCGTTTGACTTACGTAACTCCACCAACAAACAAAGTACGACTGAGAACTATACATTTTGTTAGACTAACTTCCATCACAAATGCACAGGAACTAAAATCTCACCCTTAATATTTCCTTTGCCAATCGATGAATCGTGTCCAACCCATTTAGGTCCACTGGTATTTGTTCTAGGAGGTGTGTTGCTGCGACGACGTTGGGGGCTACGTTGGCGGTAATCATTACCTCGGCCACGGCCACCTCTACCACGATCATCGGAACCTCTCATGCGTGCTGGAGATTCTCTGTCAAAATCATCACGACGACGAGCATTTGGAGGAGAATCACGACCACCCCAACCACGTTGAGGAGATGGAGACCTGGAACGACGACGATAACGACCAGGTGGTGATCTCATAGAATCCTGGAAACCGTTTCGGTCACGTGCATCATCTCTGACACCCCAATTATTTTGAGTATGAGTATTTTGAATCGGAGCAAATGGAGGTGGTAGACCAGCTGGAGCTCCTTGATTACCCATAGCTGCTAAAATACCAGCAATTTGTTCGGCTGGAACACCTGTTGCTGCAAGTGCCTTGATCAAAGCTACCTGCTGTTGCGTGGCTGGATCGAGATTACCGGGAGGGTTTATTGGTGCAGCGCCTGGGAAAGGATTTGGATTACTAGCAAAGTTCGAAATTCCATTACTTGGACCTTGACCATAAGCAGGCATCGAGATAGCTGGGGCATTTACAGGCTGAGGAGCAACCGAAAATGGCAAGCTCTGGTTTATTGCTTGAGCTGGCTGAGTGGGATTGCTCTGCGCATGTGTTACATTGTATGGATTGACAGGTGGGGCAGAAGAAACTGGAGTAGGCGTAGGATTTTGACGGGCAGAATTTGCCATATTGGCGAGAGCTGCTAAGATCGATGAGGTATTAGGAGGAGGTGCCGAAGTCGAGTTTGATGAATTTGGCTGTGAACCTAAAGTTGCTTGAAGATTGGATGGAGGACTTCCAGGGGGTGTTGTAGTATCTACATGGTCGGTGAATTTATGGTTAGATATACGACAACATCCTCTTATTCTCGGGATCATATGTGATAATCTTACCATTCATTGCATTCAACTTCTCTTTGAATCCGTTTAACATTTGTAAAGGGAAGGTTTGGCCTTTCTCCCAGATATCAACTAGTTTTTTAATCTTGTCCTACAAAAACAAGAAATGTCATGTAAGTAGGAATTCATATGGAGGAAAGGTGAATAAAAAAGGTGCACAATGATATCTCGGTTGAGGAATATGTATGATATCTTGGAGACAAACTTCACGCAGACATAGAACCTGGCTATGCTGGAAACTACTCAGTTCGAGCATTTTGAATATACTGGCGTACCTTTTGATCATCGGGAGCAGATTGGATTATGTCGTTCATCAAAGCGGGGAGCAATTCCTTTACTTTATGTACACCAGCAGCATATGTACCATCCGGGGCAGAACTATTTATGGTTTGTTGGGTCATTTTGGCTTGTTCGGTCCATTTTCGAGTTACAGAGTCTAAGACGTAGAGGGTGCCAAGTTTGTGTGTGCCAGGTGTCTTCTTGAAGTGAATGAATAATTTCTGAACTAAGGCTGATTCTTGCTATAGAGAGAGTGAGATGTTAGCTAGGGCTCACCGACAAGGAGCTGGGAGATGGGATATGGGATATGGGATATGGGAGATGATAGATGGGAGATGGGAGATAGATAGATATAGGAGTGCCGATAGGGATGGATGTAGAGGAACATTGGGAGGGACTATTTCGCATACCTGAATATTTTGGGTGCAGAGGGTGGTAAGGCCTTGAATTCGAGTTCCTGATACACCAGGAGGTCTCAAATGTACCATGGCTTGGAGGCCAGCTTCTAATTCTGCTACGGCGGAAGACATCATGAATTCTTTCAACCACTGTAGACACTGTAGATATTGACTCAGTTCTTCAAATCAACGCGACGGATTGTTATCGACGAGGTGATAATAAAATCCAGATTACTCTCTATGATTTGATTTTCACCAACTCGATTCCAGATACTGGGCTACGATGAAAGATTTGATGAACGGATCTATCGCGACTACGGATCTGCGACCGTCACGTAAAATCTAGAGTTCTCAAGAACCCCAATAATATTTTGGAGATGTGTGGCAAAAGGTAGAAGTCGACGCTACTAATGTAAAGAGTCTTGATTACTTTTCTTTCTTTTGGTAGATTACCTGTGAGAAGATGGGAATAAGGTTTAGGATGATTGAAGCTGTTGTAGTTTAATGAAGTTGTCGAAGATGAAAAAAAGGTTGGAGTTGGAGTTTAGGATTAACTGGAATAAGTAAGGTAGGTAAGTAGTTAGCTTCGGTGGTGGTTCGATCCATTGAGTGAAAAGGAAAGGGCTTGTTTTTTGCACCACTAGTTAGTCATCCATTGACCCATTACATTCAGTCACGTGCTTTTTACAGACAGAATCATTGAATCAGTTATATTGTAATCATTCACTCAACTATTTCATTCAACCTGGGTCAAAGAAGAAAAGTTAATATAACATGATTGGTTGGAAAGAATTATTATTCAAATGAAAATATATTGGGAGATTACCGTATTATCCTTTGCATGATGTGATTGATCTACCTACATACACTACTAATTATTCACTTGTTTACCGGTTCTTTCGCCGGCACCGGGGAAAGAGCATAGAAATAAAGGGTTCACCGGTCGGGCATTATATCGTAAAAAATATGACCCCCCATATCCCACTCCGGTATATTTATTCAATAGCTTTTATGTTAACCTACTTATTAAATTCTATCAACCAATTAAATTGATAGAATTGATAAAAGCTGTGTAATATGTGGGGATATCCGTCTTACATTTCGGGATAAGTCGCGTTCATAATTATTTTAATAAAGGTTGACGTAGTTTAATGTAGGGGAAGCTCTTCTCTGAGCTTCTGTAATGTATTGGTCGGCCTCAACGCTAGCGGGTCTCCGAGCTTTTTTCCGTCCACGAGCCGGAATCTGTTCTTAAATTCTATTCCATATCTACAATTCTGTATTTTTACTGCAATTACCACACATACTCTAATCAAGATGGCATCACTTCGTATTGGTCAAACCGCTCTTAGAGCATCTATTAGAGCTCCAGCATTCGGTGCCAAATCCGCCGCCTTCAATGGCTTGCGATGCTATTCATCGAAATCTCAGGTATGTTCCAAACCTTTCACTATGCGCCACACATCAGCTTTACTGACGATTCTTTACATCTAGACTTTGAAGGAACGTTTCGCCGAGCAACTTCCAGAGAAGATTGAGCAGATCAAGGCTCTCCGCAAGTAAGAAATACCTTGTCGTTTCCCGAAAGCGGCACATAGCATTCACATATACTTATTCTCGCAGGGGACATGGACACAAAGTTATCGGCGAGGTTACTTTGGACCAAGTCTACGGTGGTGCTCGTGGTATCAAGTCATTAGTATGGGAAGGTTCAGTTCTCGACTCTGAGGAGGGTATCCGTTTCAGAGGAAAGACTATCCCAGAGTGCCAGGAACTCCTCCCAAAGGCACCAGGTGGACAAGAGCCTTTGCCAGAAGGTAAAGCTTCCTATGACGCCAGCCTACATGCGCGATTACTAATGTAACCAAGGTCTTTTCTGGCTCCTTTTGACCGGTGAAGTCCCCAGCGAGCAGCAAGTTCGCGATCTCTCCGCTGAGTGGGCCGCTCGTTCCGACGTACCAAAGTTCGTCGAAGAGCTCATCGACCGATGCCCAAGCGATCTCCACCCAATGGCACAATTATCCATCGCTGTTACTGCTCTCGAGCACGAGTCCGCATTCGCCAAGGCTTATGCTAAGGGAATGAAGAAGACCGAGTACTGGGGTCACACTTTCGAGGACTCCATGGATTTGATTGCCAAGCTCCCAACTATTGCTGCCAGAATCTACCAAAACGTCTTCAAGGGCGGTAAGGTCGCTGCTGTTCAAAAGGACAAGGATTACTCCTTCAACTT